CGCTAGTGTGCCAGGTAGACACTAGAGATTCAAATCCCTCCGAATCACGATTTATGAAAGGGGAGACGGGATGAAGAATGACACAGCTATGTGTGAGAGAACTGTGGATTCCACGAAGACCTGGGGGAAGTTTGGGGAGTCGATCCCTGTTCGCTGAAGAAGATCGATACATACATAGTAAGTACTATGTATGAAATATAGCATACGAAATAGAGAAATAGAGAAAAAGAAAAAAGAAAAAAAGAAAAGGGAGATGATGGGATACGGGAGATGGAACATGGAACATTGAAGATGGGATGACCTCCAATCATCAATGGTTCGTTTGTGGTTTCTATCAAGTAAGTAAAGTGTTTCTAACTTAAGAACTACCGACCAGGTATGTACAGGTATGTTGTTGCAACTTGCGATTCTTAAAATCGAACAGGCATAAAAACTTACAAATGCGCCGCAACTATTCTGTAAGTCATCGCTTCCAAGGTTTCTTTCTTTTTAATTCCCCTACTAATTTCGTCGAGGCAGTTGCGAGGTACATATGATACATGTCTACATGTATGAAGGTAGACAAGAAACAAAACGGTGAATCCAAGTCAGTCACATGGTGAAACCAGCCCAGGTGGATTTCAATTCGGCTTTTTTTTCTTTTGCTTCTCTTCTCTCTTTTTTCTCTTCTGCTATCTATTACATACACGAGCTTGCGCCGCACCAATACATGGAATATCTACGGAAAAGAAAATTTGAACTCCCACAGCTCCCATCAACGGTGGGTACTATATTCCTCATTTCTTCATGGACGGTGAAGAAAACAGAAGGCCCTTGTGGAACTGTTTCCTTTTTCCTTACTGGAATAGCTGGGAAGGCGGATGGGATTTGAGCCAAGGAACGGGGCCCCCGTTGCTCTGCCTCCGTAGGTTGTTTTACATTGATGCTTAGCAACCCGCCTAAGCCAGCAGAATGGAGTCAGAAAAGACCGCGCATGTGCTAATCCTACTGTATTGAACTGTGCAGGTCAGTATCCCTTGCTGTGCTTATACTGGCAACTTATACCCAGTATATTCATCATAATTGGTAGAACATGCCTGTTGTGTAACAAAGGGGATAGTTTTAGTGACAGTGCAAATAGTAAGATTAGCACATGGGCGGTCTTTTCTGACTCCATTCTGGCCAGTTCAAGGGGGTGTTCTTTTTCCAGTCTCCAAACATGATTGGCTCCTAGCGCCGACTGACGAATTTCTGGAATTCCATTGCTGCAACTTCGAACCACTGGCCAATTCACCAAGCCTGCGATAGGCTCGATAGGCTCGATAGGCTTCATCAAACTCATCAAACAAGCCTCTTCCCGAGGAAGGATTGAAGTTAGCCAAGATTGATTTCGACCCTGTAGATTTACAGGATCAGAAGACAGCCAGAGAACGCCAGAGTATTTGATTTACACAAACTATTGAAATATGAAATGCTGGATCAACACATCGACGCCTCGGCTCGGACACTTCAGACGATTCAATAATTATCATTCGCCCAATCATGTAACACAAGTCGCCGAAGTTGTCGTTAGTACATACTGGGGACAGTAGAAACGAGTTGATTCGACGATGGATGTGACTGTGTCCATCGAAATCCCTCCATCCATTTGTCCATCTAGTAACCCACTCGTCCAAAAAGTTGCCGCATGGTCCACCCCTTGTATACGAATGCAACCTCGATTCTCAGGTGAATTCAGGTGAAGCTACTATACCATGTATGTGTTGGTTTGCGCCTTGCCATCTACGTCTTCCTCGTGTCTTTCCTTTTTTTCGTTAAGGAACCTCGGCCTAGACAAGCTAACTCTGTAATTAATTCTCCGTTCCTCTCGCCATCCTCTACATTCGATTCTCTTTTGCCCGGAATTAAGGTAGATCGGATGAAGATTTACCTCGAATTTTGCTTAACCCGAAAAGGATACCGTCCGTATGGAAGCTTTTCTCCTGCCTTAGCGCTACCACCTGCATATGTACAATACAAAGCCTACCTACCGATCATCGAGTTCCCTTAAATGTAAAAAAATTTCCCTTAAAGAGTAACCTCCTTTTTGTTGCTTCACCGTACTCATTAACTGTGTCTAATATACATAACACACAAACCGACGTCTTTATCAGGTTGGTGATGACTGCTGTAATATCGGAGCTCTGTTATACACCATCGAGCTCTTATGTGTTTCAGTCGTCGTTATCTGACTACGAGGTATGTACTACGAAGGAATAAAGGAATCGACGGCGGGATTGCGGCCTGAAGTCCCGTGTCTGCGCGTTTGACCTTGAAGAAACAGTAGTGGTCCGTGAGCATATCAAGTTCTTCTAAGTCAGCCAGGATAACGGATCGCCGTCATGGGTATCAATGCATTCGTATCGACAAGCGTAGATCCCGTACACGTATGAGGGGCGAGGGGTCTTGTCTGAATCCCCTGTTGATCGTCTTTGTGAATCGTGATTTTACATATTAGTACAGAATACATATTACAGCGCAATACATAAGGCGGGAAGTCCCCCCTGTTTCTGCCCTGCTGCCCTGTCCGCGAACGGCTCTGTTGGGACTTGGGACCTACAATGTATTAATCGATCAGCAACCAACTTCGTCATCATTTCCATTATTTCCATTGGCGCAGACCTGGTATGACAGCATGGAAATGATGAACAGCAGACGTTGCTTGTCTCTGCTGCTCCATCTTGCATAATTACAATTATCAAACGGCAGAAACAGTCATATTGTCGAATAGGTACCTATCTCCTATGTACATACCTGCATACCTATCTTCTGAAGCAACGAATTGCCGACGGCCGGATTAGCATTAGCATGGCTTATGGCTCCAGTTGCTTCGCTTCAGGTGTGTGTAAGCGCCTTGCAAGTGAAACGCGAACCCTTGGCTCGTGTCCAATCCGAATTAGGAACCCTTGCGTGGTGACGACAAGGAAGATCCGCTAACACACGTATGTACCTTGAGGTACTAGGTATTCTGCATTTCCTATTATTCATACTCCTCCTTCGTACCGTCGAAAAAAAACTGCATTACGAGAGTAGATGTCTCAGATTTGTCGACTCGGCAGGTGAGATCTTATCATCGAGACGCTATTGGTAATGAGCAGCGATGCAATGCGGTTGATATATTATGTACCTATTATGAAAGGGCTTTTTTAATACTCATTGTTCTGCATTCCTCCTTTTTCATTATTAACGAATGCAGCAAAGCCTGGCTAGATCTCATCAGATCGCGGAATCTGGAGAAGTCTACAGATTCGTGGGGGGTATCGTACCTAGTAGTCATCCCGCATTAAAACACACAACCAGTTCATAATAGAAATGCCATGCTTGCTTAATATTCGTCTATCTAGTGTCCAGGTAGGCCAAGGCAATAAATCTATTTTACCGTCTAGCTCCCAGTTTTCTGCTATATCGGGTATGGCCCCATGCCATTTACCGCGCGGCAATGGGAGAATCAGAATAGTGTTACCGTTACTCGGCCATTAATCGACCTAACATATAGTTTTAAGGCAGGTACTGTATATAAAAAGACGCCGAAAATCATGTTAGCCATTCGAGAAACAGGTAATTTCCCTTGCGTCTATAGATGCGGTCATCATCATCAACAAGGAAACATACTCCGTCTCATTATACATGAAGAAATAATCATTTAATTAGCTCGACAGCCTGAATAGGAGTATATACCTACAATACCGTGCTTACAAACCAACACCCCCAAAGCCGAAGCTGAAAGTGAATTTTCCACGCTAACTACGACAGATACTGTAGGATCTCGTCCGCTAAATCGATGAGCAGATATCATTGCGAACACTAAGCGGGTCCACTCGCGGTCCTCACCCTTCCTTCTAGAAGGTCAAGAGCAAAGTGAATCCCTTAGCTGAGTAGTAATGTAGACGAAACGAGCATAGGTTCGTATCTGCCGTAGGGTGCGTATGTACGTATGTAAGTGCTTATGCGGCGCTCCTCCTCGTGATAGCTTATTTTCCTCCGAGGCCGCCTCCGCGACGTAATGTTTAGTTTACTTTAGTTTCGTTTCGTTTCCCTACGAAACTCCTCTTCGAGTGCCGAGTTCTGAGACGGAGCGCAAATCCTTCTGATGTCATGCGCGTTAGAACGGTAGTGATGGGGGCGGTTGGAGCAAAGCACCTAAAACGCCTCGTGGCTGCAGCATAATATGTTTATTTATGCCGCAATGGATGGGACGGTGCTGGTTTCCGGGTTTCCTATAATACATAACGACCACTGTTAGCTTACTACGATAGACGCAAGATGGCGACGCCTCGGTGTCAGTTTCTGTTGATCGTTTTATGTCATTCATGACTTATGTTAGTCCAATTTCATCTTATACTGAAACCAAAAATTGTCGGCGCAAAACTGTTATCGTGGCTGTAAAATAAATTGACCAAGATACACGTATAAGTAGGTACACAAATACATCATATTTGCTCACCTCTCATCCAAGTATTACTTTGATCTCAGATGTATTAGCCCCTTTTCATACTCGTATTAAGAGGTATGGTTGACTTACACGAGCACCGGATAGCGTCTAAGACAATGTATCTAATATGACTTAGTCATGATAAACGACTTACGTATCCCATCATCTCGTATTCACCCTATTTCAATCGTTATCAAAGTATACCATAACTCATCTCAGGGAGTGCAAAGTAACACATTGTCAAAGGCCCATATATCTTCAGCCAATAGCCAAACCACTCACGATTCAGTAAGTGTTCTCTAAGAGGTATGCATACATATTTTTTATTTATTTTCTGGCCAACCGGGCGGTATGTCTACAAGAGGTAGTAAGGTATCTAATCAAATATCTAACCTCTTCCCCTTCCGTGATGCTATAATGCTATGCAAATGCCATATGTAAGTCCTGGACCTATGTGAATTTCAGCGCCAATATTGAGAATATCCAGATACGCCTAAGTTGCCTCTTCTCCTATTCGTTAATTCGGTTGCCCGTATATTCTTCGTCATCTTCCCATTCTTTCCCCCTCTTGATAATCCAATCTAAGCCAGCCTAACTCGAAGTATGGCTGCATACCATAAACCCAAGGCATCTGCCTAATAAGATCCCTACTTAACTGAATCAAGCCTCAACCCCTCTCTCCCCTAGCCCGATTCCCTTTGCCCTCCCTCTCACCACAGCAAGAAGCGCTTTGCCTACAGCATCCATATCCCCTAACATTGTGATGTGCCCCCTATCCGTGCTCACTCTCCCCTCTTTCACCAACTCGTAGCCCTCGGGCAGCATCGCCTCTCGGGCAAGTACCACGCCATCACCGCTGCGAAAGACCAAGTCATCGTACACGTCTGCGCAAGATATCGCTTCGCGGGACGCCACACTGACCGCCCACACCGTCGGCACCTCCTTGCCGTAGATGACGGCGAGCGGGGGGTATTTGTTCGCAAGAGTGTGTTCGGGGCGGTGGTTAGTCTCTTCGCGGAACCGCTTAGTATCAGCCAACACACGGGTCAAGTACGCCAAATTAGCGGCACGCGATCCCGCGTCGGTAATTGGCTGTTGCTGTGAATCTCCTTGGGAGGAGCCCATTTGGGGCGCCAAGGTCCTGTCGGTGGCGATGTCGACCTTGCGCGTTGCTTCGGCGACAACGTTGCGCGTAGGGGACCGGGATTCGCTCGCCGCACTGTTCCCCCGGCTCCGGAGCGGCCCGGGAAGCCTTTCAGAAAGCTCTCGGAGGGAAGCTAGTGCGCTGGTGCGGGACTTAAAGGAGGGCAGGCAGGGTTCGATACACGGACTCCAGCAGTACTTAACCCACTCCTTGGGGTCGTAGAAGTCCACCGGATATTGCTCCCCTGTACTTTTGTTGATAAAGCAGAAGCCGTCTTCGGGTAAAAATATGAAGGTCGTCCTCAGTGAGAAGTGAACCTGCGCCGTGAGGACCTTCTCGTTAAAGAGAACGGCGTCGCCATTTCGAATCGGTCCTAGGATATTTATACATCGTTGCGGAGTACCCGCGTATACCACACCTGAAAACAGCTCTGGTCGTTGATTCACGGCGTGGCGTGTGATGAGGCCCCCAAGACTATGGGCAATTACCATTGCCCCCATATCCTCAGGCAGTCCCTTTCCTTGGTTCGAGGGTAGTTGTTCGAGAAACTTGATAAGTCTGCGTGAGAGTATATGAGGACTCAGCCGCCAGTCGTAACCATAGTCCCATATTCTAAGCTTTCCAGCCCGGGCGTTCTCACACTCTCTAATCCTTTTAAATAGTTTCTTCGATATATCGACAGGGCCAATATTTTTCAGCATTCCCGAAGCATAAATGGTTTCCTCCATTCTCTCCTCGTCCTCTGGACTAAGCCCTACTTCGAGGTTGACCTTTCGGATGTTGAACCCGAGCTTTACGGGTACCCAGACCTGTCGATTAGTTCTCGTAGATCTCAACACGGAGCCACGGTATCCGCCCATGATAACGATATCACCTGTTAATAATTCCAAAGCGCGATCCAGGTCCGACATGTTGTCATCCTTCGGTGCTAGTGAATTAACTTCGAATATGGCTGATGTACGCGTTACTCCCGACAGGGACGAGTCAGACTGATCAGGACCCAGCAACGAGTTCTTCTTCAGTGGTGCTGGAATGATGTTCGGCAGTTGAGGTAGCTTGAAAGTTGGCCTGTCCCAGCTGTCTGTGATAGCTTTGAGCCTACTGTTGGTTTGCTCTCGAATATCCTTCCACCTATCATCATCGCCGAAAGATGATACCCTGGATAGCGAATGATAAAGCATGGATTCGTCGGATGTGGATCTCCTTATTACCCGCGGACGATTAGGCGGCCGCGATATTGAAGAACCGTCAGCATTGGGCATAGATAACCCTATGAGCGATTGCCTGTTTGGCGGCGGTAATTTGCTCCTAGAAACCGGACCTGGCTCATTGACAAGGAATGGTGTGAATTGCTTCGGCTCAGGCATACTATCATTTAAAAGGGAAGATCTTTTTGCATCTAGACTCGGGCTCTTCGCAGAAGATGGCCCTGAGAAAAATGACTGCAAAGAAATAGATGGCATAGACGGCATAGACGGCATAGATGGCAAGGCTTCCTTTATCCTCTTTAACGCATCAGCTCCGCCGGAATTCGATCGGCGATGCTTATCCTGGCCAAACACAGTTGATAATGTTGGCTTTGGACTACCCGACTCATTCTGCACAACCATCTGTTTCGGTCCTGATTGCCATGGCGATGGAAATCTGTACACTGATGAATGGCTCGAAGGGAGTTGGCCTAAGGAAAAGCCTCTAGCTTGACGTGTCGATGTCTTGTCCACAGTCGTCTGGGTTAAAGTTTCGCTAGAGTGGCCCATCACTGGCGAAGGCTCTGGATCTGGAGTCGCGGTCCCCTCAATAACACTGAATAGACCTCCACCTGGCAGTCGTTCCAACGCGGCCGCTTTCTCTGCTGCGGGTGTTTTCGGCAGCGTGAGCCTCGTCGCCACAGGGCTCAATGCCGGCTGTATGATGGACTGAGCATCATCCTGATCGATATACAGCTGCTCCTCATCCGCTGCATCGTCGGACGTTGGAGACGGCTCTCCATCCGAAACTACCAAGCTCGGCGGCTCAAGAATGCTTGGCAGGGGCACCCCCTGAGATCGTGTAGCTGTTTTCGCCATGTCGCCCAATCAAGTAAGACGATGTCATTGAGCGTTCAACTTTTCAATTATATTTGAATTATCCGCCTGGATACTGTTGACAAAAAGTTCTTGGCAGTGCATTTGACGAAAATTTTAGAATTAATAGTCCTCGGTGCAAGTGAGATCGCAAACCGGAAGCGCCGGGGAGGAATTATTAAGTCTTTTCATATGAAAACAATTAGTTTAAGTAGCTAAGCTCGTGACTCGGCAACATTGGGAAATGCGCTGGAGAGCAGCCGACGCTAATTGTGGGAAGAAGTGGGTTTATCATATGAAATTCGCCAACGCTATCGAAGTTGGCAGTTTCAATTGTTGGATGGTATGTAGATAACTGTCGAGTTGTCTCTGCTGCTTTAGGTCTTTGTTAGGATTGGAACGAACCGGACTTGGTTATCGTTGAATACCTTACATACCTGGTAGACTGGCAGGCTGGTAGGTACCTTACGTTAGGCAACGCAATAAAATTGACCTAACTTACATGTCCTTATGGATATAAGCAAAATTGAATGGTTCCCGGTGGCAATGAGGGAGAGATGAAGAAGAATGATTTGAGGAAATGTTAGAAGACCGAAAGTCTGGACCCATCAAACTTACAAACCTTGGAACTACTTTGTATGTATCTGTGTATGTACCTAGGATCATTGATGTACCTGCCACTAATTATAACAAGAACCTTGAACTTTTGAACCTTATCAATATAGCCACATACATACAGGTATTCAAAGTGCAGTAGCACCCGCGAAGCCACGTACTCTCCTGCCGTAAATCTATCTACGCCCGATCAGTCCCTTCTTTACCCGGACTATCTCACTGTTCGGGGGTAGCTGCTCACGTTCGGTGGAAGGATGCGGCGGGTAAGTACAACCTTGGGAGTTTGTCATATTTTAATGGACTTTTGAGATAAAAAAGGAAATGGTTACCGGCGAATCGGGGCGGTGTAAGTAACCCGTTAAAAGTATGACGAGCTGGCTAGTCGGCGTTGGCGTGTAAGATAACGATTTGTTTGACCTTGTGCAGCCCAATTGCTTATATTATCAGGTAGATGCTCATATGTATAGTATTCTATACATATATTTATTGCAGAATACCTACCTACATTATAATGCCAATTTAAATTGTATCGAGGTTGGGTCAATCTATTGCTATTGTTGAGAAGCGGTCGAAGAATAAAACCAAAATGAATCAATGAGACTCGGGACCCCAAACACAGCCTCTTAGATGGATCGGCCTATTCTATTGAACGCCATTGGCTGATTGATGCACGTTGACGAAATCTATCTTCAACAGGCCGGGATGTTAGGTTGACCGCTACTGCAAGACGGACGCTCTCAGCTCCCGCCCCAAACCGCGATCTTCCCATGCATCCAATCGATACGCCGTATTTGGAATTCGTTTATTTCGTATTCGCGATATCTTCTTATCGGTAACACACGAGTAGAGAGCAATAAATAATACCTACATATATACACGATTGAAACCCCTCAAAATTCAACTTATGGGAACTGGATACCTAGGCTTGAATCGATTTCCTTGACTTTTTGAACTGAATTCTTATACCCGGGATGTGCCTCGAGTCTGTCGATGTACGCAAAAAGCTTGGGGAACAATTTCTTCGGTCCACCAGCCTCCCATGTCCCGAATGTCTCAAATTTATCCTTGGCCGCCATCAACGCGAAGCTGATAAGCACATCCGCAGATGTAAGATCCGACCCGCATAGGTAATCGCCCCCGGATGTCTCTTGTTGTTCTAGGAAACCTAGTTGAGCCTTTGCATTCGGAAGAACAAGGCGGCTGAAGAGTTGGTTGACAACCAAGGATGTTATCGGGCGGATGAAGAATGGAACCTGAGGACTCTTAAGTGCGCCCAGTACCATTGCCATGATGAGCATCGACATTAGGGAACCCTCAACGTAATGCAATAAGTATTGCCATCGCATCCACTGCTCCGTTTCGCCGCCAATTTTTCCTTCCTGACCTTCCTTCCAGCGCTTAGGCATCATCGTAGTACCTTGGCCAAAATGCTCGCTCAGGTATTGAACGATGAATCCACTTTCGGCAAGAACAATTGGCTCCGTAGACCCCGGAGGCGTGATAGAGATCACAGGCGATTTGCCTAGCGGATGGATCTTCTTCAGCTCCGGCGGGGCAAGCATGTTGACCCGATGAAAAGTCTCGAGCTCATAGGGCAACTTGAGTTCTTCAAGCAGCCAAAGGATGTTTTGAGCACGAGACTTCTCTAGCCTACTCAATTGTTAAAACTATATAATTGATGCTGACGAAAAAAATATGAACGTACCAATAGAGCTTAATCTTCGACTGTTCTTCTGTAGCCATGGTTGATGATGAGCAAACAATAGTTTGCCGAGAACTGAGACACTGATCTAGAGAGGATTAAATAACAATGTTGAAGCTCGGGAATCTTTCTATCCGTTCAAGCTGAGCGTTGGCGTAAAAAAATACTACCTAAGTATAAGGCTAGGACGGTCATCCCTGAAATCCGAGGTACCTAACCTATCAAATATGTAATGAATACCAATAAGGATGGACCTGTTTTTTGATCGAGCCTTGTCAAGTCTTTTTAAACTCTTTTTCGAATAGCTTTGTCTCTCTTACGTAGCTGCGTAGTACTACTAAGCAGAGAGCTACTTAGTTGCCGAGGCATTATTATGTTACACGAACGCATTGTGGACATCATCGATTTGCCTAGGCCGTTTAGTAATTAGGTAGGAAACATCAAGATTACGAGAGAGGATAGCTAAGAGATATTATGACATTATGTATATTCGTGGCACAGATAGGTCCATATCGTTCGACTGTTCCTTGATATACCTAGTAGATATTATAAATCATGCAAATTATGGTTCACTTAGAGAAGTAAGAGGATATTTGATCCATCATATGCATCGTCACTACCTACTTACGTCAGCGGTAGACTCCGAGGTCACCTCGGGAGATAGATTTAGATTACGTAATGAGAAATAGCCACAGTGTGGCTTTATCCCCCACGTTGTAAAGCCTCAGTCCATTCAAGACGTCTACAATCAATTGAAGCTACTGGAATCATTCGCGATTTAATTATAAAATCGCTTGAAACAAACCATCTTAACATTTTCCCAAAGTGCGCGGCTACTGCCAATATCATTCAAGATGGCTGGAGCAGAGCATTACCGTAAGTCTTCTCCCGAGATCGCAATTGCGACAATCGACAAGGAAGAAAGCTAATAGTATTGATAGGTTTGGCGGCGGACCCGGCCATCCAGAAGCTGGGAAGTATGTTCACCCGATTCTTCCTCCTTGTTACGAGCGGCTACTTCGCGAGAACGAACGATATACAGGAATTTTAAGAGGGAGATTGTCGCTGACTTCTATGCGCAATAGCTATGACCTCAAACCGTCACAAGTACTTCCGATGGACCCCGAGAACCGCTCGACTCACAATCGCCTACGCAGTCGTTGTACCCCTTATCCTCGGAACTATCGCCTACAACACAGATGTGAGTAATATGATCTTATGTTGACTTGGGTGTGGTTTTGCGAAGGGTCACCGACGCTAATTAAATATGTAGGGGAAGTTCGATATCCGAGCGAAGAGGAAGGGCGACTTGATTTCCGAATACTAAGAATAGTCTCGAAATAAGAAAACCGTGAACGATTGTATATAGAAATAGGCGTATCACAATAATGAGACAAGAACTTCGGTCAAGATGCCTTTTAGTATCTACTGCCGTATGATCTAGAATTTGCGAAAGGATTAATGATGTTGTCCGTAGTTGGACTGTATCACAACATTGGCCATGATGTCACTAGGCGATCATTGATATTGATGTGTCTGTCATGAAGAGGCGTCCCTAAAAAATCCATGTAGACTTTGCTTGGAGCTTCTTAAGCATTCGCCGTTATATATTGACAATGCATTGATATAAGCTCTTTTCTTGAGATCTAGAGAACGAAACAACACAAAATGTCACTACACAGTAGGTATTTCGTTAAGATGATACTAATAAAGCCTCAACTAAAATAATTGTAACAAACTTTTGTAACCTCGATCCACGCTACCTAACCGCCAAAATCCCAATGCAAAGTCCGAATAATGCATATTACAAGTAGGAAACCCTAGGTAGAGACGATACAGACAGCTGTAGGGGTATATAATGCTATGTTTTTTCTTAGTTGAATACCCAGAATATCGCCTGAGTATCGAAAATCTAATTCCAAGTCATGTTAGTAAATATTGTAGAACTAGTCACAAACAGACGACGACCTGTAACGGCTTACAAGACTGGCTAAATTGATAACTCACTTTGTTATTTGCCCACATGAAAAGATTTATCCCATACTTCGTTCTTTTACCACCAAGTACAATTGGTCTCACATCGATCCTCATGTAGTCTGCAGGACACGTCATCGTATATACCACCATCATCCGTCAATATCGTCTTCCCCCCCTACCACGCCCAACTGGCGGCGGGTCAGGTAATCGCTCTCCTCTCCTCCACTCGCCACTCGGTATGCTACCACGGTTGAACCCGTCATACCCTCTACCGCTATTTCTCGGTCTTGCAGGCCGACCTTGTCCATTCTCACTTCCGAACGAACTGCTAGGCGGGCGTCCCATAACAGATCTCGTCTCGGTAAGGCCGTTCCTTGCGCTAGATACTGGAGCGACAGCCCCATTGGGTAGTGGGGGAAGGACGGCGCAGGATATGAAGTCACCGACGACAAACCTGGCGTCCGTTAGGGTCTTCTCGCCATCGTCCTCGGGCTCCTTCTCGGCCTCGACGTCTTCGGGGTCTAGGCCTCTACCCCCATCGCCTATTACTACGCTGCCTAGGTCTTTGATAGCGTACTTTGCGGTCGTGTGACCAGCAGCGTTATTGCGGGTGTCTGGGAAGATGAGACGGAAGGCCACGCGAGTGCCTACGGCCGGGTCGGGGAGGAGGTGCGGTTTCGCGGCAGCAATATTATAAACGAGCTCCGTCAGGGAGACGTCGGGCCAGGCGTGTATGGTTATATGTGGCGGGAACGGTCCGTTGGTGAACTCGTCCGGTCTAGAGCGAAGATTTGCATAAGCTACCAATGGACCATAAGATGTCTTAAGAGACGCTTATGCTTACCTATGAAATGCGCCCGTTCGGTAAAAGAGCCGTAGCATAAACGGCGGTGTTGTGTGACGATCCATGGCGATGTACTAAGTAGGTGTGGTATCACTTCCCTAAGCTGTAACCCTAAGAACCTTGGAAGGACAGCTTCGTAGGGGCGAGCCAATCTTTACTCTCAATTCATGTTGTTGCTACGGGAAAGAGTTCGAGTGGAAAAGATTGGAACGTTAATATATCAGGGGCTAAATAGAGATCTTCGGTGGTTGAGGCTACCGAGCCGTGGTAAAAAGGTGCCCAAGTCTTTGAGCAGGAGCAGGCGAAGGCGCGAGCTCGGGGAAGCTTCAACGATAAGATTTCAGTATAATCAAACAACCTCCGGGGGCACTTAAATAAAGTTTAGGGTCCCACTCACCAATACAACACCACGATACCCCAGGCCATTTAGCGGCGTTTACAGTTGTACGGAGTGATGCAATTGGGTGGCATGTCGGTGTTTCCCGCCCCAAATTCACCGACTCTGGTACTAATCGATAGCTACCCGCCTCTGTTTTCTGTTTTGGCAGTTCGTTAATTGAATCTTGCGATTCATCTCGTCATCCCAATCCATACCTCAATTAATACCTACATCCAACCAACTAGAATAGCCCAAAGTCTAGGGCCTCGCTATCACTTCTATTCACCTACAAGAATCCATACTCCACAAACCCAACCCCAGCCTCGCTGTTCCACAAAGAACACCCCCCACCGCGACCATGGATTTCGCATCCCTCATGTCCGCCGAGCTCGCCAAAGCGTCTCCCAAACCCAACAACGACGACAAATCCTCCTCCTCCTCCTCCAAGAAATACATCCGCCGCTCCGAAGCCGAAGCCCAGCGCGAAGCCTCCTACCGCGCAGAGCAAAAGGCGCTCGAAGAGAAACGCGCAGCCAAAGCCGCCGAGAAGCGCAAGCGCGAAGAGGAAGCCGTAGAAGAGGCGCGGGTGCGCGAGGACAAGCGACGGCGGCTAGAAGAAGAGACACGGCGGCGTCGCGAGGAAGCCGCGGCCGAAGAGGAGCGGCTGCGTAGGAAACGGCTCGGATTACCCGAGCTACCGACCGAGGACGCCAGCAACGGCAGTCGAGAAGGAAGCGAAGCCGCGGACGGGGAGGAGGACATTCCGGACGAAGAGCTAGTGGCGAAGCTGCGGGAGCTGGGACACCCGGCGACGCTGTTCGGGGAGACGCATCGGGGGCGGCTGAGGCGGTACCGCAAGTTGACGACGGTGGTGACGTCGGGGCCGATCCCGACGACGCTGCGGCTTGTCGACGAGAAGGACATGAAGATCTCGGATGCGATACCCCAGGATCGCCCCGGACGGGTCTACTTGTTCCGCCAGCTGGCGTCGTACTTCACGATGGTGCTGCGGGAGTGGGAGGTGGCGCTCGCGCGCGAGGAAGGGACGCGTGATACGTTTGCCGGGAAAGCGGCTGTCAATGCGATGGTGTCGAGTCGCGAGAACATGGTGCCGCTGTTTCGCAAGTTCGAGAAGGGAGAGCTGGACGACGACGTGCTGAAGCCTGTTGTCGAGATCGTGAAGGCGGCTCAGGAGCGCCGATACGTCGACGCTAATGATGGGTACCTACGCCTAAGTATCGGTAAGGCGGCGTGGCCGATCGGAGTCACCATGGTGGGTATCCACGAGCGTAGCGCTCGAGAAAAACTGCACGATGGCGAGAGGGGACATATCATGAGTGACGAGGTTACGAGGAAGTACTTGCAGAGCATCAAGAGGTGTCTTACGTTCGCGCAGGTGCGGTGGCCCCCGGAGGATATTAGACAACTCATGGGATGATTTGGGAGAATAGAACTTAATATGTTCGTAAGCTATTCCTAGCAATGGGTATTCGTGAATTTCATTTCCCTGCCAAAGATATCTAGTCGTTCAGCCATAAGCTCGCACAGTCTTTTGTAAAAGCTCCAATGCAATGCCCCCGTGACTCCCTATCCTAACTCCTAAGGATCACTCGATCTCATATCATGCACGTGTCCGTATCGTCAGTTTGCGAATCGCTAGCTGAGTTATCGCTCTCGATTCGTATCTCATCCACCTCGAGCTCATGTTCCCTGCAAGGATTGCCGCCCTACTTCAGCAATGCCTCCTAGGCCACAGCCTCGCTCGAGTTCAGCTGTCTTCTGGGGTCCTCTGGCCAAACATCACCCAAGCCAGCTCCCCCGGCCCCTTTTCGGGAACCCTTAACTTCGAGATCAGCTGCTACGATGTTCATTCGTCTAATTCGCTCGATAGCTTCTTTTTCGTAGTTGTTGGCGGCATCCAAGGCCTGTTTCTGCATAGCAACTCTGGCATTGTTGGAGACGGCGACGAGGAGCTAAACCAATATATTAGCAATTGATTACTATATCCAACAAACATAACATATATCAGCTCACCTTGTCAATGGTATTGATGCGAGCATTTAGGGCTTTGTTTTTTATCATTTCGACAAGCTCTCGCTCGATAGACTCTCCAGGCTTGGCGAAGGTTGCGTTCATGCTGTCCAAGGTAACGCATGAAAACGGTAGGAAATATTGAACGATACACTTGCTGCGAATCTGCGAGAAGATAGTGGAAGCATGCTTCTGAAGATATATGTCGAGGAGATAATCGTTTGCGTGCGACTCGATTATTTCCAAACAAGAGGAGTATCGTCCGTTGACGAACATAGAGACAGCCTTGCGGATATGTGGCTCGAGTTCTAGATAGCTTCTGAAGCTAGAGTTGTCTAAAACTCGGGACTGCAATTCTTTTCGGTCCATCGAAGCGAGTGCTAGAAGTCCGCCGTACGTAGCAACATCATTCGGACTGACCGTGTCGTTGTAGTGATGGGCGTGGTTCGCGTTATCGACTCTAAGAAAGCATCTAGCAGCTTCGTAGAATTTCCCGAGACCGAGATTTGCTAGACCTGACATGATCTTCTGGTAGGGTTGCTCGGCGTTCGGATCGTCGTTGCTTCCCATATTCGCCGCTTGAACCTTATTCACATTTGCCAATAGCCCAGCCCAGTCTCGCTTTTGAAGCAATATGCTAACAACGTGCTTGACTACGTCTTGAATATGCGCTTGGGTACTAGCGTCGGGCCTCATCTTGATGTAGTATTCGGAAGCGGTGGTTAGATCACCAATGGATTCTAAGTGTTCGCCGAGATCACGGTGGCCAATCTATGATCATTAGCATGAAATAATCCGACGGTGTTGTTTGTTTAGCTCTGATAAGAATCCATACCCTAATGCTTTCCTTGACTAGATTGTTTTTGTATCCCTTAAGCTCAGTTTCCATCCTAAGCGTTTCCGCCTTGTTTGCCCGGTCTGTTTTGTTTACCCAAGCCTCGTCCCACCTAGCCTCAGGTTCGTCTGGTGCGGCAGCGCGGATGCATTCCCAGGCATCACGGTATCGTTGGATATCCTTTCCACGCTTGGCTTCGATTATGGCAGCCTTTAGTGCATCGACGCATAGGGGTACGGAGGATTGGCCAATCAACAATAGTCGCTCAAAGCGTGTACGACCTAATTGATTAAATGGTTAATATTTGCTGCTAAAAATAATGGTTGTAAAGAGAATAACCGAGCGAACGGGATGGATCGCAAACGAGAGAATGGACAAACCTCTGTAATTGGATATATACAATTCAAGATCTAGCTTTGGAGCATCTACAATATGTCAACATCAGCTTCTTCTTGTAAGGTTTATTCAAATCGCATTATACCTCTGACGATGATGCCTCCCTGGTTATCCATGGTGGTAAAGTAGGCGAGCAGATTCTGCTCGTTAGCCATGTTGACGGCGTTGAGCTATGGAAGCCTAACGTTTAATTCGTATCTGAAATCAATGAATTCGTTCCGGAATAGAGTATGAAATCGAAGTGTACAATGAGGGCGCGACTGGTATATTCACCGCGTACCTGAAATAAGTAGGTCAATATGATGTGCGATGTACGAAGTACGATGCAGATAATCGGTTAGATAGATTGAAGGTCTAAGTTAAGGCAGGGTCCACTACGGTTGGTCGTTGAAGCTGAGTCGTTGTTTTGGCGGGGTAGCTTCAACCCGACATGTACCTATGGACTATGGGGAACCTTAAAGTTCTAAATTCCATATCGGCCTCAACTATCGCCTTATCGCCCATCGGATTTTCACATGCTGTGAAGCCTATTGGTTTAAAATCCAGGTACACGGGTACGTATTAAGCTAGCGTGAGCGTAGGGCTTAAGTGGGGTTAGTTTATTGATCAAGAAGGTTTGATGGTTGAAAATGCGCTGCCATTCGCTGAATGCGACTTCACATCTTTCTTTGAATCGTCCATCTGGTTACCTAGGCAGCTTTCAAGTACTGGAGATTCAAGGGATAGCAAATTCATATTGCTATCGTCGAACTGATTCCAATAAGGACTATTAGGTATACCGTATGTCATATCTAATAAGTGAAGTCTAGGAACTTGGCGACTCCATTTTGTTCTTTAATATGATGGACTAATTGAAATCCAGCCAGTATTCGATTACCTGAGTATAGAAAGCAACACGTCGCTATACCTACATTAAAATAGGTCACGTAGATTCACATCTTTATCATGGATGTAGAATATTTTCGAAAGGATTAAGCCAACTGTTTGAATAAATTTCAAACACATCTATGGATGGATGTGTTGGTCCATTCAACTAGCACGCCAAGCCATTATTCCCAATGCTTGAGGCTCTATGGAGAAACTCATGGTACGTGTGTAATCCATAGTGAACCTCTTTCCGCTTGCCGGAAAATGCGGGAAGAATTACTCCCCGATTATTCACGGAGGCCTCAATCTATTGTTTAGGAGTAGTGCATACCGACATTAATTCCCGAGGGGTATTTGGAGCGGCTCATTCCACCTAGTAGATTACATACTTAGTACATAAGTAGGTGCCTACAAAACCGGTCAAGAGGTTTAGATTAAGATAGGATACGAATGTATAGAATACTAAAACTAACTAGCTAGTTAGTATAATCATAGAGTTATATTCGTATTAATAAATATAATTATAATAAGCAAGCAATGGGCATAATATAGCTGCCTACACAGAAGTCCAGGCACGTAGGTAAATCTTCGTTAATCAATGACTAATCGGTCAAGAGGCCAAACCCTTTCTCCCTGACGGCCAACATGAGAAGCATGTCGCGAATAGTGCCAAGCTTCAGGTCTAGGCTTGGACGGTGACGTGAGCTCCAATCATCGCGTGTTCCGATTGATAGGAGCCTTGTCGGTGGAGAGGGCCAAGACGACCATTGTGCCGGTTTTCCGAGATCCAGGTAACTCTACCTAATCAACAACTGAAGTCTTATGAACATATAAGTATTTAAATAAACGTATAATGTAGCATTGTCCAGGGTGAAGGAGATGCTAAGAGATGAGGCTTTGGATTAGGTACCTGGGTTGCGAATGTACCTGTGTAAACCACCTGGCATCGATGTCTCATAGATACATTTTACTTTTCGAAGTTTTTTATATTCTGCGAGTAGGAAAATTGCTTGGCAGTCCGGTCTAAGGTATGCCAAGACCGCCATGGGTCCCCCGCGTAAGTGATCCATCACTTAAAGGCCTGTAATGATACTCCATGTTCCTGACCAGTAACTTTAACGGCACAACCACTTTTCCATAACGATACAACCACTTCCTGATTAGGATTAATTAGTGCCACGACACCCTACCACTTAATTTCGCAGTGTTTTTATCGCATATTTTATCTTAACGCAATTTTACTAGTTTTATACTTTAAAACCACTTTTAATTTAATTATATTTAATTATTTAATATATATAATAACGTTAATTAAATTAAATCGATTTATTTATTATATTAAATTATAATACGAAGTTATATTAATTTATTTAAATTCGAAATTATTTTTATTTAAATTTAAATAATATAATAATAAAATAATTTTTAAAATTTATTATATTATATTTATAATAATTTTAAACTTTAATATTTTTTTTTAAACTTTTATATTAATAATAATTTTTATAATTTTTATTATTTTTATTTAATTAATAATAACGTATTAATTATTTTTTCGAATATTTATTTAATATTATTTTATTACGTTATTTAAATTTAGTAAAATTATTTTATTTATAAAAATATTTATTATATTTTTTAATTAAATATAAACGGCTTAAAAACGAAAAAATTTTATTTCGTACGATTTTAATTAATTATTTAATTTATACGAAATTACTTTTAATATATATATTAAATATATACACGAATAAAAATTTATAGTTATTATTTTTAAATTTAATAAAAAATAAGGCTTAAAATTTTCGAATATAATTAAATATGCGGTTTTTTTATATAATTATTACGGCGATTTTAAAATAATTAAAGTATTTTTTTAACGTTAACGATTTTTTTAAAAATATAATTATTTTTATAAAACCACGATATTATATAATAAAAAAATATTAAAATAATATATTTAAATTAAAAATTTAAATTATAATTATTTTTATAATAATATCGAAATTAACGTTACGTTTCGGCGGTAATAACGTAAATTCGTAAATATAAAAATCGTAATATTAAAGTTATTACGAATTAATTCGTTAATTAATAATTAAATTATTTTATATTTATTTAGTAAATTTTAAAAAATAAAAGAAAATGCCGATATAATATACGGTATAAATTACGATATTAAAAATTTATTTAATATAAATTTTATTAATTATAAACTTATTTAAACCGTATATACGAACGGAATAATAATTATTTTTAAAAATATATAAAATATTAATATTTTATATAAATAATATATATAAAAAAAATTATTTAATATTTAAATATTATTTAAAAAATTTTAAAAATATAAAAATATTTATAATATCGATTATTTTTACGATATTAACGAAAAAATTAATAAAATAACGAAGTTATTTTAAATTTTTAAGTAATATATTAAAATATGAAAATAATATTTTAACGTATTATTATTTAATAATACGTATTACGTAAATTAATATATACGTTATTAAATTTATATATATTTTATATATTAATTTTATAATATTTAAATTAATAAATTCGATATATTATTTTTTAATATTATAAATATTATTTTTTTATATACGAATTTTTACGTGGTTTTTAAGTTATTTTTTAATAAATTAAAACTCGATTTTTTATAATATTTAAAATGTTTAAATAAATTATAATAATAATATTAAATTTAATTTTTAATAATTATATTAAATAATTTCGTTAAAAAATTTAAATTTATAGTTAATTAAATTTTCGAAAATACGTTTTAATAATTATATAAATGGTATATATTTAAAAACGTTATTTATTATATAAAGTAAAAATAAATTAATTTAAATAAAAATTTTATCGTTAAATTACGAAATATCGATAAAATACGGTTTTACGGTATTTTTAAATATAATAAGTTTAAATTAAATTTATATATATATAAAATAATTAATTAAAAAAGTAATAATAATAATAACGATTTTAAAAAAATATAAAATAATTAATAAATTACGTAGTTATTTAAAAAAATAAAAGTTTAAAATTTAATTTAATATTAAAATTTAAATATTAAAAAATAATTAAATTTTTATAATAATTTTATACGAGTTTTTCGAAATTATATTTACGTTAATAATAAAAATACGTTTTAACGTATTTAAAGTTTATTAAAAGGGAAATTTCGAAAGTAAAAACGTATATTACATTTTTTTAATTCGTAATTTTATTAATTTTTAAGTTAATTAAATTTTTTATACGTTAAAATAAGGTTTTATAATTTAAATTTTTAAATAATACGTAACATTTTTTTTTTAATTATTTTATTAATTTTTTTATTTTTAACGTTTTTAAATTATATAATTACCATTTATTTTTTTTAACGAATTAAATTTTATTAATATATAATATTTTATATATATAATTACGAGATTATTATAATTAATCGAATTAAAATAATTTATTAATATTTAAAACGTTATTTTAAAAATAAATATAATAATTTAAATTTATTATATAATCGTATTTATAAAATATATATAAATTATAAAGTTAATTATAAGTAAATTATTAAAAAAGTTAAATTTAACTTTTTATTTAAATATAATTAAATCGGTTTATTTAAATTAATAAAGTTTTAAATAATTTTAATTTTTATGTAAAAAATATAAAAATAATATCGATTTATATATAACGATTACGTAATTTAAAAAAACTAAGGTATTAATTAATTACTTTATAAAAAATTATTTATTAAATAATAAAATTTATTTTATAAATATATGTTTTTTAAATTTTTACGAATTAATTTAAATTAATCGTAATTTATTAAAATTTAAACTTTAAAAATAAAAAATATTAACCGTTATTAATGGTTTATTAAAAATAACGGTTTAATTTTAATTAATAATAAATAATAAAAAAAAGTTATATTAAATTTTATTCGTTTTTTAAAAAGTTATTAGCGTTATACGGTTTATATAATAATATTTTTATTAATTTTATAATAAAGTAAAAAAGAATTAAATTTTTTAAACTTTAAAATATATAAATTAAACCGTATAAAATTAATTAATTAATTTTTAAAAAATAACGATTATATTAATCGTAAAATTTCGTTATATAATAAGTTTTTTTTTTTATTTATTTAACGATAATAAAATTATAAATTTAAAATAAAAGTTTAAAATAAATAAATTAATTAATAAATAAAAAACTTATAAAAATAAGTATAAAATTTATAAAGTTAATAATTTTAGTTTAAGCCGTAATTTAAACCGTAATTTAAACTTTATTTTATATTTAATATATTATTTTTTATTAATTTTATACGGTTATTTTTATTATAAATATATATTTTTATTATTTTATTAATTATTACGAAATTTACATTAAAAATAAATAATATAAACGGTATATAAAAATATTAATAATTTTAATAATTATTAATGTTACGTTCGTAAAAACTATTAAATTAATTATATATAAATTAATTAAAATAATATATAAATAATTAATTTAATTAATATAATTAACGTTTTAATTTTTAATATTTTATATAATTTAAATATATATTATTAAACTTTTAATTATAAATTATTTAATTAAAATAAATCGTTTAAATTTAATTAACGTAATTACGTATATTAAATAATTAAGTTAAAAATAGTTTTAAAGTATAAAATTAATAAAATTACGTTAAAATAAAGTATGTAATAAAAACATTACAAAATTAAGTAGTAAAATGTCGTAGCACTAACTAATCCCAATCAAGAAGTGGTTGTGTCGTTATGGAAAAGTGGTTATGCCGTTAAAGTTACTGTTCCTAACCAGTAAACGTGATTTCTTCGGTGGCAGATATGATGTCATTGATGCACTAATAAGAGACCGTCGTTGCAAATGCCCATAGCCAGCTTTCGTGTTTACATCATGTTCGAAATATTACGGATACTAGTTTCGTAAAATTCTCTTTGAGAGTGTTGCGGCAGTTTTGCTTTTCCTACTACTAGGTAGGTAGACATATTTACTAAGTACCTAGTACCTAGATAGGGCTTAAGTAAAAGTGTAATGTACCTCTAGGTAGTACAGAGTACAAAACAACAAATTATACAAGCCAACAACATCGAAGAAGATTAATATCCAATTTACCCAATTGGGAAAAGTGCTAGTATTTTTGAAATACGCCGTATATGAGTTCGAAGGCTATGATTAAGCAACTTCAGCTCAGCCTTGTACGTAATGAAAGAAACTGACTGACTTCCAATCATTAAATCCACACTTACACATACCTTACGTGTAAGTAATCATTCAACACCGAGGCAGGCCCGAGGACCAAACTACCTCCTAAGACAATGGATACGTTAAAGCCTGCCAGGTTTCAAGTGTGGATGATAAGCAACCATCTACAAATGCCCGAGAATGTGAATCGTCCAAGTTCTCGTTGAGTTTTTATAGTTATGCTGCTCTCTAAAATATGTTAGCGAATCAAAGTTAAAAACGGATATCTTGATATCAAAAACTTGAGTACCTAAAGAAGCTTTGAGGCCTCCAGTGGAAATTAATGCTCCAGTATAAAGATACTTAACTTACCAAGCCTAACCTACATGTGAGCTTACACAAGAAACGGGATGCTGCTTTAACTCGATAGCAAGATTAATAGCCTTTAACGACATGCAATGACTGTTCATGGTGTTGATAAGTTTCAACAGCTAAACCTATGTTATAAACGTACCTTTTCCTTGGCTAGGTATTTAATACCTATATAAATGTTTATAGCCACCTGAGCAATGATCTAACCTACCCCAAGATTCTCTATCTATGGTATCCGAGGAAATACGTATGTATGCAATGGAGTCACAATCATGTAAGTGAGATATTGATATCCGTACTTGCTTTTTATATGTATCAACTATCCGTGCCTGCCTGCCTACCTACCTACCTACCTACATCAAGCCTATCTCAAGTGCTTGTAGTACATTCAATGTTCATCCATGATACTTCCATGTGTGAACCCCAATGAACCTGCCATATCTTGTCCGGCGTGACTCGTACTTCCCACGCGGTGTCTAGTGGCTGCTGGTCGCGGGTGCATCTGCATTTCCTTAGCAATGTTTCCCGGTTGCATGTATCTGGTAGCTCAAAGCTTCGGCGGCCCCGCGCTTGCTTTGCAGAGCATCTCCTAATTCTCCCAATTGTCCCGGTACATACCCCTACCACCATCTGCACCTTACATACAGGTACATATGTACCCACCCCCCAAGCCATTTTGGCCAGTTCTAGTCCATTTCTAGTCCATCCCAGTCCAATCAAGTCCACCTAACCCAAAATACTCCCAAGACCCAAGACCCAAGACCTGAACTTTGACCTGTCTTTCTAAAAAAGCCATCCCCACTTGAGCCACCACGTCTTCTTGGGCGTTCCATCGTCTTTTCCCCTTGAATGAAATGCCTCTATGGCCGAATTGACTTCGCACTTCCGCCAACTTCATTACCTGTTCCTCTAAAGATCAGAGGGGGAAGAGAGATATCCCGATATCCTAGTTCTGCATCAGATATTCAAAGCTCTTAGGCCCCAGTTAGCATCGGTTTCAATCTTTCCAGCCTTGGATATAGGACCGATCGGGTTCTTCCGACCACCTTGCTCTCGTTTGTTTTTTTTTTCTTTTCTCTTCATTTCAATTCAATTTGATCGTGTCTCCGTCCGACACCCACCTTCATCGCAAGACTTCAGACGCGACAAATCCTCGTTCGGTAACTAGGTAAGGTATTTTCCCGGTACATATTCTCGCCCGCTGTAGCCCTACAGATGCAATCTGTCTCTCTCCGAGATGCCAAATTCTCTTTAGCCAAACAAGAGGAGAAAGAGAAGAACCTCCAAGCATACGTAATAGCGAGACTAGCCCTACATTAGACACCTACAGAGGTCTTTTACAGACCTAATCTTGGCAACTTGGGCACTCTGTATGTTCCAGGGCTCTTACCTACCTCTTACTTGCGCTACTCGCATTAGCCACTGCCACTACCACTACCCATCACTACCCCCGTCTTACCTTATTTTACCTACAACTTTTTTTTTCTTCTACTTTCTTTCCTTCGACCATCAACGCCCAGATAAGAAATATCTCTACTATTTTCTTTTCTCTGCCCTGTTGTTTTACTTCTGAATAATTTCTTGCTATCGTTAAATCCAGTCATTTAACCATTGCGCTCGTTTATGAGGGTTTAATTGGACAGAATCCCTCATGTGAAACTAACATATCTTCGTATAGATAGCTTCATTTTAATACTCTGCATCTTGGCATTCGTCAGTTTTTGAACGTTTCACCTAGGAGTGGCAAGTAACTTTGAAAATGCGTCGGGAACATATCCCCTATCTCTCGGAAAAGTGAAGAAATTGAGAAAGAAGGCGACGTCAACGGTCTGTTTTTCGCTTCTTCGAGGAGGGTGCCATCTTCGGCACCCACGACTAGCCGGTTATGTCTCCTCTTTCTCGCTCTTCACAGCCTCCGGCGAATCGCGCGGCGTCTGTAAAGCCCGAGTCCGCACAAAGCCAAGCCTCCGATGACGAAGATTCTGTCTTGCAAGCTCTTGCGACCGAGTCTCCAGCTGGTGACACGCCGGCGTCTGGAGCTCCAGGGAACCGCGCAGGGAGTGCCAGCGAATCCTCATCTATTCCTCTTCAGAAGCGCCGGAGGGTTACGCGCGCATGCGAGTATGTAATTTTAGAGCTACTTCCCCCCTTTGATATATTTGTCGAACACAACAACTTCCATGAAAAGATTTATCTAAATTGTTTATACCACTCCAACGCTTGAATCCTATTTATCAACACAGCTGCTAACTTATCTTGCTAGCGAATGTCGTAGGAAAAAGATCAAGTGCGACGGCAAGCAACCATGCACTCACTGTCAGGTGTATAGTTATGGTAACCCTCACATCCTCTAATTTGCCCTTTCCTAGCCTGGCTGATAATTTCTTGCTAGATTGTACCTATGACAAGCCTTCTAATAGGCGTAGAAATCCAGCACCGCAATATATAGAGGCGCTGGAAAATAAACTATCGAGGGCGGAAACATTGCTGCGAAAATTTATGCCAGATGTTGACCTTAACGACCCGAGCCTGGATCCTGCCGTCCAGCAAGAATTTCGTATCCGGGAACAGGCTAGAATTCGAGCTGCCGCAACGAAGGGAAAACAGTCCGGCTCGTCGTCCTCCGTGGATGCCCAGCTGCATTCTATGATCGAAACTGTCGGCCAACTCGACCTCGACGAAAAGGGCGACTACGACTTCCACGGAACCTCTTCCGGATCGGTCTTCTTTAAGAGAATGAAGGACCATTTTCGTGGTCTTCTCGGCAGAGACTATCAAATACCATTTCTTCCCCGTCCACCCCGACCTCCAGGCATGCTCACTCTTGATTCTCCCTCGCCGAAGTCTTCATCCAGCTCGCGGACGCCTCCGATTCATAGTGCGAACAGATATGATTTACCTTCGAAAGAACGAGCACTTGCGCTCTGTTCTGAATCACTCTATAATGCGACGTGTCTCTTGCGAATCGTTCACATCCCTTCTTTCTACGAAATGCTTGATGGGCTTTATGAAAAAAAGACAAGCGCGTTTGGAAAGGAAGATAAAAGGAGTCTAGCACTCGCGTATTCTGTGATGGCACTCGGCTGCATGTACAATATGCCCGACAATAACGGCTCGGACACTCCGCCTTATAAATTGGCAGTCGATGAAGCGTAATAACATGACCCTTCTACCTAAATTCATGTATCAGGTCAACTAACTTTTGAATTCTAGGATCAAATACTATAGCACAGCAAGAATGCTACTACAGGACATAACCGAGTGTCGAGATCTTACGTCTCTCCAAGCGTTGCTCTTTATGATACTATTTATCCAATCGATATCGAACCTAAGCACCTGTTATGGGTTTGTCGGGATTGCTTTGCGATCTGCACTGAGGATGGGATTGCATCGACATTTACCTCATATCAAAACGAATCCCATAGAATCCGAAACGAGGCGGAGGGTCTTTTACATATGTCGACAAATGGATACCTACGTGTCAGCATTGCTGGGTTTTCCGTTACTTCTCAACGACGAGGATATCGATCAACCTTTACCAACTGCTGTGGACGACGAATATATCACAAAGGACGAAATACTCGTCCCACCTCCAGGGACCCCCTCATTCTTTGAAGCTTTCAACGCTCACGTGAGGTTAATGGATATCCTGGGTAAGGTTGTAAAACATATCTACCCATTGAAGGGTATCGACCAGAGCGATACTGAAGGCGTAGGAGAGCCCTACGCATCATATACGATCAGCTATGGGAAAATTAAGGAAATGGAGACGGAACTTCACCGGTGGAACGAGGACCTACCATATGCTTGGCGGCCGGATCCTGAAGGTCCCGTTGAAGTTGTCCGGTAAGAGATTACACTGAACGAGATTTACCCCAGAGTTTTGCTAAGCAGTGTTCTAGAGTACGAAATCTCCTGAGGTTTACGTACGCTCATGTGCAGATGGTGTTATACAGGCCATTTCTGCATTACGTTTCTCCGCGTATCTCGGCCGGCAAGGAGGTGAATGAGCGTGCGTATGCCTGTGGAGCTGCCGGTATTAGTGTCGCCCGAAATATTGTGCATATCGGAACAGAAATGCGGAAGCAAGTTCCTCTTGTCGGCCCTTATTGGTTTACTCTTTTTACCGAATTCTTTGCCGTTATAACCTTGGTTTTCTTCGTACTGGAGAATCAAGATAAGTCCGGGACCATGGAAATACTTGCGGATGCTGTTGCGGGCAAAGAGATGATTAGTGAGCTTTCCGGAAAGAGTATGGTTGCGGACCGCATATCAAGCTCTTTAGTCGTAAGTTTGAAATCCGTAATCACGCTGGTGTTATGTCACTAATCTCGAGCAAGATGCTTTTTGACCAATTACCGGATAACCTCAAGGAAGTGAAAGCACGGACCGCATCATCTCGAAAACGGCCTTCGTCGGGGGCATCGAGGGATAGTAATAGCACGATGATGGTGCTTCCTTCGGTATATGCTAACGAACCAACAAATGCCCAAACCGATGCAACTAGCAGATCTCAGGGTATATCGTCGAAAAAAGCCGGCAAGGCTCCTGCTAGACCCATCCACCAAGATATCTCGATCAACGACTCTCCTTTGCCACAACCAGAGCTCGGCGGTCCATTTTCTTCCGGGTTCCAGTTCTCGCCGTTAGATTTATCAATACCGTCCCCCGATTCCGCAACTGCCACGGCCTTGCATGAGCCTAGTCCGATGGATTTGCAGCACCAGGAATTCAGCGCCGGTAACCCGATCCACCAGTTGGATGCTGTGATGTTCCCCTCGGATGATCCCTTGGCGTATCCCAACCAGCCTCAAGTCGACTTCGGTACGCACCAAAGTAACGTTGCCGACGCTAGCCCGGGGGACCTTTCACATCATGACCCATCTCAGTTTTACATACCTAACTTTTATGAAGGCATCGAGGGACAGCTTATGGGACCACTGCCGCCATACTTGATGCAATCACAGGCCCAGCCAGGATTTAACTTCCCACCTCAGATGTACTCGGACCCGATGCTCCTGCAGATGCACACTATTGAGCACAGGCCCTCACAGCCGCAATCTCATCTGCACTCGGGCCAATCGCGCTCGATGCGGCGACGGGGCCAACAATCGGGGGAGATGGATGGGTTACTAGCTAATACGTCGTGGCATGGAGCGTTTTCCCAACACGGAATGGACTAGGTTTATGAATAGAGAAAGGATACCCCTCTGCATGAGTGCAACACTGGCATATCAGCGAATCTTTGCTTCTTAGATGACCGAAGGTTTTTTTGGAGTTTGGGGGAATCAAAAAGCAATTATTGCTTGGCGGTGTCGGATACGGGGCCCTTCAATATTTCGGATGGCCATTCTCGTAATATGGATGTCATCCTTTTTTAAAAATATAAGGTGCTCGAGATTTGAACCGAGTCAAGTCATGTCATGTCAAGTCAAGTCAAGTGTTGCTATTTCTCGACGACAGCGGCGATGGTGATCTTAAGATATTCGGCGGGACGGCGCTTCGCCACTTTATTAAGGTGGAAGATGTACATAGATCGGCGCGAGTCAAACGCACAGCTTGACAGATATGCTATTCTACACGTTATTCTCGCTCAGGGTGTGGTGTACGAGCAGACGAGGTGCGTTTCTGGTGATATCAGGGACGGGCGATGATAGCGATCTCGCTCATAACGCATCATAAGCGATGCTCGCCTAAGCACTCCATATGCCCAACCTTTGTCGGTTCACGTCCGATGCAAAACAAGAGATGAACAGATGGACGAGGCGGCGTAGTCGGAAGGGATTTTGTTGGTCCAGTAGGTGGAGAACAAGTGGGCATATCGGCGTAGAAGTACAGAGTATGTTTTCTAAGAAGCGGGATCTCCAGTCCCATTCGGTTCCATCTAGTCCCCATCAGTCCCCATCAGACGACCCCTGCCCCTTAAGGTATTTCGGGCTGCCTTCAGGGGCTGCACGACGGCCTTACTGGAGGTCATTTGGTCTAGGAGGGTCTTCAGTGTTTCGAGTAATTATCCATACCGCACGTGTAAAATATCTATAGGTACTATGATCAGACGCGAACCGTACTCCGCCACGTGAGACCGCTCCAACCAGGCTGAACCAGCTAAGCGGCTGCATAAGCCCTTGTCGCCAAATGAGATCACCGCCCTTAACGATCTGATAGGACCACGCCTGGGGGGTTTCCCAATCGCCGAACGTGTACAACAATCCCACCCCACCGACGATGCTGTCGTTGCTCTACTCGTTAGAAAAACAACATCAGAAAGAGAGAACGTCAGTCAAGATGGAAGCTATAGATATAGACCACGACCTGGTGGTCGTCGAGGAATTCGACGCTCTGTATGTGAAAACCCCATCCCGAATTCCCAAATTCCCATTGCTGGTAATAGCAATACCCTCTCGTCCTCCATGCCGTCTCCCAAGATGGATCCCCATACTCACAACCACAACCACAACTTCCGGGATCACGTCAAGTGCAGGACGAAAAGTCTTCTGCAAAGCGCAGTGTCGGCTGCTGTCTCTGTGGCCTTGACCATCCCATTCATATCTAAATTACCACTAACCGATGTGGCCCGTAGATCTGTCGAGGTCAACAACATTGCTGAATTGGAGGCTAAAGATGGCGAAGGTCCGAAGAGATATCCCGGTGAGTGAAGAATCTCTACGTTTTATCCCCCTCGAGTTGCAGGTCAACTCCATGATTCATCTTCTAGGACTATACGTCAATTGCATCGAGTCAAGAAAGGCAATTCGTTCTGTACATTCACGGTTCAAGCTGTATTTGCCCTCGAACGGTGAAGGTGAAATCTAGGGGTAGCTCTAGATTCACCCAAGCCTCAATCCTCAATCCTCAATCCTCCCGTCTACTAGCACAACATGTGCCGAGTTATCTCATCTCAGCTCATCTCACTGCGATTCCCGAACAAGTGCCATCTCAATTACCCATCACAGTATTGCCATTGCCTTGTTTTGACTCTTTCAATTTTCTTTGTAATTCATCAATTTGAGAAAAAGTTCTAACCGTGTTTAGCAAAACAACACGCGAGGAAAGTTGCCAAAGAACTTGGCACTGACAATGGCCTCATTTACTTGCCTGGCCAGCTAGAATCGACGTGGGAAGATTCGGATCAGGGACCGCCATTTCGGCAGCGACGGTAGTAAGTATTCTGCACATCAACCAAGCAGTATCGCGAATACTGACCAAAACATCTAGTTTCTACTACCTGACTGGAGCAGACTTCCCCGGTTGCAGCGTCACATATGACATTGCAGCGGACAAGCTTACTCTGTGGGTTCCGTTCACTCCTCCCGCTACCATTCTCTGGTTCGGGAACACGCCGTCGCCCGATGACTGTCTCTCGCACTCTGACGTTCACGACGTCAAGTATGTCGGCGAACTAGCCCAGTACCTGAGCGCGCGTCTGGCAACTGTCAAGACTCTGTACGCGCTGCGGCCTTCGCAGCTGCCCAAGTTTGAAGGCTTCGAGCAAATGCGGTCGAGCCTCAAGATCGACGTCTCGTCTCTGCAACCTGCCATGGACGAGGCGAGGTTGGTCAAGAGCGAGTACGAAGTCGCGATGATCAAGCGGGCCAACGATATTTCATCGTCTGCTCACCGCGCCGTGGCTAAGAAGGTAGCCGCTTTCAAGAACGAGTGCGAGGTCGAAGCCGCCTTTATCGCGGCCTGCACCGCCGCCAATGCGAAGACTCAGGCGTATCCCGTTATCGCCGGCTCCGGGCCCAACGCGTCGACGCTGCACTACGGCACCAACAACGAGACGCTGATCGGCCGACAGCTCGTAGTGCTCGATGCCGGTGCGGAGTGGTCGTGCTACGCCAGCGAGGTAACACGGACGCTGCCTATAGGCCCGCGTTCGCAGTTTACGCGCGAGGCCCGCGCCGTTTACGAGCTCGTGCACCGCATGCAGGCGGAGTGTATCGCGCGCATTAAGCCCGGCGTCGTCTTCCGCGATCTGCAGCTGCACGCGACACTCGTCGCCGTTGAGGGCCTGCTCGAACTCGGCGTGCTCAAGGGCGGTACCGCGGAGGAGATATTCAGGAATGGCACGGGCGCGGCATTCTTCCCGCACGGCCTAGGCCACCACGTCGGTCTCGACGTTCACGAGTTGGTTTCTTCTTCTTTATTCCATGCCCCAATCACCCCCTTCAAACCCGTCTCTTTCCTTTCCTCGAGGCCGGAACCTTCTGCGCCGCCTTTCCTTTGTCAGAACCCCGATCGTCGTGATAGTGTAACTAGTGAGAGAAGTGGACTAAATGTGTTTCCTAGTGTTCTTAGCAGAGATCTTCTGAGACCTGCCGGCGAGGGCATGTGGGGGAAACGAAGGCCCATCGGCCCGCAGAGCGTGCGCGCCATGATCAAGCAAGCCGCGGCCGAGGCGCCCCCTTCCACATCGCCGAGTACCACGACAATGAGCAGCGGCCTCTCCCAGCATCCGCAGCAACAACAACAGACGACCACACCACCAAATTCACAAGACGGAACCGCGCCTCCTCTACCACCGCGATCCATCCCGTCTCCCATCCCCGAGGCAGCACCATCAACACCACAACCCAGCTCCCCCGCGTCCTCATCCAACAACTCACCAACCCGCAACGCGCCCCCCCGAACATCCACCTCCTCCTCGCCGCCCTTCGCGCCCCCAATGCGCACGAACACCATCACCCCCGCGCAGCTGCAAGAGCTATCGCAGAACCACCCACCCGCACACCTGCAACCCCAACGCCACCCCTCGCAACACTCCCACCACCAGCAGCAACCGCAATCCCAAGCGAAGCGCACCAACACCACCACAAACGGCGCCGCAGATAAAAAGGGCTCCGCAACAGCAGGCGGGAAAAGAGCGACGCACAACACGCTGCAGCCGCAGATGATCGTGACGGTGGAGCCGGGGGTGTACTTCTGCAAGCCGTACATCGAGGCGTACTTTCTGCGCCGCGAGGAACACGCGCGGTACATCGACGCCGCGGTGCTGGATAAGTACTGGGCGGTCGGCGGCGTGCGCGTCGAGGACTGTGTTCTGGTTACGGAGAGTGCGTGTGAGGTGCTCACCACGGCGCCGAAGGGGAATGAGCTTTTGAGGATGATGGGGTATGCTTGAACTTACCTAGGTACCTAGGGGTTCATGACATGGATGCGTGAGGAGTTGTTTGGGTGGGTTGTTGGGGGGTAGATATACCTGTATAGGTATCGACAAGCCTGCCTACCTACCTATTAAGACTTCTTCCGACGAGGTCGTATACCTGTCTACGGAATTATATGGCTATCAGGTTTATACCTATGCCAGAGGAGGGGGCGGAGGAAAACACACATATATATACCTACATACGAGAGATGATGTCGACGCACGCGGACGTTGGTGTATACGACTGCTACACGAAGTCAAACGCTCGGGCTCACGAAGGGACGAAGTTGAAGAAGGAGGGGAGGGGGAGGGAGAGGGGGATGGATGCATGATGATGACAAGCATACTCAAGGGCGTTCGTTCTGATTTTTCTTTTGTTTCTACTACTACTAAAGCGACGGAAACTCTGCATGGTCTGGAAAGCATATATAAGCATGAAGCATAACTTGTACTGTATCTCGATGTATTTCTTTTCTTCTTTTTTTTCTTCTACATCTTACTTATCTATTCTTGGTCTGCATACCACTTTGGTCGTTTGGAGTTATTTTTTACTTTTCGCTTCATCAAAACATTTTGGCTTTTTTATTTTCGGGGGAGAGAAAGAGGGTTTCAGAACCTCGAATTACATACCTATACATACCGTATTTCACGATCTATTTGTTGGCCTCTTTTATTTATTTACCTATTCATTTTTTACGGTGGTGTTCTGGTTAGTAGATAGATAAAAAGTACTTGTGTGAAGCTACTTACACATACATACACTACAGATTATTACATATTTTAGTTCAGGAGAACGCTTCCAAAATGATTCAAATTCATGCGCTACGGAAAACAAGACTTTAATGCCACATTTAATCCCATATCCATGGATCCAAATACTTTTTTATACAATGCCCTACGCCGCACCTCCCCTTGTACCGAACTCTGTCTAAAAAAGATTGCCCTCAAGTACCTAGTAATCGAAGTAACTAGAGGTACTTCTTGGGAAGGGTCTTCTTCCTCTCGTAGTAGATGTAGGCGGCCACTATTAAAATCTGGCTTCCGATGATGACGAATATGAGCTTTCCGTGTCGTGGGGCAGCTTGGACTGCCACGTGTTCCAGCATATTGCCGTGGTTAGTGCCTATGAAGCTCTTCACTGCATGTTCCGAGTCTTTCACCTTAAGGTTGATGTCACTTCGCATATCGCGTAGATCTCGCTGCAGCTTGCTGATCTCGTTCTGAAGCGAATCCAGCCTGTCTAGTTTGTATAGCAACTGCTTCACGTCATGGATCGCCTTCGAAGTCTCCTCGTGTCTCTTCTCGCCGATATTGTTTAATCCCGCGACCTGGCGGAAGATACTCGAGAGGTGATGGTTTGTGCTTTGTATACGGTTATGTAGGTCTGCGAACTGAGCTTTAGAACTCGTGATCGCATCGGCATTTGCATCAGGAATATAATCATCAAAAGGATCATCTGAATTGCCATTGCTATTGCCGTTGTTGTTGCCGTTGTTCTGGTTAGCCTTGCGACCGTAGCTCGTTTGCGCTTGCGCTTGATTTTGAATTGGTTGTCCTTGCTGTTGTGAAGGCGCATCGTGCTTGGCGTCGAGATTCTCGGTCATAGTCACCATCTTGAATATCTCAAAAGAATCTGGGTTGTCTCCAGCAGCCGCTGTGATACCAAAGAAATATCCGGGCGGAATAGTGATCTTGTCACTTTCGAAGCATAGATGACCATCAACCTCAACCTTAAATACCTGATGTGTCTGTCTTAGCTTGATCTGAGAGGGTCGGCCCAGGTTGCGGTAGGGATAATTGCAATGTCCGAAGGCTAAGCTGTCTACGCTCTGGTGCGCCTTGAAATCGGTAGATCCGTCATTCAAAAAGCCCCTGATCATTCCACCCGAACCGCCGTGCTGGTCGATAACGAGGGCTAAACCATCAAACCTGTTGACGGTATAAACGCTGGACGAACCAATTTCTTGATTTCCTCGTCTTGCAAGCCAGATGTTGAGGTTACCGCTCCCCCTCTCAGGTCCGTTCACTCGGAAGTCGACATCAGCTACCCACGTTTGGTATTTATTTTGTTGGTCAGCCCATATCGCGCCTCGAGTGTTTCCGGGATGTGGTGGCGTAAGGATAATTTTATTGGAAAGGACTTCGGGGACGTCTGGGGTGCCCTGTATAGAGAAGCCTGGCACGGTTGCTTGACCTCGATCGTTTATTCTAACATGCTTGAATTAGTCCCTAGTATCGAGAGATATACCCATCCTAAAAGACGCATACCGGCCAGTGTAGCCAAAGCTAAGTTCGTTGACAAGAAATTGTGCCTGCGCTTCAACGAGTTTCGCAGTCGTTGCCAACCCGAAGGCGAGGGTCGACGATTGTAACAAACGCATTCTTAATTTAGCAATTGGGCAAATTAATGAAATAGGCGCTCTTGAAACTTTTTAACGAGGTATATCGAAGGATAAATTGAGAGATTGGCGCCTTTTCAGAAGTAGGTGAATGCGGAAAGTCAATAGAATTTCAAGGGAATGTTCGTGATATTCGTGATGCTCATTAGAGGACACTTTGCACCAAGCTATTTCTAGTTCTATGGCGTAGCTCAGGGGATGTGGGGAGCTTTAATACCCAAGAATTGGAGTAAAGGATTAAGGAGAGACAACCGTTGGAACCCTCCTAATTCAAATAGAAGCAATGGAGAGCATTGGCCATGGAATTTGAAGAAAGTGCAGCGTAGGCTATTAGAAGACGAGAAGAAAGAATATTAAAAAAATGGATTATGCAAGGTGGACAGTTCTCTAAATTCTCAGCCTTCCTAGTTCCCCAGAAAGGGTGCAGGTGTACATAGTAGCAGGTGAAGCAGGTGTAACTTACAGTCTTACCCGCAGTACCTTTTTAGTCTAAAGCTAAAGAAGCTTGAAACTGTAGGTACCTAAGTACTTTCTTCACGCTAACGTCACTGCGACATCTTGAGTATTTTGTACCTGCTAGACCCCTGCTTCATATTTATGTCAGGGTTTAGCGGGCAAGGGCGGGCAAGGCGGTAGCTGTGCGGCATTGCGATTGGTCTTCTCGATCGAGTCAATAGAAGAATTGATCGACTCAACATGCGCACGGACCTGGTCCTAGTACTACTGTAGATTTTTCGATGGATTTTTTTTTTTGACAGATGTCGCACATCGGTAAAAGTACGTACCGATCCCTGTGGAGCTAGGTATCCTAGCCTCAATTGACTTCAATTCTTCGAACAGCTACCCAAGTACGACGCTACAATCGTCATCTTACCTTTTTTCTTTTGTCGTAACAACCTCCAAACTACATCTCAAAACACCCAACTAAGAAATTATAAAGCGCCGAAACGTGTCATGACTTCAAGTCTAAATGACTGAAATATACCCTACTATTGCGCAGTGCGCAATAGTCGCGACTGCTTTTAAGATCCTCCTCTTCCCTGCATAGTAAGTCACGTCGCACCAAGACTTTTCGTTTTTTCGTTTCGTGTCTTTATCGCCAAAGGTATCCTGTCCTAGTCGTTGACAATCACTCAAGCAAATCCACCGACTTTGAGGTGCATCGAAATTGGTTAGCTATCACGAATAGTCTACCTATATGGGAATGGTATTACGAAAAGACTTCTGAATGGACTCTTGACTATCCGCCCTTCTTCGCATATTTCGAATGGATTCTTTCTCAAGTAGCAAAGCTGGCGGATCCCGCCATGCTTCGAGTCTACAATCTCGGGTACGATAGCTGGCAGACAGTATACTTCCAAAGATTTACCGTCATCGCTACCGAGCTGATACTAGTATATGCTTTGCAATTGTATGTTTCGATGACTGCTTAACTGCTTGATTTGTCATACTGATATAGAGCCACAGGTTCGTCGAGTCTTCGCATGGAGTTACCAAGCGTGCAGCACAAGCTGCTGCAATCTCGGTTCTCCTTTCTCCAGGTCTTCTGATCATAGACCATATTCACTTCCAGTATAATGGAGCTATGTACGGCGTGCTGATACTGTCCTTGGTTTTGGCCCGGCACAAGTCAGGCCTTCTAGTCAGCGGTCTCGTATTCGCAGCGCTACTATGCATGAAGCATATATATCTCTATCTTGCGCCAGCATATTTCGTCTATCTTTTGAGGACTTATTGTCTCTCGTCCCACTCCATCTTCCGAATACAGTTCCTTAACTGTGTGAAATTAGGATCTGGTATCCTTAGCATATTTGGGTTGGCATTTGGTCCATTTGCTATCAAGAATCAAATACCACAGATTCTAAGTCGGCTCTTCCCATTTTCCCGCGGACTTTGCCATGCGTACTGGGCGCCAAATGTGTGGGCAATGTATTCTTTTGTGGACCGGGTGTTGATATTTGGTGAGTCCTATACAATTCATATATGATGACTTTTATTGACTCACGCGCTTAGTTGCACCGCGGCTTGGGTTGCCGGTTAAGGAGGAAGCTATCAACAGCGTCACAAGAGGTCTAGTCGGGGATACGGCATTCGCGGTGCTCCCCGAGGTCACTCCCAGCATCTGCTTCGCACTCACTCTTATCTTCCAGGTTATCCCCCTGGTGAAGCTCTTCTTGCGTCCCAAATGGGATGTTTTCATTGGGGCAGTCACTCTCTGTGGCTATTCCTCATTCCTCTTCGGATGGCACGTTCATGAAAAAGCCATTCTTCTCGTGATCATTCCTTTTAGCTTGATTGCTCTTAAGGATCGACGGCATCTTAGTGCATTCCGTCCCTTGGCAGTATCCGGCCACGTCTCGCTTTTCCCATTACTCTTCACCCCTGCGGAGTTTCCCATCAAGACAGTTTATACGATATTCTGGTTGGTTTTATTTTTAATGGTATTTGACCGCACAGCTTCTGCCTCGAAGCGACAGAGGTTCTTTCTCTTTGACCGGTTTGCCATCTTGTATATCACAATCAGCATACCCCTGATTGTATACTGTTCATTGGTGCATCAAGTTATATTCGGCAAGAGTTACGAATTTTTGCCTCTGATGTTCATGAGCTCTTATTCAGCCATAGGAGTGGTTGGTAGCTGGGTAGGTTTCATGGTAGTGTATTTTACATCGGATTACCCTGAACTGGTACGGTCTTAATGCCCGATATACCTAAAGGAATTATAGATATATATAGAGAGAGAGAACAATGAATTGACCTATACAAAACTTGGTTATAATAATGTTTACAGTGATGAGTGGTATTTTTAAGCAGGCACCAAAGAATAAACATATGTTGATCGGAATTCCCGGATTGCTTTTATGCAAGGCAGGTGACAGGTTTTCTGTAGTCGCGTAAGGTACCTAGGTCCTAGGGGGGGTGTGGGCTGGCCTGGTTTGGTGGCAACCCATACGTAAGGTAGCGGTAGGGACTAAAATTCCCTGCCAGGCCAGACCTGCTAGGTAAGGCCCAGTCTCACCAACGGCCTGGTGGTCTTAACAAACTACCCGGATACCCAAATAAAGATGTCCGAATCAACACACGTTTTACAGACGAAAAAGACCAGAAACATTAAATCGGAGAAGGGTAGACGTTCTTTGGAGTTTTGGTGCATCACCTGCATCAATGTCTCTGCGCGACTGATTATAAAAGCATGTTACTAGAACGGCACAGTGTTGATATATAGCTGCACTCGACTTAATATCAGACGGAAAATACCAAGGTTTGCCAATTAGGTAAATTAGAACGTAGGCTTCAATTCAAGTCACTCAGGGTTCTGCTCCGACACGTGGTTGACTTGAAATCGAGCTTGTTATGTCATTGTTGAGATCGAGGGAATTTGGCATAAACTAGCCCACATCGGACCCAGGATCCGGGGTTGTTCTTATATCGGGTGTATATTATGATATTTTGGGTTAAATTGATTAATCGAGTACTCTATCGAATCGTCTGAAGTAGGCGATCCGAATGAGTATAAGAATGTTGTTGACAAGTTATGTTGTGATATCTCAGTGAGTAGAGAGTGACGATGGGGTAGGTAGGAGTGGTTAATCTAGGTGGACACGACTTTTGAGGTCCATCCCAAATAAGCGAAAAAGACCCACCTGCGGAGGTAGGTTTGACCAATTAGAAATTAAAGTTGAGTGGCTTAACCCCCCGTCATCCCGGGGTCTGGTTCTACTTCCCGCCCGCCATACATAAGGTACCTGAGAGTAGCGTTCCCCTTCTTCCTCCTTTGCCCTTCCGCCTTATTATTTTTAGTCGACCTTACTTCTTCCCCCGTCCCCGTCCAGGTCTTCTTCAAACTTTTTACAACTACAACAACTAATCTCGTCGCGTCCACCTATTGAAAGCTTTTCTCAAAGCTACAACCACCACCAGCTTAACGAAACTGGACTATGCACCAAGCTTTCGACGCGTCTTACAGATTTCCAACCGCGTCTACACTATCCAACATTTAACTACTTCTCAAATTCACATGTAAGTCTCCCGCCCCATCACACCCTACCCCTACCCACGATCTTAACTTGCGCTTCCCGCGCCGTGACCTTACCTTCTTTTTTTTCCTTCTTCCACGCTCCACCAATTTCACAACAACGCATCACACATCACCCTAGCTTCACCATTACCTGAAATTATTTCACCTTATCCATCACGTCGTCTACGAAATCAATATAAAACCACTTACACGTGGTATGCGATACGGAAGGCTGACTTTCAGCCTTGCAGGGTTTATTGTGCGGCTAGTCAACAATCTTGGCTTTTTTAACAGCCAGCAACCACGATGGTAGGTGATGATCGGAACAATTGCGCAATAGTATGTACCTAGGTTAAAAGTAGCTGACATTTTATAGGTTCTTTTTAAACGCAAGCCGGTGCAGTTTCTGCAAACCCCACCGGTTGAAGATGAATCTACAGAAGTAAGTATACATATCACAATGTTACACAATTATGCACATCGTTCATTGATCGTCCCCACTAACAACATCGATCTTTGTAGGTATGGTGTATTCAAACGACAGGTGAAATCTTCATGACTTATGAAGCATATCTCTCTCGGTAAGTACATACGTACCTCAACCTGAATCGTTATAACATATCACTGACGCCTAAGTAGCATGGAATTTTACAACTTGGTTCGTGTCTTCGTGTCTTGACTAGACCCCCCTCTTAACTTCTACACCTCAAGTTGTTAGCTGACCTATATCTAGCCACGCTTTATCTGTCAGATAACCGGCCATTCTGGCTTAACCTTCTTTGAAGCATTGAAGAGCGAGGTAGGTGCTGAAGATCTTGTTGTATATCTTGTGGCTTCTCTAACTAGTAAATTAGCATAATGGTGCTCAGGAGGTCGAACAAGCCTTTCCAGAAGCTCTGAAGGCCCCAGTTCTCCGAAGGGTCCAGTTCCAGACGATATCCCGAATCGATACGTTAGTCGACATGGTGTTTGACGAATTCAAGGCGGATTATTACCCTGGCGAGGTTGTAATGGTTCAAATGACAACTGGCGAACGTTTGACAGGAACTGTGAGGGATAAGGCTCGTCTAGGAAGTAAGGTTCTACCTGACGGAACCCTCACACAACCGTTTTCTCGCTACAGTATAAGCCCAGACGGCAACCAAGGACGAGATGTAACAGTGGATGGTGCTCAGATCTTCCGGGATAGAAAGATCTTTACGAAGTCGGTCCTTAGATCCTTCATTAAGAAGACTGTAACCAGGGAAGCATGGACCGGCGCACCTTGGTTGGTTAAGCACGACGTTGCTGCACAATATCATATCGACACCCGAGTACCCCCTCATCTACGATATGACAACAAGTTGCTTGAGCGAAAGCAACATCAAGCGCAGAGGAAAGCGTTGCACCCGATGAACGGAGCACAGGAGATGAACGGCATGGGTGCTTCTTTCCAGAATTTCGGCCCAGCTCGATTACCAGAGCTGAAACCTGCACCGAAGAGCCATAAGGCGGCGAAGACTCACCATAGCGAGCCTCCCCAGCCAGACCTGAACGGTCAGCATGATTCTGGAATGTACCTTGCACAGAATCATGGCCCGCTCCCACCGGCCCCGGGAAACAATCCTTTCCACTTTCCTGTTCCCTTTCGGAATAGTATGCCACCACCGCCCCTTGTCGCTCACCCTCAACCGGAGCTTCCACCTCCACCCCCTCCTATCAAGTATCCCATCGAGGATTTACAGATTGAGCCACGCGACGATTACGTTCGTCCAACGTTGAAGTTCATGTGCAGTGATCCACCAGAAGGCGTTATTGATAGTGGTGCTCAAAACGACAAGGTCCTGATGAAGTCTATTGGACCATTGCTAGAGACCTGGGATACACTGAACGTCTTCTGTGAAGTCTACAAGTTAGATTCATTCACCTTTGATGATTTTGTCCAGGCGATGGAAATCAGCAAGGAAGATAACCCTTGTCAGTTATTTACGGAGATCCACTGCGCACTTCTGAAACAGATCGTGAGCTCTGAACAGGACGGCGGTAAACTTCTAGTCGACCTGCCGGATCTTGACGAGGACGAAGACGATGATCCGGATGAAAGTGCGGCTCCAAGCCCCGAGCCGGAGCCCGAACCGAAGCCGACAGGACGTGCTACTAGAAGTAGTCTAGCGAAACTGGAGGCAGAAAGGATGAAGGCTGAGGCTGCAGCTGCAGAAAAATCGCCGGAGCCCCAGATCAAGCATCGTGCTACTGATGTTCTAACTGACTTTGACTGGATCGAGCGATTGAGAGATCGCAATTTCCAGGATGGGGGTTGGGAGCTGATCATGGTCGGACTCCTGCATCAATTATCTAAGAACCCGCGATACACCGAGGTCTGCGAGGACTTGCTGTGTCACCTCGTACCTCCTGATATCGAGCCTAGCCAGGAAACGGTTAAGCAGCAGTACAGCGAGCTTGACTTGAACCTTCGTATCTCTGCTCTTCGGATAATATGTCTATTGACTGTAGACACCAAGGCCTTTCGCGGCTATATGGAAGAGTGTGGCGAGACGATGACCGGTTACAGGAAGGAGAAGATTGAGTGGCAACGGCAACGTAAACAAGCGTACGTAAAAGCTTTCCTTCGACATTATCTAGATCTATATACTAACTCGATTTGCAGGATCGAGGATTTGAAAGGCCTCAACGAGCAACGCAAGATTCTCCTCCCCGAAAACATGCCACCCTCGCCACCGGCTGAGGAAGCCGAGGTACCGAAGACTAATGGCGATGTCAAGATGGCCGATGCCGACGAGTCTCCCGAAGAGCCAAGCGAAGAGGCTGGGGACAGTGACATAGATGTCAACGCTCGTCGAAACACTCGACGAGGTGGTAACCGTGCCGCGGAACGTCAGCGTAAACGGGAGGAGCTCGAGCGCAAGAAAGAGGCTGAATTAGCCGCTGCTAAGATGCCTAAGCAATCCAAGCAATTTGTGAGACTCCTCAAAGACATCCAAAAAAAGCAGGATGTTGTCAAGAAATGCGAGGAAGAGATAGCGATTATCGACAACGATCTTCGAGAAGCGGATTGTGCCCGAACCCGGGTTCTCGGTAAGGATAGATTTTGGAATCGCTATTACTGGTTCGAGCGTAATGGCATGCCTTACGGCGGTCTACCTACCAGTTCAACGGCCGACGCAGGCTATGCAAACGGCTGCATCTGGGTTCAAGGGCCCGTTGATATGGAACGGGAAGGATACATAGACACCCCCGAGGAGTACCAACAGGAATACAAGGCCAAGTTCAAAATGACCGTACCCCAGAGAAAAAAGATGGAAGAAGGCCGTACCAGCGTATTCAACGCGACCCAATGGGGCTACTACTCAGATCCTAGCGAAGTAGATTCGCTTCTGAATTGGCTTGACGCCCGGGGATTTAACGAGGCCAAATTGAGGAAGGAGATCCTCACTTACAAAGATAAGATCGTTATGCATATGGAGAACCGAGCGAAGTATCTCGGTTCGGCAGACGGAGAGGATGAGGATGTCCAGGCCAAGGAGACCGGAAAGGGCGACCCGAAACGAATGACGACCCGTACGAAGGCGCATTCTAGTCCGGAACCGACACATTTCCGCTGCCTTAACTGGACCAACAATGTGGCCATCGACGAGCTTGGGCATTTGCACAGCGAGCCGCCTCCACCGCCGAAGACCAAAGGTCGCAAAACGGCGCGTAAGGGCCGAAATTAATCCATTCTTCGACCATCTTCCTCGAGTAGTACGCCTGGTACGCTTACGATGATATCATGACGGGATTTCGTGCAGGATGGTTCATCGGTTCGGCTCTCACCACTAGCACATATGCATGTTTACGCACAGAACAAAGATTTTACGAATGAACGCAAAAAGGGCGGCTCTTTTTTTCTCTATTCTTTTTTTTCCCTTCTCTTCCCCTTTTTTTCCTACACGCATGATTTTAGAGTGGTCAACGAGTAGAGAAAAAATTTTCCGAGGCTGGCATGGCGTTCACGGGGATTTAAGGCGTCTATCAGGAGGCTGATCAAGATAATTGGGGAGGTATTTGGGGGTGTGGATTGGGGTTGGGGGTTGGGAGGGCACACTGATTACTACTACTTCTTCCTTTCTTTTTCCTTTTCCTTCTTTCTCTGGATGTGCTACGAATCAACTTATTAGACCTTCTTGTCATAACGCGGACGCGGACTACTTCTTAGGTATTTGGCAAGGCAAGGGCGAAGGCGAAGGCACAGAGAGCAAATTGGCATTGCGGCGAATTAAAAAAGGGAGGGGAGGGGAGTGAATGGGGAGTTGTAGTGTGTTGACTGTCATACCCTTGCACTGTACATATTCGCTGGGAGACGCAGGGGGGAGAGAGAGAGCCCTGGGGGGCGGAGTTGACAGTCGTTGCTGATGCCTCTTGGCAGATAGGAAAGCTCTACAAGAGAATTGTTGGAAACATGGGCCTTCTTGATTGCTATTAATGTGCTTTTGTGCTGTGCTATGTTGACTTGAGATATGTCTTCTTTTACTGCTTTTGATCTGCGTACTAGGTATTACTAGGTACAGTGTCTTGCTACGTCATACTTGAGCTAAAGCAAGCTACCAAAACCTCATTGCGGGGCTATTTGGTAATACAATTAATTGAGCATGTCACGACAAAATCACAGGCTTCTCAAATTCAAAAAAAAAACCGATTATTGGTGATATGAGGCACTTATGCCTCGGAAGCAAGTTTATTTATCTGCAAAAGCCACTACATACAACGCACCGTGTCCTTTTCCCGGCGTGTGATGCCCCGATGCCCTATGTCAGATCAGTGTGTTGACGTGAAGAAAGTTTTTGCCTCACAAGACGATGCCAGAGAGAGGGAAAAAAAGGAAATTTTTGTGAGTCGAAAAAAGAGGGGTATCTGAATAGACGGGATATTGCCATCTCATCTTCCTTTCTTAAAAAACCCCCTAAGAACCATTAGTCGTCGTTTCGGCTGTAATGTACTTCGTACATTCGTCGTACTGCAAATAAAAAGGGGATGGAAAATGACTGTCATGGCTTCCGCGAAATAATGTCGTTGCTATACGTTTATCTTCCGCAAATGTCTGTCTTCTCCCCTTGTTACTAGGTGACTATCATGCCTATGACGTGATATTGTTTTTTCTTTTTCGTAATGAGGATACTAGTTATCCCCATGCATTAGGTCGATCGTACTCACGGAATGGCGAAGTGACTACTTTCGCAAACTACTGTGTTAGTATCAACGTAAAAGGGTGTGGCGTCAACTGCGATAGATCAGTCGACATCCAAGCAGATCCAAGATGACTGTTGTACAGGTGGAATACGAGTCGATGTCGAATGAATAGGCAAGTTTTTATAGCACTTAACCTACAGCCGCAGCCGATGCCTGTAGGTTGGTTTGCGATCGCTTCGCCGGCGGAGGGTTGCCCTAGAGGATGAGTTAGTAAACGGTCTGCTCGAAGATTCAAGGGATTATCTTGGATATCCCGGCAATAATCGCGGTATTGGCCATCCACCACTTAGCTCTACATACTTCGGACGACGCATTGCGCTTCATCGCGACCGCCTTCTTAGTGGGGCGCGTGGGCTTAACTTCGCCTGTCTCGAAAACGTCGTCAGGAAGATTTGTGCTGCAAATTGTTAGTTGAATATAGCAGTATACCATTTGAGAGTGACTCACTTCTTCACGTGCTGAACGCTCAAGTAGTTGAGGTTTGGTTCGTACTTCTCCCATTGACCGCACATGGATTTGAACGCATCAACTTGATAAGATAAGTTTAATGACTTTGCACCTAGCATATCATCAAGCTTAGGTTAGGAATCACAAAAAAGTGCTTGCCGGTTGACAAATAGCCTATCGTGCATACAAAACGGGGGTAGGGAGACACTTACCTTCAGCGAGCTCAAGGCCTACGTAGTGGGTGGTCGTGTAGATCTTGGTGCCGAGGACGGATGCATCGGCGATATCCTCTATCTTCGTCTTCCGATCTTCTTCGGGGTCGGATTTGATATTCGGGTTCGGCTGGCCATTCTCTTTCTCGGCTTCAGGATTCGCTTCTGCTTTTACTTCAACTTTGATATCAGCGCCGTTCTCCTTCTTCACCTTATCATCATCCTGGCCTTCATCATCTTGGACTCGAAAAGCCAAACTTCCATTCTGCACTTCTTCCGTTTCCAGGTCATTCTTGACCCGGTGTGCTCTCTCGTATCCCTTGTTGAAGGGACGTGCAATGGCGACGGAATCGACTCTATCTAGGTCGCCAACCAGAACACGAACTTTCGATTCTACAAAGCCAGACCAGATCTTGTGTGATTCTTTAGTAGTGCTAGTCGCGATGATTGCCAGATAATACTTGTGGTCCGTGGTGAAGAATGTGTGTTTTACGAACAAATCCTTCCATGCGAGCTTGCCGGATCGAATCTTATTAGTCAGGTCAAAGCCACGTTCCAGTTCACGCTGTATGATAGCCATGGTGGAATGTGTGATGTTGAAGGTCGCACACATCTGGGGGTAGGCTGGCGTAATGACAGGCATCAAATGGTAGCTGTCACTCTTATAAATCTGTGGCTAATTAGCTTGGTGGATATTTTAATTTGTACTGTAAGAGGATACTGACCTTTGGATTCCAGACACGGACATTAAGTGGTCCGTCCTCGATCCTCTTCAACTGCACAGGCTGAGGCCATTGCCAAGCTTTCATGATCTGGAAGAACTTGGCAACAATAGTAGCACTGGCGGCTCGTGGATAGAGTTGACAGACTCGTGCTACCATCATAGCCCATACTACACCACCTGGAAATCCAATAATATTGGCATAAATGGCGCGACGCTGAGCCCACAGCTTGATAGCTCGAAGAGCAAGGCGGAAAGTGCTCGGCTCTGGAACGAGGTTAAGAATCTCCTTGGTAACCCTAGTTCCGTTCAGAGAACGGAGCTCGCGATCGTCTAAACCGCGTAGATACTCGTTGTTGGTCAAGTTCAGTTGGCCGTGAGGCGGAAATTGTTTCAAGGTGGCAATTCTTGAGAAGATCAAATCGATGCTGATTCCCCAATACTCGAATTTGATGATGGGTACGAACGCGTCCTCAACGGCAGTCAGATCTGTCACGGCACCCTTAGGAGCCATCTCTTGTAGCAGTGAAGGGAAGTACTTGAAATAGTCATCGCGCGTAACGTATTTAGGAGCAGTGACAAGGGTATCGATATCCGAGCCAGGACCATAGACACCCAAACAATAGCTTCCATACGTGAAGACTTCTCCTCGGGCATCCCGGATAAGAACCTCGTTTTGCGGCTCCTTCTCTTTTGCCACTCGTCGCACAAATTCGTCGGCAATTCGTTGCAGGTCGGCTAGAACTCTCTCCCTAGTGAATGTATTCTTAGTAAATTGAATGAATAGGCCTGTAATTTGCGTCATTGACTTGTTTTTGACTTACCTTTTCTTAGTCTCTGCGACGGATTCGAAGGCATCTTGGCGCTTCAGTTCCTCCAAAAGTAAATGGGTCGAGTGTGTCTCTGCTGCTGTAGGAAGAGCTGTTGCGATTGGGGGGGTTATACCCCAGATCTGCTCACTATTCTCCATGTTGTGAAATGGAAAGAAAGAATAAAGTAAATTAAAGGGTCGGATATGAATTGGGTTATCATAAAAGTGGTAGACAATGGCTTGGTAGATTCAAGGTAGTATGTAAAAGTAAAAGAAAGAATTATATTATCACATGAAGGCAGTGGGCAGTAGGCAATGGGCAATATGGTGATTCGAGTTCGAGAATGACTGGAAGATGATCGCGTCTCCCGGGATGCATCGATCGTCACTTCAAATGATCCAATGACGCTGCCATGGGTATCGTCGGAGTGTTCGAGGGGTTGTTAAGTATAGGTAATAGCCTAGGCAAACGCCATTAGACGCCTAGACTCGAAACATGTGATGTGTATCGCAAAGGAAAAGGGGGAAGAGACGTGACGCCGAGGGTGACAAATGTGATGAAAAGGATGTTTTTTTTTTGTTGATGATGACGATGAAATGGAAGAGGGAGAAAATACACAAAATGCACTTGAGAATTTACTTAGTCATCTAGTTGGTGCATTCAATGGTCCGGTGGGTTACGCCGTTACGGTACGAATTAACTTTTTAGAACCCATCGATAGCGCGCGCCTGAGATTAGCACTAGCAAGGATTTTCCTGCACAGTGGATCCATACACCAACAAAAAATTTAAGTGTAAATAGGTACAAAGGTACTTACGCCTGTAGCTATTCATAGGCTATAATATTCAATATTAAATGCTGCCCAAAATTTTCTACAATTCTCTTTTTTAAGAAAAGAGAATATGATATATCATACAAATCAGAACGAGATGCTCTCAAATTTCCTATCACTTTATATATGATCTGTATTTGGAGCTCGTATTCTTAGACATACATGGATATCAAACCCTACCGAGACTCAACTCAACGCCTGACCACTTTCACCCCATTATCGCAAGGAAACAGATGGTATTAAAAGTTGGGTGTATTTGGCAAAGCCAGCACTATCTCGTTGAGTAGAGTTACTACCACTACTACTACTAAATCATTTCGTACAATTATGGTATCTTATATATCCATCCCCCAATGTCTTGCCCACTCATCCGCAAGTTGAACAGGTTCCATGTGCCAATGCTGCCTTGATACCCAGAATGCCAATCCACCGATGACTCCGAGACTACCTATAACCTCAAGGGCAACCCATCCCTTAGCCTTCAGATCCGCCGTGACCTGAAGCAATCCTAGCGGATCTTGGCTCTGTGTCGTCTTCGTCGAAAACCTTCGTCTAGAGGACTTCCCGGTCTCTATTGAGTTCTTGCCCCTAACCTTCCTCAGAGCCACAAGTGTGCCATCTTGCACACATCCGTTTAACCCCCCCGTAAGCCAAACGGCACGCTCACCACGAGCAAGTGCCTCATATCGAGTACGCTCGCATGAAAGGCTACGCTGGAGATCAGCCGCCCAGTCTACTACACGAAGCTGCGGGGGTCCGTGATCCCGATGTTGGTCGTTAAGACAAGTTAATGCCAAGGCCGTGCATTCTCTTGCTGCATTTTCTGGGCGTGTAGCCAGAGCTAATGATGTCCCCGGGCCAGGAGGAGTCAATGGCCTATATAAATGGCGAGGCCGTGATGGAGTCGTGTTCCTCCATTCGAGGTATTTCTTTGTTGCGGTATGTCGTAGCCAAGATATTCCGTTAGGGCTAAACACGTTCTCTACAAGATATCCCAGATCCGATGTCATTAAAGGTTGAACATAATCTGGACTCATGAGAAGGCTTGCATCCATTATGTCGTCATCTGACCCTGTCGCACTGGATACGGAATAAGGGATACTCGGCACCCGCACACCAGACCCCTGGTCTACTGACGCAAAGCTGAACGGTTTCAGACCCGCCTCTTGCAGCTGGTTGGCGATTTGCTCCTTGCATATTGCGAGCTGTTTCGGTGAAACCGAGTCGGCTCGAGCCAGAATAGGAATCACATTTGTCAGCGGCATCAGTCGACGAATATACTCCAAATCAACCGGTCTCATCTCTTCATAACTGGTCAATAACGGAACTTTTCAACATGGGGAGTCAACCTACTTTGCGAGATGAGATAAAAGACGACATCGACTTGAAATCCTCCGCCACCTCCTAACACATCTAGCATATCCGAATCGCTCAAAGAGTCTGAGGACATTTTGTTCAAGTGCGATTCGACATATTCAATGCACGACATAATATTCTCCATAGCCTAAACAAGGTCAATATTTTTAATCGCCGAACGAATTTAACTAGACTTACAGATGAGCCGTTACGATAACCAGGGGTATCTACGAAGCACACATTACGTTCTAGGACGCTGTCGCCTAGGCTCTTGCGCCTTTGTGAGTCATGAGGTTCATCTATCGTCGACCACCATTCTGGATAGGGTTTGGTGCTAGCATATATCTCCGATATACCGGGTAATGAGCCAGATGCTTTTCTAGGCAAAGCGCTTTGGCTTTTTTGCGTGTTTGACTCTGCCTGAGACGGAATGGGGTCAACATGGACGATATGTTCGCAGATCTGGACGATAGCTTTAACCATGGAAGTCTTGCCAACACCTAAGTCGAGGTCATTAGCCTGGATTCTAAAACGGGGTTAAGAGACGGAATTACCAGAATCTCCAGCGAACAACACCTTGAGGCGCCCTAGACTCTTGCCCGTCTCGGTAAAAGGACGGCGACTTGGCATCTTGATACTGGGCATAACTAATTGGGGAGCGCTACCACTATCCAATATATTCGAAGGTCTATGGTCAAGTGATTCTTCATCGGAACTAACGGCATGTTCCGAGAGCGATCCTGTGAAAGAGTTCCTCCTTGAAGATGGACTACTCAGCACGGATCCAGTGAACAACGATGTCCCGAGCATGATAGGTGTTATCGGTCGCGAAGGCGATTGGTTATGAGACCTCATCGAGGCCGGACTACGTGTAAAGACCGAGTCCCTCGACGACGGGGAGTATGCAAATGTATAATCTCTATCTTGGTGTGCCGCGGTTTGCCTCGAAGCCTCACCGTCTTTGTCATCTTTGCGAGGAGGTAAATGGACGGTAGAGGCGGCAGCCTTTCGCGCATCAAGGAATCGGCTATGAGGGTTCGACTGTTCGAGGTATGAATCCATAGATGATTCGTCGGCGAAGAAGAAGGACATCTGACTAGAAGTAGAAGCCATTAGGGGGGCCGGATCGTGGTCGGCCGATCGCTGACGCCCGAAAGCATCGTCGCCAGGGAAGGGTCTCATTATAAAGTTAGAGGTTAGAAGATCACATCTAGGTAGAATCGAAAGTTACAAGTAGTATGCAGCGATTGCGCGTATACAGTTCAGGTCATTACAAGATATATGATATGATATATGTTGGCACAGATATGTAGTACAATAAAGAGAATGGTTCGATATGACTTCACCCAGGGGGTATCACAGGTGAAGGGCGAAGGACGAGAAGGCGGTAGATGGTGGATGGGTGGTGGTAAATGGCAAATGATGACGAGTTGGTTTATTGGTCAAGGTTCTCCTTCTGGGCAGTCTGGCAGTCTGAGTTCCCTTTCTGGGTCGTGCGGTTGGAGTTTCCAGTGAATGGCTGAATGAAGAACACCCCGCATCAGATAAGCTCAGGAGGTACAGAAAGTAGCACTAAAGGTGTTGAGCTTCCGTAGGCCAGGTATAAGTACAAAGAAGTACGGCTTTTAAATTGGTTCTTTCAATAGTCGTCGGAGTTTCCTACCCGTACACACAGGTACAGTCACGTACCAACTCCACATTTGGCTTTGGTGAGTGGTGCGATCATTTCCATGTCGGCTTAGAATATTGAAACGTACCAAACCTTATGTACCCTGTCATTCTTCATTTCTTATTTACATAAATTCATATATATGCATATTAGAATCTGCGTCACGCTCGTGGCTTCTCGTGCATCGTGCTATTATGGGCAGAGGCAAAGACAGTGGATCAGTGGACAGATGCAGGGATAAAGATTGAATAAATTCCAATGTTAGTGCATACCCTAGTCAAGTACGCACAGTACGTACCTTAATGACATGCCCCCTGCCCGGCTGTTACCAATCTTTGCCCCTCAACTTCCAACCGCCAACTGCCAACCGCCAACCGCAAACGAGAATCCGAGAATACATCTGTCTACCTACCATTTTGATCCTGAAGGATACGTAACGGAAGAGTTAGTGAACATTAGGCGCCCTGATTCAGCCATAATTGCCATAAACCCTTCTGTTAAGCACTTAAGGTTACTTCGCGGTCGCTTAATCAAAATTCTCTGACGCCTACAGCGTATTTCGTTTTCTGCCACCCGCCGTCATCCAAGATAAGAACCTTGCCTTGCATTACGACAAGGCTATTTAATTATTCCTATCTACCATCGTCACGATTTCCGAGGACGCTCCCCCAGCGTCCATCCCCCACAGACAACCAAATTCTACATCTTTAGATCCTATTAGTCAAACTAGCACGGCTGGGGGGATATTGTTCGATCAAAGATACACTACCCAACCACGCCCAACTCGCGGCAAGATGGATGCTAAGAGACATCCAAGCTCTTTCCAGCAGCTCGAGAAGTTGGGAGAGGGTACCTATGCCACTGTAAGTTTCTCAGCGCATTTGCTATTTAAGTCGTACCGGTGTTTATAACTTGTAAATAATATTATGCCTATCATTCTAACCTATTTGATATTCTAGGTCTTCAAAGGACGAAATCGCCAGACGGGCGAACTCGTCGCCTTAAAGGAAATCCACCTCGACTCGGAAGAAGGTACCCCGTCGACCGCGATCCGAGAGATATCGCTTATGAAAGAACTCAAACATGAGAATATCGTAGCCCTGTACGACGTAATCCACACGGAGAACAAACTTATGCTAGTTTTTGAATATTTAGATGGTGACCTTAAGAAGTACATGGATGCTCATGGCGATAGAGGAGCCTTGAAGCATGCGACCATCAAATCATTCATGTTTCAGCTATTGAAAGGTATCGACTTCTGTCACAAGAACCGTGTTCTCCATCGAGACTTGAAGCCTCAGAATCTCCTTATTAATGGGAAAGGCCAACTCAAACTTGGAGACTTCGGATTGGCGCGCGCATTCGGAATTCCCGTTAACACTTTTTCGAACGAGGTCGTCACCTTGTGGTACCGTGCTCCGGACGTTCTTTTGGGAAGTCGCACGTACAACACGAGCATCGACATATGGTCGGCGGGTTGTATCATGGCGGAGATGTACACGGGTCGACCGCTTTTCCCTGGCACGACGAACGAGGATCAGATCATACGCATCTTCCGTATAATGGGCACCCCGACAGAGAGAACTTGGCCCGGAATCACGCAGTTCCCCGAATACAAACCGAACATCCAGATGTATGCGACACAGGACCTTAGGGCTATCCTCCCTCAGATCGACTCGCTCGGCATTGATCTCCTGCAACGAATGCTAGTTCTTCGTCCGGAACATCGTATTAGCGCACACGATGCTTTACAGCACCCTTGGTTCAACGACCTGGTACAACATCAGATGCAGCAACAGCAAGCAATTCAGGCACAGGTTAGAGGCTATGCTGCTCCGGCTGTGCCATCGCAAGGTGTTTACGATGCTGGGTACTAACCAGGATACAATCGATATCGGCCGAAAATCCCATATGATACACCTCTCAGGGACATGGGATATGAAACGGTGAATCGAAGTTGGCTTTATTGCTTTATTGACGCTCGGCTATGAGAGGACCGCGGTGGAGCTATAGAAGTGGTTAGTGGCTGGGTTATCAATGACGATCATGGGCGGTATTATGATGTGGCTAGTCAGGAGGTGGTTATGGACAGGCGTTCGGCAGAATCCATAGGTCATGACTGCATTCATGGGCATTTTCGAGCAAGATTCGTTGCTATTAATGAAAACGATATACCCCATTTCCGAGTTTTACTAACTATGGGCGGTGTTGTGTATGTGATATGCAATCGCGGGAAGTGGGAATCAATTGGACGATATAATGAGGATAGAATGATTTCTTTTCTGGTAACCGGATGTTCACGTACCACTTCCTTGTTATAAATGATTTTACTCTAGGTATTATTTAGGAGGTCTTAATAGGCCAGCTAATTAAGCTAGGTAGGTAGCAATGACATATTCATACTTCATGGTTGATCTGCATATTCAAAAAGGCTATGCTATACCTAAACGGCTACGGTCGTGGTCCATACCTACAGAAGTAATTCTTGAAAAGAGCCTAGTCAGCTCCATAAATCACAAAATCTATACAATTGTCGATACAAGTCTTTATTCCCTCTTATTAACCAAGCTATCATCAACATTACTCTTAAACCGGTCCTTACTCGGCTCCCTCGCCCACGTCTCCGCGAGCTCGAACCCAGGCTCGTCATCATCCGGATACCCCAAGGTCCGTCTCACCTTCAGCACCTCCTCACGGACCCTCCTCGCAACCTCGATCCGCAAATCCACCGCCTCCTTGCCGTACTTCAGCTCATCCGTCAACTCCCCCATAGCCAACCTCCCGCCATCCCTGCGCACAAGATCGCGCCACCTCGCTCTCAAATCACCAAAGGTCTTCTCGGCGTCGAGGAGCTCGCCGAACGCGACGCGGAACTTGACGGGGAAGCGGGGGAGGAAGCGCGGGAAGGTGCGGTCCTCGGACATGATGCGCTGGGTGCCGTCGACGAACATGGGCACGACGTCGGGCATGGGCTCGCTCTCGAGGATGAGGCGGGAGACGCCCCACTTGAAGTAGCGCAGGAGCATGCGCGGGTGCTGGTGCACGCACGCCTCGGGGAACACGTGCACCCAGCTGTGCCGGTTCCGCGCGTACGTCGACGGCGCGACGTACCGGTCCGTCCCCGTCGTCGTGAACGTCAGTTCGCCCGCGCTAAACGGGTCAGACACATCGTCGTTATCGTCGTGGCGTCCTCCTGATGCTTCTGAGAGCGGGGTGGGGAAGGGTGGGGAGGAGAGTAGCCGGATCGCTTGTGGGATTGTGGGCTGGAAGAGCCCGCCGTGAGGCGAGTGTTGTGACCTGTGGGTTGGCAGGACTTGGCCCGCGTAGAAGTACGATCCAATAAGCCTAGCTGTTCGTGTGAGTGAAACGAGGCTATGGTGGAAACGGAGATGATGTGCGCATACTTGTTCTTAAAGCATATGTCGTGGGCTCCTAAGCCCCATCTATGGTTAGACGGGTTAAAGGCGTACCGGAGTGGTAGAACTCCCCATATGACAGGATCATCAAGTCTAGATGATGGGTTTATGAGACTATGGTTTGGAATGAGTGTGGGATATACGTCTTCACCTACACACTGATGTGGTTTGAGACTGTACTGAGATTAGTCTTCGTTTTATGAGAATGGCTATCGTCCACTGAAGTAAAAGTCTCATACCCGTAATAAGACCCCTCTGTCGGTTCTCAACATCCTTCCTTTTATCTAAAAGCTCTAAAAACCGGTCTAAACCAACTACTTCAACTGAGTTTAAGCCGTACAGAAAGCCTCTGGAAAGGGCCGCAGTCAACCCCATAGCGAGGGAAGAACTCATTCGCCAGGGAAGACTTGGCTGCTGAAGTGACAGCCTGTTAGGGTTGGACTTGGACATATCGAGTTCGTCCGATGCCATTGACGCTTCGAAATAGAACCTGGCAGCATAGCAATTATGAAATTTTATATGGGCGAGAACATTGGAGGTAATAGAGAAAAAAGACTCATTAAAACTACATGTTAAAAAGAGACCCGACAAGATTGAAATAGCAGTCGCATTCAAGAATAGAGGCCAAATAGTTTAGGTAAGAACTATTCCGTAATTAACGCTGTTTGCTATTTGCACCTGCAGGAACGGGATGATCCTATTGGTCGGAAATTATCGATAGTTAGGGGGCCCCTGTAAATACATAAGACGATAGCTTCTATTGCATCACGCTTAAAAGACGTTATCGATACATCAACATTGAACACTCATCTACCACTTCGAAACCTTTCCAAACTCTGCCTCTGATACCTAGATGGAGAAGTATATACACTAGTTGTTCCGGAATACTGACAACTCATAATGTCGCATAGTAAGATCTCTTTCATAAACAGATCACACTAGATAGACGGTGTAAGCATACGTAGCTAACTAACCTCCCCCTACCAGGCAAGCGGAATACCTCCCGCGCGGTCTTCACATCCCACGAACGAGATGTCGCCCGACAAGCATGGAGCTCGACATCGGCGCGTCTCTCACGCGAAAGCTTCCTCCCTTTCTCGTCCTGCGGCCTGTGCCTCGAGATCGCCCGTGACCCGGTCTCATGCACGCACGGCGACGTCTTCTGCCGCGAGTGCGCCCTCAACAACATCCTAGCCCAGAGGAAGGAGATTAAGCGCGTGGAGAAGCTTCGCGAACAAGAAGAGCGTGACGCGGAGGAGGAACGCGCACGCCAGGATGAAGAGGCCCGTGAGCGCGCTGTTCGCGAGTTTGAAATGACACAGATCGGGTTGGATGTGAAGGCAAGGAGTAGTGGTAATAATGCTGGTACTACATCTGGGAAGTCGGACGAAAACAGCACACCGCCAACGGCAGACTCGTCAAATAGCGGAAAGAAGCGAAAATTCGAAATGAATGAGGAAGAACTAGCACGAATAGCCAAGGAAGACAGGGCGAAAGCACGGAAGGCAATTGAGGACGAGAAAGCAGCGAAGCCTATATTACCATCGTTTTGGACACCATCGGTAGCGACAGCAACTAAGAGGAATGAAGCACTACACGAAATCACCAAAAAGCAGAAGAGCACGCCTATGTGCCCTGCAGCGAGGGAAGACAGCCCACACCCCTACTCATTACATACACTTGTGACGGTGAACTTTACCGAGGAAGACGAGGGCGATGAGGGCAGGGGTAGCGGTACCTCGAACAGCAAGAAAAAGCGTATACGTATATGTCCCTCATGCAAAAAGGGACTAAGCAACTCGTCAAAAGCGATGCTTGCAAAGCCCTGCGGTCACGTTCTATGCAGGAATTGTGTCGACAAATTTATGCGGCCTTCGCGACGCCACGATCCCCATGCGGCAGCTGGCGAGGCAGAGAAGGTCAGGTGTTACGTCTGCGAGGCAGATATTACGGAGAAGAGCGCCAATGGCAACGATACGAGCGATAAGGGCAAGAAGAAGGATAAGGAGAAAATACGACCGGGATTGGTGGAGTTGAAGAGCGAAGGTACTGGGTTCTCAGCTGGGGGGACAAATCAAGTCCGGAAGTCCGGCGTGGCGTATCAGTGCTAGACTTAACCGACCATATTATAACTGTTAGGTGCCGTATGGTCACAGTAGGTCATATTAACACCTAGCTAATAAGATAATTTCACGATCACGATCAGGCTTTAAGATGGCGATGTAATTATGTCAGAGGAAGAAACGAACCCAGGGGCAGCAGCAGCGAAATAAACACTCAATGCCACCACCCTTATCATGTACCCATTAAAAAAGAAACCTATAACCCCAAAAACCATGAGAATGCTATGCCGTACTTATGCTATGCTATCCTAATACCAAGTCTGTCTGTCCTGTCACGATCGTAAATCGCGTATACATGATAAGTCGTCTTCCGCTTCCCCCATTTCGATATAAGTAAGCATGTATAGACGCCAACTCCGACCCTTCCATGCTCGTAGATTACAATTATACAACCTCGACGTTTTTACAAAAGCGCCCGTATATGCCCCCTTTGTCAGAAAATGCCAAAAGCTCCGGTTGTGATGATGCTGAATGAAATAGAAGACTCAATCTCAGCCGAAAATAGAAACGATAAAATAAAAAAAACAGACTTTTTCGTTCCGCCTCGCTCAGGCAAATTAAGCCCCATAACAGAATTGGTGAATGGAATAATAACTCCGAAGGCGCTCGCTTACCCAACGCAACACAAGCAACTAAACCAGCAAACGTCATAAACCTCCTCCACCCCCCTTCCCTTCTCCTTCTCCATCCCTTTCTCCTTCACCAGTCTCCCCACCTGCCGCTGCGCACCAAGTCAATGCTTGATCTCGCGCTGCGTCTTGTCGATCATATTCGCCACGACACCGACCACGAAATCATCGAACTTCGACAACGACCGCCGTTTCGGCGCCTGTTGGTACGGCAGCGTTGTCGCGGGAGCTTGTTGCTGGTAGTGTTTTGGCGACGGGATGAGCGAGGCGTAGGGGGAGGTCGAGCGCGGCCCCCATTCGTCTTCGTTGTCGAGGCGGTACCGGAGAGCGCGGAGCTGGGTGCGTGGTTGAGAGGGGGGAGGGGGGGCTTGCGGGGAGAGGGTCGCGCGGGTTGGGGGGGAGTACGCTGGGGGTGGAGAGGTGTAGCTGGAGCGGGGGGTGAGGGAGGGGGTTGATGAGTAGGCTGGGGGTGGGAGGGAGGAGCGGTCGAGGGATGAGGTTGAGGAGCGCGCGGAGGAGGGGAGGGAGGTTGGTGGTGTGGGAGCTGGGAGCGCGGGTCGGGTTGCGGGGGGAGGAAGGGTGCGTTGAGGAGCGGGTGGGGAGATTGTTGCGGGCGGCATAGATGGCGTCGAAGATACTGGTGGTGATGGCGTTGGCGTGGGAGGCGACACTATAACCGTAGGCGCTTTCGGAGCTTCCACCACTTTCGGCATCGGTGTCGGTACTGCTACCGGGACAGGTGGTTCCAATGCTCTCGCAGCCGGAGCAGGAGTAGGTCTAACCAAGCCCCTAACAATCTCCTCCTCAACAACCGTCTTCGTCACCTTCCTCACCACAGGCTTCTTCGGCGTCTTCTGCAAGTTGATAGCCCTAGCCCTCCTCGCCTTCAACTCAGCCAGCACCCCCGCCGCGATGAAGTACAATCGGAACAGCAAACGATGCACAACGTCCTTCGCGGACATCGTAACACCATGGCCGAAAAACGCCGTCAGCAACTCAAGATGCAGACCCTCATACAACGCCCCAATCCCCTCCGTCCGCGCGATCCGCACCACCGTCGCAAAGATACTCTGGCGTCCTAAATTCTTCACCGCGCGCAAAGCCTGTGCCTCGAGCTTACTCTCGTCGGTAGAATTACGTTCAGGAGGCGCGACATTCATCTTGATAATCGGCGGGGACTGCGACTTCGGCGAAACAGCATCGTCGTCGTGTTCCCTAGCAGCAGCTTCCGCCGCGGCCCTCTCAGCCTCATGTTTCGCCTCGAGCTCCCTAACGACCTCCTCCCAGCCCCCTCTTCTCGCCGCCGGCGACAGGTCGTCCTGGACTCTAGCGAGGGCCGTCTGGAGCGGGTACGTGATCGTAGTGGCTATCGCCTTACTGATAGCCGCGAGCAGGAACGAGGTCGCGGCACCGGGGTTATCCTTCTTAACAGCCTTCCGCTTGAGAAAGCCCTGCAGGAAGAGGGCGATGCTCGGGTTCAGCGTCAGCACCAGGCTGGCCGAGTACCCGGACCAGAGGCCCGTGATGCCCTTCTCCTTCCTTATCGCAGCGATGATATCGCGGAAGCTCTCCTCCCTGCCCTTCTGCGAAGCCAGGTTCGTCAACGGCGTCGAGAAGAACTTCGAGCACGCCCCGGCCACCACACCGATTGCCAGCTCCTCCAAAACACCTAAGTCGTGGCTGCTGCTACCGCCTTTCCCGCCCCTCCTCCGACCCCGCGAGGGCCGCGAGCTGAGGATCCAGTCATAGAAGAGAAAGAAGAGGAAAGAGTCCAAAGCAGATCTGATTGCATCTTGACCCAGGCCAGTATAGAACGCTTTCAGCCCGCCACCGGACTTCCAGATCCCCGAAAAAGCATCGGCGAGGCCGGCGTACGAAGGATCCGGCGCCGGACCCGTCGTGGGCGTGGTAGAACCTTCGTCGTCGTCCCTCCGAGACGTCAGACTGTGACGTTCCGGCCCCCTTCGACGCAGACGAGCCTGTTGCTGTCTTTGGCGTTGAAGGCGGGTAACCACTAGTGAGAGAGGATAGAGAGCGCATGTCGAGATGAGCGTGCCGGCCGAGCCCGAGATGGCGTGGTGGAGGGCCGGAAGGAAGTTGTCTGCTGCTGCCGCGTCCGCGAGGTTATTGGCGAGCGTTGTCGAGGGCATGGCTGCTGGTTGGTTATATATAACCCCCCTCCAAGCTATCCTCTCACTTTCTCTCACTCTCTTTCTCGCTCTCGTTTCCTTCGCTCTCTCGTTCTGCGCGCTGAGTGGCAGACGAAAGGGGTCCGGTAGATAGGTTTATATTTAAGGTATAGCCTAGACCAGACCAGAATGGACCAATCTTCCGACTAGAACACCGGTGGGAAGGGTGAACCTCGAGCGTGCTAGCAGACTACAGGTTGGAGGGGAAAACGACTATGAAAGAAAGAGAAAGTAAAAATATCGTCGAAGTCCTTTTACGACCAACCGAATATCGGGATGGAGACTTTGGTACGGGATGGTGTGTATGCGTGTCTAGTGTCAGTGAGGTAAAGCGTGAGCACTTACGACCCCTATGGTGCCAAGAGGCTGGTTGATGGCAGATCGACGTTCAAGGGGGAGTGGACGGGAAGGAAACGGGGATGGGGACGGGGGGAAACGAGCCCACCATGTTTGTATATATTAGCTAGTAGTTTGTATATAGGTTATGCTGGATAACATATTCTGGTTAGTCTACCTCGTCTACCTTGTCTACCTTGTCTGCCGCACTGATATCTGTTTACCGGCCATTGGATCGAAGAGGTCACACAAGGGCGGCAACATGTTGTTGTTTGCGTGTCTCTGTGTCTGTGTGTCCGTGTGTCTGTGTGTAAACATACGAATGGAAGACGAAAGACTTTCCTGGCCGAGGCTCGGGATACATCTCACGAGCTGAAGAAATATCGGCGACGACGTCATAGATAAATTTATAGGCATGTTACAGCAACTACCTACATATACGTAATGTATGCACTATGCACTATGCACTCCATATGTTCCAATCCGTTCCATGTTCCATAGTCCGTACGCAGGGACTCGAGTTCCAAAGTTCCAAAGACCCAAGTTCCCGAATTTCTTAAAATTCCCAACCAAATAATAGAGATCATAACTATGGAATAATATGGAATAATATGGGATATTATGGGACAATATCTATTATGGTAATCCTTGCCCCCCTTTTATTTTTCCATATTTTCCCAGACTTATGACCTTTGAGGCTGACAATCCATGAAATGATGACCCATCGTCAATCCTTTGACCCTAGTCCACCCGCTTGCCGTCTTCCGTACCCATGTTGAACATCCCTATCCCAGTATCCCTATCCATCATTCCAATAAATACTTCGAAATACATACTTACGCACAGTAAAAATAACATCATAACATCGTAAATTAGGCTGCTTCCGCAAGGGGCTATCCGGTGAGCAATTGGCCAGTAGGATTGTTGGGTTGTCATCCCGGAGAGATTGGCGAGTTTACACGTGTTCAACAACTTACAACTCCCGCTTCATTCTATTATGCAACTTGAAGCTTTTAGCTCAGGCTTCGGTCTCTATACCGCCACTTCGGGCACCGACACGTGTGTGGGTTGCAGCCCTCAGCCTGACCGCACAACATGAAGAAGGGATATGAACATCTACCTAGGTAGGTATTCCGAATCACTCCCATTGAATGGATAAGCCGAGTCGCACATACATAGGTACGTACCTACATACATAAGTACGGATCCTAAAACTACCTAGGCAGCTAAGGTATCTTTGACCTATCGCATTCCGAGGCCGACGTTAGACGAGTCAACAGCAAATCACAAGATACCTGCTGACCTGTCCCCGCCTCTTGCTTCTTACTTCAAGGTTCTTGATTCTTGCTTCTCACATGCCTAACGCCCCAAGTTGCTAAGTAATCCGAACGCCAAAATCGCATGCCAGGTGCCCTCGAGCTGGTATCCCCAATACGCGCCTAAAATGGCAGTGACTGACCCACCCAAATGCACTCAATTACCCAGTATCCAACCCTCAATTTACACATCGTTATTCGAAGAGACAGAACTCCCTGGTAGTGGTACATGAACGCGATGACGGATAGGGTGGTAACCGATTCTGCCTCACAATATTTAACATTTGTTAGGAAAGAGTTGAAAAGTTGAAAACAAGCCCATCTGCTTACACTCCACGCTCTCCACGAACGTTCTCGTGTCAACCTAGGCGTAGAAATCGTTAGATGTCGCGTGTATACCGTTAGTGCTATGCCCGGCCTATCACGGACGGTCGTCTCGAGTTGGCTTGCATGCTGATACTCGAGGATCGTCTAATGCCCATGGCGCTTATCGCTCCCAGGTCTGGCTCTCCAGGTGCGTCGTCCATATCCATACTTATAGCAGTATGGTTGGCAGCGTGGTTGTCCGGGAGCTTCTGAGCACCAAATCCTACCACCTTGAAAATATTCGTGCGCCCACCATTGGTTGCCGTTTGAAGCTGTTCGTGAAGGCGTGCGAGCTGATACGTTCGCTTGATCGGCGCAAAGATGGGTTGTGGAACGACAGGTTGCGGGTTCCATCGAGCTAACGCGCCCATGACTGCCGCGGTCTCCTCATCAGAGTCGACAGGTCCGGCGTTAGCGTCATCGTCGTCCTCCAGAGGAGCGTTCGCATCCAATGCAGCCTCTGTCAAATAGTTAGTCAACATCGTCAAACAGTGTTACCAGGGTGGATGGATAGTCTCATACTCTGCTGTTTAGCCTGGTTCTTCTTCTGATATGCAGCCAGTAGCATATCGTATGGTAACGATCTGCCGGCGACGGCCCGCTTAGCCCCCATACTGTGGCTCTTACATGTTAACGATCTGGCACACGGCTGTCCGTTCGGTAATATAACACCACATTGCTTCTCGACGTCCACAGGGCCTAGGATAAGTTAGACATGATGAGCACACCTTTAGCCGTGACCGTAGGAAACTGTAATGGTTAGATACCTTTAGGCTTAGGGACCTTTGGCTTCGGTTCTTCCTTTTTCTTCTTGCTTTTGGGTCCCTTCTCGGCGTCACCGTCGGCCTTGCGCTTCTTGCCCTTGGGTTCGCCATCAGGTTTCTTCCCGCCTACCTTCTTCGAAGCCTTGCCACCTGTGCCTTTCTTTAGAGATCCGTCGTCGTCATCGTCGCTATCGTCATTCATCTTAGCGTCGCCATCTTCGTCGTTTTTTCGGGCCTCCTCTTCTCGAGCCTGCTCCTTTGCTCGTTCTCTTGCCTCCCGTGCCTCCTTCTTACGTTGCGCTTTCTCCTTCTTGATTCGTAGGCACTGTGCAATATGTTCTTTTGCGGCCGTCTTGATAATTCCCTTCTTGCAGTGCTTGCATTGTTGAAGATTAAGGTTGTCTTCGAGGGGACGTCCGGTCGCAAAGGTGTCGCGGGAAGATTCGTCCAGTTGATTCACCACAGGTCCGGGAGATAACGAGCCGATGATAGATGGGTGCTCGGTAGCCTTGGGTTTTTTCTCGTCTATGGAATTGACGCGCCTGTTAGCTATGAAAGAGATGAATATAAATGTATATAGTATATGGTGATATTATGTAGATTATGTAGATTGTGTGGATTATGTAAGGTATGACTTACCATTAACGATTGCACCCTCTCTCCAATTGCCAGGTTTAATGTGCTTCGGAACAGGCTTCTTCAACTTGATCACGCCGTTGGGTTTGTCTTTGGTGACCTTCTTCGAGGCGACGTTGATGGTACCCTCGTCGTCGAGACCTAGAAAGTGGGGCAGATATTCGCATTAGCAAGACGCGCTGCGTGGACGCATTTGCGCATTTACGCTTAATTGAGACACATACCTTTTCTACCCTCTCCCCCGGTCGCCATTTTGATAGGCTTCCGGTGGGTTGGTTACATTTATCAATCAAGTAGAAGATACTATAACTTTAGCACACGTAAATGGAGATGAAACGTGTAGTAAAAAGTGAACTCTTGATGGTTGATGTTGGGTGTTGTGGTATGATTGAAGAGCGTTCAAGCTTTCGTCGCAAAGGTCCAAGGTCCAAGCTGGTTGATAAGATCTTATCACTGTTATCAGCCCCTACCGAAGAACTACCGCAAAGTTAGGTCTAAGAAATGGACTGTCTGTGCTCCGCCTAACAGGTTAAGCTGCTAGGGAACTCAATTTATGTCCTAGCGCACGTGCTCCCCTCACTACCCCAATCTTTGTTCAAGGTTGTACCATGACCATGATATTTGAACTCGAAATCATTGTTTGCAAATTACTAAAATTGGCTTGCTCTTTCAACACAATTCGTTACCGTCAGTACGTGCGTACTAATACGTACTAGGTAACCAATATCTTCATATCAAAATCCATCCATACTACTACGTACATTCTACCTACCTAGTAGCCACTAGGTAAATTCTTCACTAACGACTAGGTACGAATTGGTATCCATAGAGAATTTACGTAGACTGTGTTCTATGAATGAAGATATGGATATTTTTGCGTATTTAAATAACCTATTCTCTCCAATATGACTGTGTATGCCATCCGCCTATATGCCCTACCGTAAATATGCCCAAATGTTGAGTAGATGATGGTACCCAAGATCCGGCCACGCCTGCGAACGCCTTTCCGAATATACCGCCTAGAGGTCAGTATTCTAAACTAATCAATATGCTCTGTTTTTATGAGTCTTCTCCCTCGAGCTTCACTTCTTGTTTGATAAGCTCTTTATCTAACCTGGTCCGATGCGCTTCCATGAGTTCCGACAATGCAAATGCGTGCTGCATCCCCATCTGCTTCCAAATCACTAGTAGAACATTGTTGGCCCATTCCCAATACTCCGGTGGCACGTTAGGGGCGCATCCAGCCACTGTGAGATGCCAAAGTAGACTAGGCACGCCTACTGCCCCAGAATTACCAACCCCTCCCGCTTCAAACTTTTCAGTGTCTCCTCGGTCTAGCATCGGATGATGCCAATGCGATGGCGTACTTATAAGGATATCTTCGGCGAGCCGCTCGACGGTTATATAGCATCTTGTTCTCCGAGCCGTAGGTATGATCCGGCTACATGAAATAGGACAATCGGTCATAAACTTGACAAGTTTCTGTATACCTAGGATACGGGCCCATCGGTAATGGTTCCATATCCGGGCACCCCAAACCTCATTATACTTATGCCACTTCCCACGGAAAACTGCCTGTGATGGGTACTCCCCCTGATTCTGCGAAAAGGGGAACGCTTCTAACAAGCGACTTTCTAAGGCGTCAAATACATCGTCCAAATGAAGAAACTGATGTATCAGATCATCGGTGTCTGGCCGCTCATCAATAAGAATAGTACGCTCGGTTATTTTTAATAATTGGAGTAATCGAGCAATAGCAAGCCCCAAATCGACGGAACAGCCCTCCGGAACATCCTGCATGAGCTGCTTACAGAACTCAAGGGTTTCGAAGAAGCTGGGTGGCAGAGGCGATTCCATCATGTGGTACGGGATAAACTAATCTTGTCAGAGTTTGGACTAGATCGACAAGGATAGGGCAATGAAGTACCGATGAAAACAATAATTGTAAGACGCCATGTGCGCCTCCATTGGGGGAATGCGGGAGAGGCAGTACGGATCGTAATACAGCCACGGCGCCATTTATATGTGTACTAGCAGAACCCACTGTCCCTTTAGGCCCTTTGCCTTGAACAACCTATATCCAGTCAGTATTTTATGCTAATACGGTACGTAATCTCTTCGGCGCATTATCTTACCTCGAATAATGCGAGTGTCACGACGCTCCGAAGACGAGCTATGAGGCCGGCAGGGTTATTACTTGCTATTAGTTGCCCAGTTTGTTTTAAGGCTGTAACGTATTTAGATCGTGCAAGTAGGTTCATGTTCTTGTTTCCCAGCAAATTTGACATGCCAGCGAGACCTACGGCTACCATAACGTTTTGAGCGGCATCCGCGCTCGAGAAATACGCAGCTACCTGGTCGCGAGTTTTAGGCGAGTCTGGGTGATTCATGAGGTAACGATTGATATAGAACTGCATCCCCTGTTGGTCCACATTCAGGTCTACCTTCCTCGGTATCCTCACAGGCGAAAGATCGCGTGGCGCGATTGGTGTATCCGCCGGCGGGCTGTCAAAAGTAGAAGTAGATGCTGGCGACCCTTGTGCCCATGTGGAAGTAGAGGATGAGGATGAGGCTAACGACGAACCCCCAGTTACGTCTGTAGGAGAGCCCGAAGATCCCCATTGGGCGTGTGCTTTTTGTATGACCTTACTGCTCTCATCTCGGAACATAAGCGATAGTTGATCTCGATAACCGGGGCATTTCTTGCCCACTCGAATGCACTGAGAACATTCTGGTCGTTTTTTATCGCACTAGAAGTTCCTGGTTAATTATGGGTCGCATTTATCTATTTGTAGACCATTGTATTCTGTAGTCCCGACAGGTTGGATAGACCCAGGCGATTCCGGACCGCATGGCTGAACCTCGTGCAATTCCACGTATCTCACCTGCATGTCGGGACAAGGAAAGTGGGTGCAGATATCTAAGGAGAGGTAGTGAGCCTATACACACCTTTATACGTCGGGTTCGACAGTTTTGGCAACCCTGGGAAGCCTTTCCACAATAAACCATTGTGCGAAGAGTCCAAGATAGGCAAGCTGAACGAACAAATCAGAAGTGTGTATTCGAATTTAGTCGTGCGTATCAAGTTTCGCGCCTGCGTAAGTGGCAGTCGTCGTTGGTCAAGATTGCTTGCTGTCGGGTATCGAAAAGGGAAAGCAGCTCGTCAAGGTCGTGGGGAATAAGAAGGATCATGGTTGTGTGGACTAGCGGCCCTAGTATTACTCCTCTTCTCCTCCTCTGTTGCCTCTGCCGTCTTTATAAAAGGCGAGCCCAGCGCCGTTCCGGTTCTTACTTATTTTCTCCAGTCTCCGAAGAGTTTCGCACCGAGTCCGGATGGATGCACAGCACGTGTCCTCAAGATTGGAAATTCAACGGCGAGCCGGCGGCTTTCGACAACCTTCAATGTAACTGAAGTATCAAACACCGATACCGCTATCCGGTTAAAATATTGCTCGGTATGCTATCTCGCTAGCTAAGATAGCGAGTTAGGTTTGAATTATTTTTTATAAATGAAGTCGCGTAACGATATCCGGACGAGAGAGTCTCATGAGATGCGAAAGATAAAGATTATCGAAGAAGGTTGCTAGCCTGACAGCTGCTACGAAGTATGTGAATAGGCAGGCAAGTAGGTACTAGGTATATTCAGAATACCTGTGTAGGTACGATGGGGCCTAGACCTAGACCTGGAACCTGGGACCTAGGCAACTTGGGAAGTAGCCGTGATGCGGGTTCACGGTATTCAGGGGAGTAGTTATACTGTACGTCCGTCTCGTCGTCTTGTGCTTGTCTTGTTCGAGAAGAGTTTGGCTCAATCACAAATCCTTCAGAGTGACCAGTCTAATGACGATGTACCACGGCGCTTGATTTCCTATCTTGCAGAAAGCCGCGCATTAGTAATGGCCTACATGGATGTAGTTTTTCTTTTTTTTCCCTTTCCCACACTAACACGCTGTACACTGCGCAGGAAGTATCATGTCATTAGAAACTTGTCATGTTTGAAACTCGAAAGAGACGTAAAAAATCGATAGCCACCAAATAGGAATTTCCCCGCTCTCTCTTAGCTCTCTTAGACCCAATCGTCTGTCTGGTGTGGGGGTTAAAGGTGCATGGTTAGGGATTGTTTAAGGGATCAACGGTTGATCGAAGTCGAACATCCTGGCAACTTGGAACGGAATTTCTAGGGTTAAGATTTCGGGTTTTAGATGGATGTTTCTCTTTGGCAGGCGGGATTCGCTGGGTACCTCCTGGCAGTTACTTACAGCGTAACAGCCTAGTTCTTTAATTCGCCAGTTAAGTCGCAGTGGAAAACGCTAAAATAGGTAAGTACAAGCTTCATAGCGATGTTTGTATTAAGGTTCTATAATTCTATGGTTCTATGGGCGTTCTATGCCGACCGAATTCAATTAAGGTGTACCTGATAGTATTGAGTTAAGGACACGGGACGGGATCTACGTCATTCGAAAGCCATGCTTAACCTTTTTTCTTTTTTAGCCCGAATTCCGAAAGTTACCTCTATTGCACAAAACACACGCAAGTAAAAAAATACTTCCCTACCTATTTTTCCATCAATACTTCATTGCTCCATATTTTCTTTCAAACCTACCCCGTATGGATAGATTCATCTCACTCTCCAATATGCTGTCTCTCAAGTAGCCAGGGCTGTAAGGCATCAAAGGCTCTTATTTGCTTAGGTATTTGACCGGGTGCTACGTTACCCAGTACGAGGAACCCGGATGCCACTTTCCGGCGTGGCGTGGCGTAGCGCCGAGGGGCTTACGATGCCAACCAGACAAGTCGAGCATCACTAAAGATTCCCTTTCATCTTCCTTATCAAAATTTCTCCGTTCTTCTCTCTCGAAGCTATTAACTTATTATCTATGAGAGTACTAGGTAGGTAACTTTGAGAAATTCGCTTATTATTCATAATCTATCATTTACTTACTAAGTACCAACAAAATAATTTGCTAACGTGCAACCCGACAAGTAAACTATTTGCTGCCAACATCGAAAATATACACGGCTTAATTGACTTCGGTATCATGCCGGGATATTGGCAGGGTCGTCACTCTTAAGCCGTCGGACCCTGAATCTATGGGGTTAAGCCTAGGGTGAGAAGGGGAATTTTTGAGACAAAAACTCTCCGACTCCGAAATATTCCACTGACAGCTCAACCCTGACAGCCCTGACAAGAAGAAACCATCTGTGTCACTTTCGTTTGTTACTGTGGTGAAGTCTTCATGCAGCCAAAACATGCACGCTACCCCCTCCTGTACAGTGCAGCCAGCATTCTTGCAGCCTGTCAAATTCGTAAGGCTTGACAGATGATGATCCTGTTCTCTCGCCAATACCTTGACACGCCTTGTTGAATATTATCCAATCGTCAGGTATTAAAAATACGAGGCGAAGAATGGCCCCGGCTAAGGAGGGTTGAGTGATAACTTTCACTTTGACGCCTGTGCTCCGTCGTACATCGGAAAATAAACGCGGGTGGTAGACATCTCGTTTAGCTTCAAATGACAGTACATCACATCTTGTCACGCGTGGAGCGAATGAGATGGTCGCCCAACGACATCCGGTCTATTATTGGCTGGTTTTCGTCAGGTCACCAAGTTTGTTGGTATTTCCGTTAGTAACGACGCCGAAGAGATCTAACTAACGTAACGATCAAATACGTATGCATCACAAACGTTTCCATTCTCTAGTGGACACTGGAGTCAAGTCCCCTTCATCTTAAGGACCCCTGACGTCTGTATTGAAGTCGAGGCATCCTTAACAAAGATATTCACTTGATCCGACCTTGATATTGTAAGGCAAATAGGAAACGTAAAATTCAACTAAAACCGGATGAATCTGATACATCCTAGTTCAGCCCAGGAACCCCTATATCTCTTGTAACGCGGTAGCCGAGCTGTCGTCACCTCCCAGCCTTGTGTTTGCTGCGTTTTTCGGAACTCTGAACCCCATGAATGGGAGATAGGACCCCGGGAAAAAGAGACAGAAGCTCAAGACAACCAGGAAAATAGGTAAAGTATCCAAGACATACATACTATGAAGCACTTACGTTAGTCTCTGCAGACAAGTACCACGGAGGAAAGACTTGTCAATGACTTACTAGAACTCCTTTTGCATCACCGAGCCATTCGAACCTTGAGCGAACTCGACTACACGGAATACAGATCGGATCTAATACAGGCTAGTGTCAGCGGGTGCGTACCACCAATCAGAATTTGATCGCCTACCAAGATTAGAATGCAGGAGGCATTCAAAGCATATAGTAAATGCCTCCAATTAGGATTTATCTTGCGTGTCGAGCCTCGGACGAAGACAGCCTTGCCACCATCTACCTCCTCTAGTCTCCAGCTGAGACCCGCCACGAATCGTTGCGAGGTAAAGTGAAACCGAGCAGCGATAACCGTAAAGAGTCCAAAGGCGGCCATTTGAATTCCAAGACCCGCAAGTGCAATATCCTTGCCTATCTTCAACTTGTTCATTGCGTCTTCGTCAGTAGCCTGCGTGCTCGACACGCTAACAGCACCGATAAGCTGGACTAGGAGCGCGACGATATCGAAGGTGACAAATATAGGCGTAATCCACCGGGCTATTACTATCAGTACGTGGTAAAACTTTTCTTTTAGCAGCGAGAGACATACGAGGGATCCAGAGTAGTCTCATGGTTCTCTCCTCAGCGGGAACGACGTGGAAGACAATTCGACCGAAAACGACATAGATGGCGCCGGCCATAAGAACAGGGGCAAGGATGATTACACAAAATTGTACTGCGTATGGATTTAGACTGGTTGGGTCGTTAGCGGACACTATCCGGAATGCATATCCAACCACTTCCACTATAGTACCGACAAGTCAGCATCTACTCCTTAAACATCGGTAGGTACTTAGGTATTAGAGATGCCTACTGAGTATTGCCAATAACTGGACTGTCCACACCCAAGATCTCTTCCGAATAGTCATGAAGGTCGACCAGATAAGAGTGAGTCCGAACAGAACGCAGCACACCACAGCTGTCGGGATCGACGGGTCATAGTCAAAGAAGGAAAGTTTTTGATCTTCCGACGACATATTGACGGCTTGCGATTAAGAATAAAATAAGGCTAATGAATGTGTGATTAAGATAAACGGAGAGAGCAAGATTCTCGAACTTCTATGGTACCAGTTCAGATACCTAGGTAGTCATAGTTGAATCCAACAAGCCAAATTGTCAAGTGCCAGTGTCCTAGGCAACTTCGATATCTATAAAGCAGGAAATAGGACTTATCTCTAGGAAGAGTCATACCTACGGCATGCCGTGTTCCATGTCCCGCTAACTGTTCGCCTTACTGGCTGTGCTGTAACGCGCCACGAGGCACGGAAAGATTCATCAGATCCTACAGAGATTCAACATCGGTAATCTTAGTGCATACATACCAAGATCGGGCTGATTTCAAGTTGTCGAAACATATAGACCCGTTTCATTCTCGCTTAGATCTATCCTCTAATTGATAGGATGAGACTAGGTCCCTATTATTCCAAGGAAGCTTACGTGTCGTAGTACCTATCGGACAGTTTTGTAGATTGAGGCTGAGTAACAAGCTGAACTACGATTTACTAGGAGCTGAGCTTCCTGGCTACAAAAACCTTCCGACAATAGGTACTTATCAATACGAATTACACAGCCACTTGCAAATAAAAGTACCAACTTCGCTTCAGCAACCCCTTTTCGAACGATACAACATTGAAATCGGAAGAAAGTTTTGTTACTAAGAAGCATCTTCTAGAATCATGGACGTTGACCTTTTCAAGCCATTTCAGTCTTTGAAAGGCACCTACTAAGCATTTATAAGATGCCTAGGTAGGTTGCCTAATTAGATGCATGTATGTTGGATTCAATTTTTAAGGCTAAAGAATAATCTTTACACCAACAAATGTTAGGTCGACACTTTAATCTAAGCCTTTAATGGAATTATTAATCGACACATTTATAAACACGAGTCTTTCCAAATGCTTAAAATAGGAGAAACGTATGACGCCATTGAGAAAAGAATTTTGAAAATTAGTAGGGAAGAACCTTTCTGGAAAATATGTCCATTTCTATAGGTGGGTGCACAACCTAGATGACTCAGGGGTAAGCGTGTAGGCAGACGTTATTCTACACTTGAATGATAACGATTGTTTCGTCAGTGGAAGGGAATGATGAAATAGATAGGATCCATCACTAAATGTAAAACAAAGTGATATTATCAATGGATGCGACTGAGGATACCTAGTTTTCTTGGTCGTTACTTATTCATTGAAGTATATTTACTTCGAACAGCTTGAATTGGGTTTTTTCTACAGAATTTCACTAGCATTTTACCCTTTAACCAAGTTCAACGGCATTTCACTATGCTGACGCTGGAATATAGTGAACTAAGTACCTACTGCTCGTGCAACTGCAGTGCTAGTTTTGGGGACTAAGAGGAAATAGCGCTAGCTACAGTGAATGTTGTGTAACATCCTACCTGCTAGGCACGCACACAACGAATACCTATATAAATGGCTGAAGACCCCTAGAGATATGTGACCCTACAGCGAGCTGAGTGCTACGGTTACAGTGTTCAACTACGGGCTTCTCCCCTGACAACAAGTATCTGAGAACGAAGCCTAGAAACCAGATTCTGGCTAATGCCTCTTCAATCTCTATTATATCTTCTTTTATTCGTACTATTCTTCATTTTCCGTCTTACTTACATCTAATAGGCGATTTACTTCAAATCCGAAACCTAACAGTCGTCAAATATCTCTAAAGATGGGTAAGAAACGAAAAGCAGATGCGAGGAAAAGATACGCAGAGCAGGATAAGTTTAATGGTAATGACATTGATATCGATGACAAACCTATTATTCAAAAGTTGAAGTAAAAACATTAAAACGTGTATAACCGATCTAATGCGCATTTTAATTACTTAATTACCTACGTATTTATATCATCATTGCTGTTGTTGATAAGGCGGTTAACTAAGGGGCAGGTACCTGATGATCACATTCGCGATGTTTCTTTGGGCAGAGTAGTCATATAGAAACACACAGAAAAAGCCCCCTATCACACTCGGAATGGCAAATTATTAAGATAATATTAGAAGTTCCTAGTTAGCCGGTCGGCGGCCGGGTTATCTTACTATATTTGATAATATTTATTGAAATATATTAAGTGGTGATTGGGAACAAGTGAACGCTTTTCAGTTGTTAGTAAGTTGCTAATAATAAGCCAGAATTCAAGTGCAAATGCGATTTTTCATTTCCAAGATCACTTATTATCTGGTAAGCTTGCCGGTCTTCTCTTCCTTTTCTTCTCAGAGTCATCCCACGCCTGCTTAATGGCAAAGATGATGCTGATAGCAACGCCGAGCCCTGCCAGTCCAATTCCTAGATACAGCGCTCCTCTGTAGCCTCTGAGTAAGTCGTCCGCCTCCGTGAGTCCGCCATGGTCGACTTGCATCTCGACGGTACCGGCGAAACCAAGCCCAAGTGAGACGCTGTAATTGACAACAGTGTTGATTAGACTTGCCGCTACGCCTTGATGTTGTTTAGGAAGAGATGCCGACATGATGATGGTCCCGGCCGGGAACGACATGTCCATACCCCACGGTATGATGAGACTACAGACAAAGGTCTGTGCCCAGTAGCTTTGTTCCACGGGAGCTACGGCTACGAGGATAACTCCGACTAAGAAGAACGTCATTGACATGACCATAACGATGCTCGACCGTACTTTCCCCAGGATAATACCAGTGGTGATAGATGCGGCAAAACCCGATGCGGGAATGGGGCTGAACCATGCCGATATTTGAAGGGGACTGCCGTGCCGTAGATTCGAGTAAAATTGAAGCAAGTAGAAGAGCCAGATACCGAAACAACCCCAGCCGCAGGCTATACACGCCATGACAAAGCCAACATCGCTAGTCAAGGCTGCGAAAGGGATGAGCGGTTCCTTGGCAACCTTAGTCTCAATGATAAAAAAGCACGGGAGCATTAGTATGCCGAGAAGAAGACAGATATAGACGTAATCTCGATCTTGTCTCCAGCCGACCACCACGGCTTGGTTCCACGCGAAATTGATGAGGACAAGCGAGGTAACACCCACAACACCGCCGAGCAGATCCACAGCTTGAAGGAACTCCTTCAACGTGGTCGGCGGAGCGCGAGTACGCGGAATTGTCGGGACGAAGACGAGGACGAGGCCGGCTAGGATGGCTAGTATGATAGCGAAGGAGAAGAAGGTCCACGGCCACCATACGAGCTCGAAGAGCGCTGAGAAGGTCGCGCCGACGATGGAGCCGGAGGGCGCGCAGGCGCCGAAGAGCGCAAATGCCATGGCCTTGCGCATGCCATCCGGGTAGGCGGCGCCGAAGATGGCGAGCCCGTTCGGCATCGTGATAGCAGGGCCGATGCCCGATAGCACACGCGCGAACACGAACATGACGTAGCCGTTTTCCGTGTTGTAGATGCTGAGGCCAGAAATCATGGTCCAGACGGCGAACCAGGCGTACCCTATGGACAGCATGAGCTTGTAGCCGTATATGTCGCCTAGCCGCCCCGAGACGAGGATGAAGGTCCCGACCGTCAGACTGTAGCCGGCCACGAGCCAGCTTAGGTCACCGGCATTTGAGACATTGAAAGTTCGTCCAATGCTCGGGAGGAGTAGCAGCACTTGCCCTAGGCCTAACTGCGTCGTGAACATGGATAGGCAGATGACGATGATGAAAGTGACTTCGCGCCATAGCGGCAGCCCCAGACCAGGGTAGATTTCTTTCGGTGATGCTGCTTCGTCACCTCCCTCCGGCGGTGGTTGATGCTCGTCTACACCCGGGGGATCGTGTTCTGAGAAGGCGGACCCCTTCTTCCCTAGCCCGCTAGTAGTTGTTTGCTCTTCCGACGAGTTCTCGAGGAAGGTGAAGCGGTCTCCAGACTGACTCTGAGGACGGTGTAGGGTATCGGGGGTCCCCACTAAGAGATTGAGCTCAGAGCCAAAGTCCCATTGCGATGTCTTTCGTCTCCAATTTTCCAGGGATTCTGCATTGTCCGGGTCAAACGTTGACATTCGCTTGCTGTACCGCTTGCTTGATGGTTCCGGCACCGAGGGTAGCCGGATCGAAACCTTCCTATACGATGGTTAATCAATTGTAGAAATGATACAAAATTTAACCAGCTTAGAAACCAAAGTGAGAGGGCAAGGAAGTTTCGGTGTGGCCTACCTGGGCTCTTTCGCGGACATGGCGCAATATCTTGAAACCAGCGGATTATAATGATGAACTCAAGTTGTACAGGCTTCTATACCTCGATGGTGCCCTTTATGGGGAAGCATCCAACAAACTACAGCATATAAAAAAGCATATGCACTCATGATTTGTAATCCCTCGGCGATACGATACGGCTACACCGGAATAATATATGTCTGCCGCTTGTTGGATCCGAGAATTGAGGTCTCCCAAGCCACTTGAATCCTCTCAGCTGACTTAATGAAACAAAGGACTCGGCCACCTGCAGACTGCAGACGAGTACTTAGCTCGGCACCGAAATGTTACAAAGTCCTCGATTTCCATTAACGTATCTCTTTATCTATTTGATATCTTTTTATGAAGTACATACCTACGTAGGGCTTATCTTTTAGAGGGTGCGTTGAACTAATGTTGAACGTCGTTTATATTGTTCTGGCCCCGCGCCTACTGGCCATGGAAGAGGTCCATGTAAGGTCGATGTGAATATGCCACGACCTAATGTGCCAAGAGATTGTTGGTAACATTTTACGGGAGTCGACCTGCTTACTGGGCTATCCTGCAAGTAGGTCCAACATGCCAGGGAAGTCCCGTGATGGTTGCCATACATAGAGCGTATGCCAAGTCTTGAGGTGTTGTCATGGCAAAGGAGCAGTGAGGAAGAAGATTGAAGTATGTAATTTATTAGATAACGCTTTCAACCTTCAATCCTCTATGTCTCCACCATGGGAGCTCTGCTTCCGACCCTTACATAACGGTACCAACGTACCAACACATCCAAGCGGACCTTACACGTAAAGTAGGTCCGTATGGACGCTTGGACCTTCTAATAATAAAATACTGACTGGGGGAGAGGCACAGACCAGATGCACAAGCTAGCGTGGGGCTAAGAGACTTAGCTTATTGATGCCCAATCACAGCTATGTAAAGAATTAGCGCGGGGAAAAAGGGCTTAGTGGACCTATGCATCCAATTAGATTAGATGAAAAAGATCGGCAGCACCTACGGCGTAAAGAGTAAACGACGGTACTTCGTTGGCTAAACCCCGGGTCCTTTCGGAGATATTAGGAATTAATATCGTGTCCGACTCAGCACGGGTTTATGGATTAGTAGTAATTACTACATGAAAAAAATAAGATTCTAAGTTTAAGCTTAAAAAATAATATTTTTTATAATAAGCCGGCGCCTGGAAGTCCCGGAAAAATAAGCCATCATGAAAAAACTTATGCGTATATTAATATCCCTCATGAACTGAGACAACATTTTCCCAATCTAGGCCTAAAATACGATAATAAGATAAGGCTCCGTTGAAGAATCTAGGAGATATGATACCCCTCGTGAAGCCGGGTGTTTCGTGAGACAACGCGGTACGTAAGATGCCGAGCATGGAATAGGAGGTCTAGAATCCTGACTTGTGGAACAATCCGCTCATTGATAAAGACAGCGCCTCGCGTTTCCCACGTGGCTGAAGCCTACTTAGTTCATGACAATTTTTCGAGATCCAGCAGGATCATATGTTTCTGCCACGGATAGGTCGGTCTAAACAGCTCACCTAATGTGGAGGGATTAGTACTCAAGGGCCTACGACAACATCTTTCTTTTGTAATTCAGCTTGAGGATTATTTATCAGAGGATACTACTAAGCGATTCCTCGAGAGAACGGGCTCGGCACTGGTTCGCTTCTTCTATATCATCATAACTCTATTCCTTCGTGGGGGGTGTCTACACTTGGCGGATTGGTTCCCTTGATGGGCTATACGGGACCAGTAGTCCAGCTCCCAAGACTGACGCCTCTTCACACTAGTTGTAGGTCCTACATCTACCAGGTACAGAATGGCTTGAAAGCACACTTGCTGAATGGTGTCGGAAAAGACTACCTGATACCCATGCAGCCATGTACCAATCCTACTAGGATATAATCTATCCCCCGGTTGGCCTATATGGGTCACTTACGCATGCTATGGCGATAATGGATGCTGGCTGTGTAACAGGGGATAGATTATCTCATAGGAGGATCAGCACTTGGCTGCTTGGGTGCTTGATTCTGACTCGATTCTGACTTGTTGGTCATCTCGTACGACTTGGTATGCAGTAAGAGGGTTCAGCACCTTCAGCTACAGTTTCACAAGCACAGAGACAAGCTTCACTATCCACATGGCATATATATTATTCTCGATCTACTACCTACCCAATGCCGTTTGGATCTTGGCATCTCGGCCGATAGTAGTTAGCTGATTGCGTTACCTTCAAAACCATATCCGAACCATGTCCGATGTAGCTATGGCAGTAGAGCCACGGCGACCACAGTTGAGAATTGCGGTTAGTGGTGATGTCAACCCGTCGTAGACTCTAGTTCGAGCTGTGAAACTGACACTAGAATTACAAGTGCGAAGAATGTCGACGAAAAAGGATTAGATGCGATAGGGGAACACCGCAATGCATGTCTTGTGCTACTTCTGGGAAAACCTGCGTTGTGAGACAAAACTGTCCGCGCAGAGGGCCAAAGAAGGGATACCTCAAGACACTACAGAATAAGATAGGTGAGCTCTGCTGTTAATCATTCTACTTTATACCTCTGACTCTTGGGCTGACGGAAAGCCGTGCTATGACAGAGGACCTACAGTCCCGGTTAAATGAGGCCCAACTAGACGAACAACAAGAGACATCGACTACCGAGACACGGAATCCTTCTCCATCTCTAGAGGATGTCAACTCTGACAACGACAACGGCGGTTGCATGGACAACATTGAAGTTCAGAGCACATCCACCGCCACCCCAATAACATTTAGTGATATTCAGTTATGGACGCAACCGTTAGAAGTCCAATTCCCTATCATGCAACCAGGACCATGGGACTGTATCGAGAACTCGTTTCCAGGCTCAGACTTTCCGTCCTTGGATCATACTCCAGAACCGTCTCCATTTTCAATGGGGGTTGGACTCCATATTACTCCCATGATGCATAATGACTTGTAGGTTTTAAGCACTGAAGGCTAATTTACAGACCAACTATATTAACATTTCCCATAGAGACCAGCTCTATTTCGACCGGGCCTATATGTTTGCACCGATATTACAAGCACACCGCTACCGTTCCTGGTCCAAACAGCCAAATAAGAGCAAGCACCAGACTTGCTTACAGCTTGCCATGTGGACATTGGCGTCATCCCTCTCCAGTCAGTTCCAGGTTGCCGTACGGCAACTTTACAGTGAGACAAGACAGCTTCTACGTACGATTGAGTCGGAAGAACCATGTCACCAAGTATCTATCGAGCAGGCACAGGCTTGGCTCTTGCTTGCAATCTATGAGCTGACGTGTGAAGACTACCACCGATGGATGATGTCCGCTGGAACGGCCTTTCGCTTGATCCAGATGATGAGGCTATATGAACTTGATATACACCAAAGCCCTCCCACTACGCAGACCCAAGAACAATATTCTGTGCAACTTAGTCCTTTGGGGCAAGTACAAGATGACTGGATCGATGTTGAAACGAAGAGGCGGACGTTCTGGCTTGCATATACAATTGACCGCTTTACGAGTATGGTCGATGGATTGCACATGTTCTTCGACGACCGGATGGTTATTTTGCCTAATCCAATTTTTCTAAATATCAATATTAACTTTTTGCCAGATCCGTACCCTCCTGCCGGCTCCCGAGGCAAACTTTGCCAGTGGTCGTCCCAGGGAGATGAGCTTTCTCGCGGATATAGTCCGCGATGCCGACCTAGAGCGGCCTGACGATGACTTCTCGTCTTTTACAGAGACCGTTATCGTGGCTCACATTTGCGGACGGGTCCTGGAACATAAGCAGAGACCACTGACTAGAACGCTCGATACTACTGTCGAATTTTGCCGCCGACACCGATGTATTAACGCGCTAGTGGCTCAGCGTATCATGATACTGCGAATGCATGCCTCAGTGGAGCACTTAGACCCCGTACTTACTTTTACTGCTCTGGCGGCACATATCTCTGTGCTTATGCTCTATGATTTCATCGAATCTAAGCCATTGGGTACCAAAGCACAAGCAACCCAGGTTACAAAAACTCTCCACGACGAGTATAAGCAGCAAGCACTGGACGCTGTAGCCGATATACCTCTTCTGGTTGTCTCACTTGACCAGCACTTTCAGGTAAGGCAAAGCCCCCCGAATAACAGCGACCCGTAGGCTGTCATGATCCTCGGTGTGCGGCTATCGAGCCAATTTCCGTGCAAAAAAGACAAATGACTAAGTGGTATCCAATTTATACAGACACATCCTTTGACGCCTATCCTACTCCTCTTAGGTGCCAGATTTTCGCAGTCGCATCCTGGGCTGAATGATGCTTCTAATAAGCTCATGCCTTGCATCATAACGGCATTGCAGGCCTCGGTCAACCTGAATAGGCTTTCACAGGGCTTTCTCCAGCTCATAGGACCTCAAAACGACATTTATGGGGCCTTCACCTAGTGTCGACTAGGCAAATATTTACACCGGTCGCATCTACTAATACTCATTAATCTTATAGAAATGGTGTCATATGAATATACCCGCGAAGAGCAATCTTTCTACCAACAACCTGTAAAAGATGGACATGTTAAAGGGGCAGTTTCCGAGTGAACGATTCAGGGCGCAGCTGTGGATGGTGGGATATCCACAAGCTGCGGGACCTTCTCGTGGCGGCTCAAAGGGCCAAGGGCGAATATCATGATAAGGAAGACAGGCATGATGAAGGACCAGAAATCGAACTTAGATGGTAGAGATTAGTAGGCATATTCGCAATCTCTCTGCCACTGCCAAGGGTGCCGATCCAACAACCGATATTAATAGATCGAGGACACGCGGCGTCCGCGACGTCTGCGGAGTCTACGGAGCCTGTGTTGTCTGTGGCTTAAGCTAGAGGATTGGTTGTAGTGTAACTTGGCAGCGTAACCAACAGCTCAGTAATAAAAGGAGCTGAATTGGTAGAAGTACCTAGTCGGAGCAGGCCAAATCGGGGATTTTTATGAACTGATCAGTTTAGAATCTTTAGATAATAGTAAACTGTTAGCTCGTGAGTTAGGCTTCTTGTTTCCGGGCTCACTTTTATGAACATTTTTATTGGCTGAGATAAGTCCTGAAGAAATGTAAATAACCTTATTCTTGGCCTTGTGGTGTCAGATGCGGCTTGTCTCATCCCGATTGCTTCTTTCAAAATTTCCAATTATATTAGCTCTTCTAGTTTAGCCTGACTGGACTACTAGGTAAGCCGTTGATTACTCAACATAATGAAGAAATGAAAAAGAGAGATCCAATCGGTTGCTTTCCGAGATCTGACAGGAAAGGATGAGAAGAGTTTGAACTTATGATGTTGTATCGTTTAAGCTCTAGCTCTAGCTTCTAGACCTTCCGTGTATACTAGTTCTTACATACCCCCACAAAGTGCGAGCCTCCCTGAATACCGGTAATAATACTGGTAATAAGCCGAGACTACCACCCTATATATAGAGGCAGTAATCTATAGAACGGTTCTTAGAATACGTATACGAGCTAAAAGCCCAAGGACTGTAAGACGAGCGGGTTCTTCTAATGCTTATTGAGCCTTGGGATTACACGATAGACGGGAGAAGAGACGCAAGGGTGTTATGCAGAGGAGATAACCGAAATATGTAAGCTGGAATGGCGGCAGAAGATAAGATGTAACGGTAGTGCAGCAGATCGAATTCGTAAGATTATATCGATGGTTTGATGGCGGGGAGGAATAGTGCTTATAGACGACGAGACTTAACAAGGCGCGAGAGAGGCTTTTTTGACTTTTTCTGATTTGTAGATTTCTAATTTATAGAGGAGATGGATATTAATGTTTGTAAGTGAGCAATGATTTGATAGTACCGTGACGATATTTCCATGCGTATTCGTCCGGTACCAGGAAAAGCTTAGATGGAAGAGTGAATGATATGGAATTGTTTGGGTTCTGGCGCTAACTTCCCCGCCAAGATTCTCACAGCCCTAACGCTGTACCTATGTACCTAGGCTTATCTGATTAGTCACATGACCTTCCCTTACTTCTCAGCCATTCTCTAGCCACAGTAATCAGCCATGTCTCACAACCTTGAATGCACACAGAACTTAGAACTTGGAAATGTCTTGAATTGTTGCAATTGAAAAATGCTCTTTAAACCTTCCATCTATACCCATAAGGAAATCCGAAACGCCATTCTATGAAATAACTCTATGATACAATCCACGTGGAAAAGGAAAACTACTTAAATTTACATCGTAAATGACCGACGGCGCTAGAAAATGCGGATCGATCCTTGTTGCCCTCGACCTGATATAAGACGTCATACCCTTTGAACTCCGAACACAGTTATCATACACCTATCAATACCAAGCGACCGGGGCTCTAAGCAGCTTCAGCGAGGTGACGGCTCTTCTCCGCAACGGTGGAGGCCAGCGCGGCTAGGGAGGGTGTTTGTAAGATATTGAAAATGGAAATGTCAGCAGCAGCCTGCAGGACCAACATATTGCGTAGCTCGACCGCGATAAGAGAGTCAACGCCGAAGTGGGCGGGCGGCTTGCTCAGATCAATCTCAGTTACTGGGGTCATGAATATATCAGCCAGCTTGGCGGCGATGGCGTTGCCAATGAGAACCGCTCCCTCTGCGCAGGACCCGGCGTCCCCGAGCTGCGCGGCGAGTGACATGCCGTGGTCGTCTCCATCGGACGGTCCCTGAGATGCCTTGCTGCGGTATCTCAGGGGTGAAAAACGGGCATCACGTCCGAGCTGCGAGCGACCGTCAACGTCCCATTGAGGGCCCGGGCCGGAGTTAAGACCGACGATGATCTGGGATCGGCCGCCGAGCGGGGTGGTGACAGCGGCCTTGAGGGCGCGGAGCACAATGTCTTCGTCGAGCATAGTGAAATCGCCATCCTTGCGCAAACGGTCGGCTACCTTGGCCGACTTTGCGACGTAGCCAATGTCCGAGATGGGTCCGAGGTCAATAGTCACGCCCGGCAGACCCCGGGCTTGACGCCATCGCGCCAAGGCGTCCTCGTAGGAACCACCGGCGGCGTAGTTGGTCTGCGACATTATACCCACAATACCTGATACAGATGACAGCGTCACGAAGAAGTCGAGTGAGCCCGGCTGCGAGAACGCATCGTGAAGGTTCCTGGTGCCGTCGAGCTTGGGCTGCAGGCCGGAGCGCCAGTCATCGAGCGTCATCTGCTCGAAGATAGCGTCACGCAACAGCATGGCACCCTGTATAACACCGCGCACCGGCGGCAGACCTTCATCTTCGCAAATACGGAGGGCCTTAGCTAGCCCGGTGGCCTGGGCGATGTCACAGCTGACCGGCTTTACCCGACAGCCGGTCGCGCGCAGCTCGCGTATGAAAAGAGCGCCATCAGTGTTCTGGTTCTTGTCAAGGTCCAGATCACCGGCGCCACGAGATAGTAAGATTAGGTTCTTGGCACCGTGATCCATTAGCCATTGAGCGAGCGACCGACCGATACCACCGACACCACCAACGATAAGGTATGATGCGTCAGGTCGTAATTGGAGACGAGGCGTGAGACCCTTTGGTCGTGGGACAACCCTGGCCCGTTCGTCAGGCTTGGTTGATAGTATAACTTTGCCCATTTGGGCACCCGTCTGTACGAATCGGAAGGCCGACTGGACATCTTGCATGGGGTAAACAGTGACGGGGTGGACTGGCTTCAGAGCCGCCTGGGCGAAGAGACGGGCGACCTCACTAAGTGCGTGGTGAACATTGGGTCCGCGGTGGCGTAAGAGCGTCAAGACATCCAACGACGTGAACGAGATGCCGCGGGAGAAGGACTCTAGCGCGACCAGGCTGTTGGCCTCGATCTCTCCCTTCCCGATTTCGATCAGATAGCCCAACGGTGCGATGGCGCTGAGACTTGCTTGTAGTAGTGGACCAGGTAGCGAGTTAAGCACGACGTCGACACCACGACCCCCTGTGGCGGCTAGGACGGCTGGAGCGAATGAGGCGTCACGGCTACTGAAGATGTGCTCAGCAGGAATGCCATGTTCGCGCTGGAGGAGGTCTCGCTTCTCTTGAGACCCGGCTGTGGCGTAGATCTTGGTCACTCCCAAATGTTTCGCCAGCATGATGGCCGCCTGTCCAAAACCTCCAGCTGCGGCGTGAATGAGAACTGACTGCCCAGGTACGATGCGAGCGGCGTCGACAAGTCCAGTATATGCCACGGTGAAGGCTAGGGGAAGTGAAGCGGCAGTCTCAAAGTCCATGCCACTGGGTATCTGAACAACACCGTGCCACGGGACACGGGCGTGGCTGGCAAAAGAAGCGCCCGGTAAGAGCGCCATGACACGGTCGCCGACATTGTAGCCCTGAGCCTGAGCATCAGCACCGACGCGCGTAATGATACCTGAGCATTCAAGGCCCATGGATCGATCCTTGAGTTGGGCCATCGCTGCCGAAACGTCGCGCGAGCTAAGTCCGTACGCCCGCGGTGTGATCTCAATTAGCTCAGGCGACAATACTTCATGGTTCCAATAGTTTTCATCGTCGTCGATGAAGGCTAAGGTGTCTAGGTATCCCGGGAGTACCGCCTCTAGACGCAGTGGTCGATTCTCTTGGAATAGAGGCTCTAGGGGAATGCTAGTAATGGCATCAATGCCTCCCTTCTCATCCTGGACCCCTTGCAGTACTTCACTCCAGCTCGGCACAAGCGAGCCAACAACCGCGTTGTCGCATTGCTCATCTTTATAAAGGCGGGGGATAAGTAGAACGCCCTCGCGCTCGACGTACTCGAAATCGGCCGGGCCATCGGTGTCGGCTCGCCCGAATCCCTCCTCGAGCACCCGCACGATAGATGACACGACTTTCTCCCCGCTTTGGGACCACTTCTCCGCAGTATGAGCGGGGTCAAGATCTAGGGAGAGGTAGCGACGGCCGATGTACTCGTTGCGCAGCACGCGTAGGAAGCCCTGGCTAACAGCTTGCTCGGGCGCCTCGCTGTCTACGGCACCACCAGTCGTGATCCAGAGTAGACCGCTGCACTGTGTGACCATAGCACGGAGTCCTTCTATGCGCGACTCATCGAGGTTTGCTAGCATGGGCTCGTCGATCTCGCCCATGAAAATACAGATCTTGTTCTTGTAGGCGTCTAAGCTACTCACTTCGAGCGTTAGGTGCGCGGGAGTGCTTGTACCGGTCAGAGATTGGATGCGACTGGAAAGTAGATCGACAAAGCTTGAAGGTGGGGGCACCTTGCTGCTAGTCACCACGGCGAAGCTTTCTTGGTTAGCGCGGCTAAGGTCGGGTTTCTGGTCTTCAGCGAGTGGGACCGTGGACATGAAAATGCTGCTGGTATGCATGATGTCGTTTTGCGAGTCATGGATCTCGAGATCGATGCCACTGAACCCGGCATCCCGAAGTATTCCATCCCAGGAGGACGCTGTGAGGGTCGGGTTTGTTTGGACGGGCTCCTCTTCTTGCAACTGGCTTGTCAGTAGTCCGGATACGAAACCGACATCTACCTGGTCCTTGGTCGTCTCCACGAACAGTAACGTTCCGCCTGGCTTTAGCAAGCTGTACACATTGGCTACGGCACTGGTCACATCCTTAGCCGCGTGTAGAGCATGGGAGGCTACGATGATATCGTAACTTCCTAGGGTGAACTTCTGCTTGGAGGGACTCTGCTCGATGTCGAATTCGTCGAACTCGAGCAGATCAGTCCAGTCAGCAAGATGAGTACGGGATTCCTCTAATGCATCTGGAGATGACTTGGTGATGTGCCAGCTGCCCACCAGGGGTGTCTTGGGCGTGCCAAGTGCCGCCAATATGCGACGTGTGGCGTGGGGTCCGATTCCGCCGCCGATCTGGAGAACGCGGGCAGCCGGGTTCTTATGTACGACTTTGCGCAACAGCTTGGAGAGCTTCTCAAGTGCTAGTGACCGACGTATCGAGTTGGCGTTGTACTTATGCAGTAGATCGATGATTTCCGGGGTGGGCTCACCGCGTAGGATGGGCGCGAGGACGGCACCGAGGCGGCATATCAGCTCACCATCGACGCTCTGCGAGGCCGTAGCGGCTATGTATTCTTGACGTTTCTTAGGACTCTCTAGTGCCCCTTCTTTGATCTCTTCCTGGACCAGTTCACGCAGCCATTCGTAGTACTTTGCGAGATTTGGCTGTTTCTGTAGTTTGGCTACATCTTCTGGGGTGAGCGTGTGCAGCGCATCCCGAGCAAAGAGAACGCACACTCGGTGCAGGTTCTTGGCGACATCCGCATCAGCCTCGGACTCGGCGGAAGCGGAAATTAACTGCTTCTTGACCTGTGCTATAGCCTGCGGTTGTTGAAGAGACAGATCAGGACCCCACTCGATCTTGCTGCACACCTCTTGCTCCCACTTGCTGGTGCCGGCGGCCGCGGCGGCGCCCTTGTTAGCCGCGTCTTGCCGCGCTGTGGCGCCACTACCGCGCCCCAAAGAGGCGCACTCGAGTCCCTGGATCTCTAGTACTGTGGCGTCCGTTTCACCGTCCACAACGGTGACGTCAACACTCCCACTTTGGGGGTCATCGTGCAGCAGCGATGTATCGCAGTGCAGCGTGCGACCGATCTCGTGGCTAATCTGGCTCGACACCCACATCGACGCGATAGAACGCGGTACCTTTGGATCTTCTTGCAAAGCTCCGACGCTCGGCAACGTAGAATAGAAGGCCACAACGACAGCATCGAGCGTGATCGGGTGCAGCAAGGTAGTCTTTGCCGCCACTTCCGGGTCCGTGTCAGTAGAAGCTTCGTGCCGGGTGGTGATGTCGCATATGGATCGCGGCTCACGCCCGTCTTGGATGATCTTGGTCGTATTCTGGAAAAGGGGGCCGTGGAAGACACCCCGTGCCCGGAGGTTAGCAAATAGTTCCTGTGGGTCCTTTTGGCGTGTGTAGATGGACAGCGGGCGCCGCTCTGCTGTCTCGAGGGCTACAGCTTCCCGCTCTGGTGCGACCATGCCCCGAGCGTGTAGCGTCCACCGATTATCTAGCGTGACTGATGATACTTCGAAGCGCCACCATCCGCGGGCACTAACTTCCCGCTCGGGGACGGGCCGGAGCGTAGTCCGGATCTCAACGCCGTCGGCATCTTCGGGGACTACCAGGGCGAAAAGGAAGTTGACGTCACGCAGGCGGAATCCCGAAACATTATCGAGCTTGCCTTTCTTAGCAGCATCTGCCTTCTCTAATTGTCTCGCGGCTTCGATTGCCAGGCAGATGTAGCCGGCGCCCGGGTATACGATACTGCCCTGCACCATATGGTCGCGGATCCAGGGGGTTTCGGCAAGGCGTAATACACGGCGCCACACGGATACACCGGGGTCATTGCCGGGAATGGGCATACCGAGTAGCTCGTGTGGTGGCTCACTGCGCTCCCGGATGGCCCGGTTGACTCTTGCCTCTTGCCAATGGCGCATGGTGTGGTTCCAGGGGTACGACGGCAAATTTGTCAAGACGCGGGGACCCTCGTCGTCATATGTGGACACGGGGAAGTTAATCTCGCTCATGGCGAGGGGATGTCCTTCGCGGAAGAGGTTGATGGCGGCCGATCGCATACTGTCGCCTGCATGCTCGTCACGTACCAACGTGCCCCAGTATGGCAGCTCGATGCCCTCGAACTCGGGTAGCGATAAGATTTCGCGGATTGGCCCGCCCAATGCCGTATGAGGGCCAACCTCAAGCAATACATCAACACTTCTACCTGTTGGATCGTCTAGATCGCCAAGCACCATGTCTATGAAGGCGTCTACGAACTCTACCGGCTGCACCAGACTGCCGACCCAATGGTCGGGACTAGCGATTTGCTTGATGTCGGTGACACGTCCACCAGTGACTGCGGACGAAAAGATCACCGTGGATTCCTTTTTCTCGGTTTCCTGTAGATTTCGCTTGCCGTGTTGTGCTACGTCACGCGCCATCTCGATCCGAAGGCGTTCACGATAAGTATCCGCGAAAGGATCCATGTGGTGTGAGTGATAGGCTTGCTGGACTTTGAGACGACGCGCGAAGACGCCATCTTGCTTGCATAATTCCTCAAGCTCTTGGACGGCAGGTGCGTCGCCGGAAATAGTGACGCTCTGAGGGCTATTGACGCATGCGACGACAGCTTTGCCGTTCTCCTTCTTCAGCCTGTTGAGGTAGGTCTGCACTTCCTCAACACCCAAACCGACAGCCGCCATGGACCCCTTTGCGGCACCGGCTGGCCGTAGAGTCTCGTCTGCTGCAAGCACGGCGCGGTAGTAAGCCGTTGCCATAGCCTGGCGATGTGTAAGAGCACCCATGGCGAAGGCAGCCGAGATTTCTCCGGATGAGTGGCTTGTGACAGCCGTGGGCGTGATACCCCACGATTCGAGCAGGCTTACTAAGGCGATCTGCAGCGCCACACACACCGGGATACTGATTTCGGTGGCGTGGACTCTTGTTGTCTTGGGGTCACGCTGTAACTCCTCAAGTAACGACCAGTCAGCTCCGAGGGCACGTAGATGTGCCTCGGCCGCCTCTATCGATCGGCGAAAGACCGGGTACGATGTTAGGAGCTCACGACCCATGGCATACCACTGCGCACCCTGGCCCGTGAAAACCATACCAATACGCGGACGGTCTGAGGGTCGGCGGCTAGGCTTGAAGCGAGACGTGTCAAGGAGTTGGATGGCGGCATCGAGCGCGCTTTCGCCATCCTTCTCGAGACACACTTGGTGCGCTGAAACCCACTGGAAGAGTGTTCGGCGTTCCCCTAATGTGTAGCTGAGGTTTCGGAGTAATTCTTCGGAGGCCTTATAACTAAGCGATCTGTGCTTTTCTAGATACGCCTTGAGGTCCGAGACTGCTTGCTGACAGCCTCGTTCATCGCGCGCGCTGAGGATTAGCACTTTGCTGTTGTCGGCTGTGTTTGTGTGGTTGTTACCGTTGGTGTAACCATTGCCATTGCCGTTGGTGGGAACGACATCTAGACCTGGTGTGGAGGTCCATGGATCGGCGCTCTCTAAGATGACATGAGCGTTCGACCCGCCGTAGCCGAAGTTGTTGACGGATAAGCGGCGAGGGCCATCGACTAGGCTTTCGGGCCACGGCTCCATCGCCGTCGCCACTTTGAGCCGCCACTCCTTAAGCTTGAGTTTCGGGTTGGGTGTCTCGTAATTCACGGAGGGCGGGATCAACCCCTTTTCGAGGCACAAAACACCCTTGACCATTGCGGCGAGACCCGAAGCGGCTTCGGTATGGCCGATGTTCGTTTTGACGGAGCCGATACGCAAGTAATTTGCCTCGTTGTCGCGGCCCTCGCCTCCGCTGAAAATGGCTGCCATGGCTCCCGCCTCAATCGGATCGCCGGCCGGAGTCCCTGTGCCGTGGGCTTCAAAGTACTGAGTACCGCGAGGATCAAGACCGGCACGGCGGTAGCATTCGCGCATAAGCTCCACCTGGGCGGAACCTGACGGCGTCGTGATGGTGTCTGTCTTACCATCCTGGTTCAAGGCCGTCTCACGGATCACGGCCCGGATGGGGTCGTTGTCGGCTAGCGCATCAGACAAACGCTTTATGACTAGGGCGGCCACGCCTTCGCCACGACCGTACCCGTTGGCGCGCGAATCGAATGCGTACGACCTACCGTCGGGCGACAGCATACCTAATGATCCGATCGCCTTGAATGTGTCCGGGTTCAGCATCACGTTGGCCCCAGTCACAATAGACATGTCTGCCTCGCGATTACGCAAGGTCTGTATCGCCTGGTGCAAGGCTACTAATGTCGTCGAACATCCCGTTTCCAGAGTCATACTAGCTCCACGGAAGTCAAAAAAGTGCGAGATGCGGTTGGACGACATAGGGCTCCAGGTTCCCACTACGTTAAACCGCGGCAGTCTATCTTCGTCTCGTATTATTCCTTCTTGGTAGTCATGCGTGAAGACACCGGCGAATACGGACGTCTGGGATCCCATCACCTGAGAGAGAGGCAGGCCCGCTACGATTCGAGTTAGTTGAATTCAGAGCAATTGGGAGGAATGAGGCAGTAGGAAGTAACCTACCGTTTTCAAGCGCCTCGTAGGTAGACTCGAGCTGAAGCCGAAACTGCGGATCGATGGCCTGCGCCATCTCTGCTGAGTAGTTGAAGAAGGCCGCATCGAAAGCGGCTACGTCGTCGTCAAGGAAATGTCCACCCTTGACGTGTGTCTGAGCCGGTCATTAGTAAGTACTTTGGTATGAGGTATTCGGCGGGATATCACATACCGTGCTAGTTCTTTCGTGATTTTGATGATAGACTCCTTTCAGATCATACCGATCTATTGGGATCTCGCTCCACCCATCCTTCCCCGAGGCCATGAGGTCCCAGAGCTTCTCCGGGTCGCTAACACCACCAGAGAACTTGCAGCTCATGCCAATGATGGCAATGGGCTCGCTTGCCCACTCGCTGTTGTCCGTGTCCATTGCGTCGAGATAGTGTGGACCTGGTCAAGGTGGTCAAGGCTCTATGCCCCCCACGGTGATGGTGAAATCTATATGGCAGAAGAAGCTGGTGGGCATTTGTTCTAATCAGTGGACTTTTTAGTCAAAGTAAGTTGCGTGCCTCAGGGGCTATATGTTACAAGTGTAACGGTAAAGAATAGTTGGTAGGTCAAGCTTTTCTTATTCAAACATTTATCATTCTCTATACGCAAGATATATGGTCTTGATCTTGTTAACTATCTACCTACATACAAATCGCCACGTAAAGGCGATTCCTTCTCAAAATCAATTCAACGATGCCGACTGTCGCCGGCATTGTCAGCGCCCCATTCCTAGACGAATCATCAATTTACCGTATTACCCACGATAAGTGGCTGGAAGCATAAGCCACAGGATCGCGATGCTGACTGTACTTTGGAAATAAAAGTATTACCACGCGGAAAAGTAATTCCGCGTGGGGAAAGTTATCCGGAATGAGTTCTAGTCGGCTCCCCACCAGGAGTCTCTTAAAAGCGGACGCATACGCAAAGTCACAGCGCCAATGGCGTATGGTATGATCCGTCGTCATCCGGGTAAAAATGCCAATATCTAGCCGGCTTATTCTGAGGCGCATGGGGCACAGCTGAGAGATGCCCAGCCGGAAGCTGAAGCGGACGTGCATGCGGCAGGTTCGGTGGTTTATCCTAAGCAAGAAGAGCATCTTTCGAATCCAATATCGTGGTTAGTTCGAATTCTCGTGGACCATGATGGACGAGCGGTTCCGTTTAGACATGTGGTTTTCGGCGGCCAGGCTGGATGAGGCGCCGCACAGCTGGAGGCACGGAGGCACCACATTCAATCACACAACCAACGCATCAGAATCCTGCCGTCTATATTTGGATATCGAAGCTTTTTGTATTGTCTTGGTTGAACCTATTTAATGAGGCTCATGCAGGCCTGTAGATCGTTCGAAGTCGTGTAACTCACCAGACCGATAAGGAAAACTCATTCATTCGTTTCCATTCGTTTGATTCAGTCGTTTTTGACCCGAATTGTATATAAAAACATATTTTCTCAACTTAGTTCATCATGGTGAGAGCAAAGATATTGTTTGGCACTCTCGTTTCTTGGGCCTCTCATGGTCTAAGTGCCTCGGTGGATTCGTCCTTCTCTGCAGCAGACACTATACAGCGAGATGTCGTTGTCGTTGGCGGTGGCTCGTCAGGCACACACGCGGCCATCAGACTCAGGGATGCTGGCAAGACCGTTGTCGTGGTTGAGAAGCAAGCACAACTAGGAGGCCACGTGAAGACATTCACAGCCTCGTCAGGGGTTCGCGTCAACTATGGCCCTTCCAACTTCCAGAACAACACCGCCGTCGTCGACTGGTTCTCCCGATTCAACATTCCCCTCGTGCAGTATCAGCAGCCGGGAGTAGGCGACAAGTATGCAGAATTCAGCACAGGCAAGGAGCTAGCGAATGGAACTCTCCCTAGCCCTGACTTCGGTGCATACCTCCAAGTTCTTGCCAAGTTCCCATACCTTGAAGACTTCTCGCAGCTACCCGATCCGATCCCGGAAGACTTGCTGCTGCCATTTGGCCAGTTCGTCGAAAAGTACAATCTCCAGAGTGTCGCGTTTACCATCGCTCAGTTTGCCACTTCAAACGGCAACATCTTCGAGCAACCAGCACTGTACATTTTGAAGGTAGCCGACGCTCCATACATCCAAGCCACGATCAGTGGTGGAGCACTAGCCCCAGCGACATATGACGCGCAATCAGTCTTCCTAAAGGCCCAAGAGTATCTTGGATCCGATGCCTTGGTTAGCTCTACTGTCTCCAGCGCAACACGATCAAATACCAGCGTCAGCGTCGTCGTCAACACCCCCAACGGCAAAAAACTCATCAAGGCGAAGAAGCTACTTGTTACAATGCCCCCAACGACCAGCAATCTGAAACCATTGGGTCTTGACTCGCGTGAATCAGGAATATTCTCCAAATTCCAGAACAAAGCGTTCTACACCGTCCTACTCAACCAAACCGGTCTAGCCGAGGGTTTCCGCTACTACAACGCCAAAGCCGCCGCAGGCAGCACATACCACGTCCCTTCTCTGCCAGTCCTACAGTTCATCTGGGCAACCAAGGACGTGGACACATACTGGGCGTGGTACAGCGCAGCCAGCGAACTGCCCGACGCAACCGTCAAGGCGAATATCATCAAGGATTTCAAGACACTAGCCCCGGGATCGGACCCCCAGATCGTGGTCTTTTCCAACGCCGGCCCGTCAGGCCTCGGCGTCTCAGCGGACGAGATCAGGAACGGGTTTTATAAGAACTTGCTTGCGCTGCAGGGGTACAGGAACACGTGGTATACCGGCTACGCTTGGGTTTCGGACCACTCGGCTGGGCTGTGGAATCATACTGATGCGGAGTTGGTTCCTAGGATGCTTCAGTAGTTGGTTGCGGACGTGGAAGAGAGTTGGGTTGGGCGCATCCCGTTTTGATTTTTTAGCATTTTCGATTCTTGTGGGATGATGGGCCTGAGTTTAATAGTCATTTATATTTAGTTGGTGACTTCGATATAGAGAAATGTTTAACGATTAAATGGCCTGGTTACCTACCTAGATATGTGGCATCCTGTGTGTTCATTTTACCTTATTTACTGATGTATTTTGTCCTCTGGCTCTTAAGGAACCTACATGGTCGCGGTCTTGTAGCTTCCGCCTGAGCGGGTCGGGTTCATGGTTGCACATGACGTCATAGACAAAATTGACAGGTGCAGATGTGTTGACTGCATCTATACCTAACCCAAGCCTTCCTGGCAGGCAGAAGCCCGATCCTTCCGGAACATCCTCAAGTAGATCACGTATCAAAGAGTTATTACGAAGAGTGAAGTAAAGGTGATTTATTTTTGAGTCTATCGGAATGGGGAGTGTCGATCATTCAGTTTTTATTTTACACTTGACAAACAATCCACCAGGGAAACTATCTAGCTGGACCAGACAGCCTTGTGCTCCTCGGCGAACTTCTCGAAGCTTTGCGGAGGGTGTCCTGTCACCCTTTGGACGACATCGCCTGTTCCCTTCTCGAAGTCTTGCGAGGCTAAGACTTCTAGGCGAGTTAGGAATCGGGCAAAGTAGTCCGATAGACCGGCATGGACTAGACCATCAATCCGGCCAGTCTCATCCTGCTTCACGTGCTCAATCTTGCGCCCAAGAACCTTAGAAAGAGTCTCGGCAATCTGTGAATTAATTTCGTGTTAGTGTTGAGCTATGCCACTTTCTATGAGGGGTGGTCTTACCTGATCGTAAGTCAAGTTCTCAGGGCCGAGTATCCTGAGGTCACAGTTGTAGGACTTCTCGTCCGTTAGGGCGTGATAGGCCACCTCGGAAATGTCAGCCGCGCTGATGAAGGGAATCTTTCCATCTTGAGCGGCAGTGAAGATCTTGTTCAGCTTTCCGATGGTAAATGCAAGGCCCTCTTCAATTAGGTTCTCTATATAATCGGTTGTGTTAGCGGCTCAAGAATATCCATGAATTTATAAATGCCACATACCCATGAACCAAGATGGGCGAAGCACAGCGTAGTCAACATTGGACTTGATCAGATGCTCCCAAACCCTGCCCATTCCATCCTTGCCAATTGTGGCTGAGGTGCCAGCGCATAGAACGAAACGGTCGACTCCTTGCTTCTTGGCAAGATCTATGAACTTGTTCATGGGCACCCAAGGCTCGCTGATTCGAGGCTCCATCATGTAGACGGCCTTGATCGGTGTGCTCTCGAATGGCTTCAACCAAGTTGACTCATCGCTCATGTCAAATTTGACTGTGGGATGAGCATTTGACCCAGCACCAGGCCCCTGACGCGAGCCTAAGAGATAGGGCCTCTTGTCAGCGGCAAGCAATGCCGCGACGCGAGGAGCTGTCTTGCCGCTACCGCCGGTGAGAAGAATAGACATGTTGGATAAGGAGGATCTTGATCTTGCTAAGTGAGAAATTGACATTTACGAGAAGAATTTGTATTTGTGCGGAGGGTGCGGAGGGCTGAGGAAAAAGCAAGAGGGAGTAGGACAATATAAGCAGCAATATAAGAAGCAAGCGTCGGTAGTTGGTAGTTTAGTTGGTAGTTTACTGCTTACCAACTGCATATAATAGCATATTCCTACGCTCTCAATCGCACAAACATTGCCGCGTTCTCGGAAGCCGAGCAGGCCGTCATCGTAACCGTTGTATTGAAGTTCCGGGCGGAGATAAGGTCATACACAAAGGATCGCCTCGGATTTCCTCCGGCTGACCAAGCCAACAGAGACACCGTTGTGTAACTCTGTCGTGTAACGAGACAGGTCAGCTTGCGTTAGATCGAGGGGGTGAGAGTGAGATCCTAAAATAGCTAGCACCTAGATCCTTCTCTTCTTCAATGTACCTAAGTAACTCACATTCAGCTGAAAGACGGACCTTCCAAAAAGAGCGGAAAGTCAGTCAACGCAATATCAAAATCCTTAAAACCCAAGCCGTGACAATGAAATCCATACCTACCTACCTAGCCAATCATCCCTTCAAGCGCTATTTCCGCGTCAAAATGAAAGTGGGTCTATGCACCCAATCAGATCTTTGTATTGTCTCAAAAATTGCCTATTGTAGGGAATATGTTTTTTCGCATCTACCAATCGCCGGAATGGCGTTTGAGGGGATAAACACATTAGGTAAGACACTCCCGGCACCTAATAGTACCGGCGTTACACAATTACGTACACATCGCATCTATGCGTGTCCGGAGGATGATGAACCGGCGAGCTTTAACGATGACAGTCTTCGGTGATCGTATATCAGGAATCATGGACAAGTGGATATATAAGAGATGCAATTGGCATCTATTCCCGGCCATTCCAAGGTCAGCAGTGACATCTACCTAAACACCTAAACAATAAGAACAATCATCCAATAAACACTTCCACCGTAACCATGACTGTCACACCCCTTCCCGCCAGACTCCCCGGCCCGCCTCTAAGCGACCGCGAGGCCGTCGCAGACATCTGCTACGCGTCATTCGCCTCGCTCGACCACGGCGACGAGCAGCTCCTGATGTCGGTCGTGACGCCGGACATCCACACCTTCATCGCGGGCAAGACATGCAACGGCGCCGAGGACCTCAAGGCCAAGGTATTCGACCACGTCGGCACCAAGCTCGACACCATCCACTACCTCACCAACATGCGCGTTAGCATCGACTCCCCCACTACCGCCCGCGTCACCTTCACCGCTCAGGCCGTCCACTGCCGCCCCGGAAAGGGCAGCGAGCCCGGCCCGAATAAGTACACTACCGGCGCGGTGTACGCTTGCTCTGCGGTTAAGGTCGAGGGCCTTTGGCGGCTCAGGGAGATGGAGTCGAATCATCTTTGGGCCGAGGGCGATCGCTCGGTTATGAAGGGTGTTTAGGTAAAGAGCTGTATAGGTTCTTGCTACAGCTAAATAGACATCGTGTATTTGGATTTGGGTTGGGATTCACGCTCTCGGCGAATATTGACTATGGGATTGGGGTCATGGGTTATGTGTTACTACTTGGATTTATGTACTTCATCTAAACCTTGCTTGGGTTTATAGGTACAGAATATGAAGTACTTCGCTCCTTGAAACATGCTGTGTTTTTGGTGGTGATGTATTTAAACAACATTGCTGTAAAAAGGCTGCGTTCTTGTGAATTATCTTCTATGAATTGTATGATAGGAATAAGGATGATACTAGTTAGGTAGTATTAGTATGAGAAGATCCACGGGGTTACACTTGAATTGGTCTGACAGACTTAGGTAAGTTGAAATTCGACTTGGAACTTTGAAGAGTTACATAATTGAAAAATGGCGTGACTAGAATAGTTATGTAGACGGCGGACTATAAGGACAAATCTGCCAACCTGCCAATTCAATTAATGTATTGAAAAGTATACTGTATAAATATAGTATATGACGAATATATACTGTGTTTTGTAATTTAAGGATTGAAAGGTTTATAAATTATAATACGTATAAGTAAATATTTATTAAATAAATATAATAAGTTTTTTTATTTTTATAAAAATATTAAGAAAATAAATATTTATTTAATAATGTTATAATAATTATTAATTAAATTAAATTTTATTATATTTAAATATTTAATAAATAAATAAATATATAATTGTTATTTATTATAATATTAAAAGTTATAATAATAAAAATAAGTTAATTTAATTATTTTATTATATTATTTAAATTTTTAATTATATTAAAATAAATGAAAATTTTTATATTTAAACGTAAAAAAAAAATAACTTAATATATTATTAATTTAAATTTTAAGTTATTATTAATTTAATAATTAGTTAAATAATTTTTCGAAAATAAATAAATAAATAAAAAATATATTAAATATAAAAGTAAAAAATTTTAATAATAACTTTTTAATAATAAAAAAAATAATTTTATAATTAATAAATAAAGTATTAATTGTTTAATGTTTTTTTTAAAAAATAAAACTTTATTTAATAAGGTTTTTTTAAATTTAGTTTTAATATTTTTTTTTATTAATGTAATTTTTATTTATTTTTATTTTTATTTTTTATAATTATATTTTTATTTTTAATTTAATTTTTTAATAATTATAATTCCTTATTTTATTTCGTGTTTATTTAAATAATGAATAATTGTTTGTGTATTTTTAATTTTTTTATTATTTGTTTTATGTAAATAATGGTATAATTTTAATTTATTTTGGTTTAAAATATTTATATATTTTTATATATTATTAAGAATTTTTTAAACGTTATTAAATATAATTTAAATATGTTTTTAATAAAAAATATGGTTTTTTTTTATTTTTATAATTTAAAATAATAATTAAAAAATTAAATCGCGGTATATTTTTAATGTTAATAAAAATTTGTTAAATAAAATTGATATTATTGTTTATAATGTTATTATTATTATTATTATTATAATATGAAAAAAACGTATTTAAATTAAAATATATAAAATTTAAAGAATAATTATTATAATTAATTAAATCTTTTTTAAATTTAAAATATACGAAGTAATATATATAATTTTATATTAAATTAAAAAACGTTATTTTTAATTAATTATATCCGATTAATTTTTAAAGTTAAATTTATATAAAAAAAATTATAATTTAATATATTATTATATTTAAATAAGTTTTAATTTTTCCACTTTATATTATTTATAATTAAAAATATTAATATTTTATAAAAAACGTAATTAAATAATATAATTTATATTAAGTTTTATTAAAACTTAATAATATTATGTAATAACGTATTATTAAAAAAAATATTTTAAATGTATTATATAAAGTTATAAATAAACGAGTTTATAAAAATTAATATATTTATATAATTTTAATATTTAAAATATTAATTAATATAATATTAATATTATAAAAGATTTTTAAAAATGAAATGTTTATTTATATAATGTTTATTATTTTTTAAAATAATTAAAATGATATATTAAATTTATTTATTTATATAATATTTTATTATTTATTAATAAGTTTTTTATAATATTTAAGCTTTAATAATTTTAATTATTTATAAATATTATATTTAAAAGTTAACGATTTTTTATTGATTTAAGAATTTAAAATATTACGATTTTTATGTAATTTATTATTTTAATCTTTTTTTATGTTTATTAATTAAATGATTTTATTTTTTTAACGTGTTATTAAATTGTTTTTTTTATTTTTAAAATTAATAATATTAATAAAAAATTAATTAATTTTTTGTTTTTTAATATTTATTTTAAATTTTAACGAATAATTTTTATAAAAAATGTAAGAAAATTTCCGGTAAATATGTAATTATAATTATTATTATATTTTAAAACGGTAATTATAATGGTAAAATTTATATTAATAATTAAATTTTAATTATTTAAAAAAATTTTATTTTAAGTAATTAAACTTTATTATGATTTTAATAAAATAATATTTTAAAAAAATTAAAATTAACGAATAATTTTATTAAAAATGTTTTGCGTTTTATAAAAAACGAATAATATTTTTATATTAATGGTTTATATTATATTTATAAAAATAAATGAGTTTTTTTTATTAAATGTAACCGGTTTTTTTTATATAAATTTTTTAAATTTTTTTTATTTATATTATTTATTTTTAATTTTAAAGAAAAATTAAGTTATTTTTATTATAAATTAAAAGTATAAAAGTTTAAAAATTTATAATTTATAACGAGTAATTTATTAATAAAATTAATTTATTAATGTATTGTATAAATTATGAAACGTTTAATTAATATAAAATTTTTTTAAAAAATGTTAACGATAAATTAATAATAAAAATAATTTAATAAAACTTATAATTTTAAAATGTTTTAAAATAAAGTTTTTTAAATTTTATTATTATATTGTTTTAAAAATTAATAATAATAAATTAAATTAATTTAAAATTTTTTTTCGTAATATTTAATTTTTTATTAATGATAAAATAAGGTTAAAATTTATATATGAATATACCGGTTAATGTTATATAAATTAACTTTTTTTATCGTTTTTGAAGAATAAATTATTTAAATTTTCGACTTATTTTATAAATAAAAATGTAATAAAAGTTGAAATATAAAAAATATAAAAATTATGAAGATTTATTATAAGTTATATGTATAAAAGTATATTAATTTATTTTTTATATATAATTACGAAAGTTTTAAAAATATTATTTTTAATATAAAGCTTTAATTTATTTTAAGGATTTTTATTTTTTTTAAATAAGTTATTAATAATTATTTATTTATATTTGGTAATATTTATTAACGAAATAATAATATGGTATTTTTTTATTAATTAAAACTTTTTAATAAATTTAATGTAATAATTATATTTAAAAGTTTTTTATTAATTAATTTAAAATTAATTTATAATGTTAATATTAAATTAAATTTATAAAGTTAAATATTATTTTAAAAAAAAAATTAAAATGTTATTTTTTTTTAAATAATATTTATAAAAATAATTTTAATTAAGTAAGTTTAAATTTAATTTATATATTTTAAAGTATTTAATTATTACGAATATTATTTTTATTTCATATTTATAAATATAATATTCGTAAATGTATAAAGTAATTTTTAAAATTATTTTATTTTTTTTTTATTATATGTTAACTTGTTTATTATAATATTTTTAATATATTTCTTTTTAATAATGTATTATTTATTTAATATTTACGTGTAAATATTATTTATATAAGTTAAAATGTTATTATTTTATTTATTTAATTTATATTTATTTTATTTATTATTAGTAAAATTAATTTAAAATTATATATATTAAAAAAAATTAACTGGTTTATATTTTATTATAAAAAATATATCGAAATTATAATATGTAATAAGTTAAGTAATATATAATAAATTTGATAAAAAAAAAATAAATTATAAAATTAATAAATTAATAAATTTATTATGTTTTTTTTTATTTTTATATTTATTTTTAATGAAAAAATAATAAAAATAATAATAAAAAAAGTAAATTAAATGGTTTTATTTTAATAATCATAAATAAAAAATATTGTATAATAAATTAAAGTTATTTTTATAAATTTTTAATAATATATATTAATAATTTTTTTTATATACGTTTAAAAAATTTATAATAAATAATATTATTTTTATAATTAATTATATTATTTAAATAATATTTAAATAAGTAAGTAAATTATTTATAATACGAAATAAATTTATATAAACGATTAATATTATATATAAAAATATTTTATAAATATTAAAAAGCAAGGAAAATTCGATTTTTATTTTAAAATTATTAATTTAAATTTTATTATAAAAAAAATAAATTATTTCGTGTTACGTTCGTCCCGTTTTATAATTATATTAATATTATTATATAATTACTTATTGCGTGTTATTATATAACGAATAAAATTATTTATTATCGATTTAATTATATGGCGGTTTATATTTAATATAAAAACATATATTTTTAATTAAGTTCGGTTTAAATAAATTAATAAAAATAATTATATTATATTAATATATAAAATAAATATAAAAAATATATATAATAAAAAAAAAAATTATAATTAATTATAATATGAAAAAAAGTAAATTTAATTAAAAAATTTAATTTTTTACGAATAATAATTAAAATTAATTAAAAGGTTTTATTAATGGTTATAATTATAGTTAATACATTTTTATATATTTTATAATAATTTAAAACTTAATTTAATTAAATCGTAACGAAAGAAAAAAAAAAGATAAGTAAATTAAAAAAGTTCGCTGTATATATTAAAAAAAAAATTTAAAAAAAAAAAAAAAGGGATGGAAAAAAGTTAAAAAAAAAAGTATAATATTAAAAAACCGAAGTTATAAAATAATAATTTAAAAATTCTGAAAGTTTTAATTAAATAATATTATATTTGTATTACGTGAAAACTTTATATTTATAAATTAATATTAATAATTAATTTAAATAATAAAAAAAAATTAATAATTATTACTTTTTATTAAAGTTAATATATTATAAATTTAAATTAATTTTTAAGTTTTTAAAAATTAAATTTTTTAATTATAATTAAAAGAAAATAATTTATAAAAAAAAATCTTATATTTTTTTCGAAATAAATATAATTTTAATGTTAATTTATATATTTTTTAATAATAATTTTAATAATAAAGCTTTCGTAAAAATAAGTTAAATATTAATTTTATTAAAGTAAAAATTTGTTAATTTTTTGAAATAAAGTTATTATATATTTTTATTATTAATTATTTAAATGAAAAATAATTAAAAATTAATATATTAAAATAATCTTTAAAATGTAAATTA